CTGTTTGGTGACCTACTTACCAGCCCTATAGAGCTTATTTATTTCAATATTCAGCCGCCTTAGTTTACCAAGCACGAGTCAGGTACCCATCAGAGCTGGGTGAACTCAGGGAGGGACGCCCAACAGACTCGAGCCCGGGATTCGAACTTCTGAGTTTCGGGTTAGCAGTCGAACGTATTTTGTATTGTGAATGTTGTAATTTAACTTGTAATCTAGGTTTAGACACGTGACAATTGGGGCATGCAGGGCTGTCCATAAATTACGTCTAACTCCGGGGGGGGGGGGGGGGGGAGGGGGGGTAAATCGGACTTTGTGACGATGTGACGAAGGGGTTCAAAAAGTGTGACGAACCTGAATTTTAGCCGTTGTTTAGTTGTTTGTTTGTTTTTTGTTGTATTTTTTAGAAGACTTTGTTTTGTACATTGTAATAAAGTTTATCGATAAACTTACATTAATACACTCGATCAGAGGCGTAGCGAGGGGGGGGGTGCGGACCGCACCGGGTGACACCATTTAGGGGGTGACACCAATGCAAAAATAGCAAAATACATACAGAAAAATGATAATTTCACTTAATTAAATGATTAATTAGAGTGAATTAACTAGTCTTTTAAGAGCAAAGTGGGCAAATCCAGACACGGGTGGAGAGGGGGGGGGTGACACCATGACGTAAATCTGCTAATGATAAGGAAAACATGCAACATCCAGCTGAATTTATAACCGAATATAGATACAAATCGCTATTATTATCTGAGCACAGTTTAAAGCAATCACCGTGGGGGTGACGATAGTTACATCAACTCAACGTTGCAATATATATGCCTGAGGAAAACTGTTTGGTTGAGAATCCTAATAAGCTGTATGTAAATCCATGAATGGGGTGGGGGGTGGTACAAATTAAATACAACCAGCAGAAAAAAATATTTGAATACATAGACACATGCGTATACACATACAAGTGTAGATGGAATATATGTATGTATAACATATATATTTATTTTGGACAGAATGAAAGAGGCGGTTGACCTTAAGCTAAGAGAGGAACAAGCAGGATTCAGGAAGGAAAGATCTTGTACAGATCAGATAGCCACTCTTAGAATTATTGTAGAACAGACGATAGAATGGCAAGCCCCGCTTTACATCTGCTTTGTTGACTTTGAGAAGGCCTTTGATAGTGTGGATAGGCAAACAATATGGAATCTGTTGAGACACTATGGTGTACCTGCTAAGTTAGTGGAAATAATCCAGCAACTTTACAATGGATTTTCATGCCAAGTTAGCCATGCAGGGAAACTGTCTAAAGAGTTCCAGGTCAACACAGGTGTGAGACAAGGATGTCTGCTGTCGCCCCTCCTCTTCTTGGTAGTTCTCGACTGGGTGACACGCACAGCCTATGCCAGTTCTGGAAAAGGTATTCAGTGGACACTCACGGGGAAACTAGAAGATCTGGAGTTTGCAGATGATCTTGCCTTACTCTCGCACAGGCTGCAGGACATGCAAGAAAAAGTTGATGCATTAGGAGCCATCTCGCAGCGCGTAGGTCTGAAGATCAACAAAGAAAAGACGGAAATGATGAGAATTAACAATAAACAGGAGGCTCCAGTGTCAATAGACGGAAGACAGGTAAATGATGTGCAAGAGTTTGTCTAACTTGGCAGCAAGATCAGCAAAACGGGAGGCACAGAGGAGGACATACGCGCTAGAGTTAATAAAGCCCGCTGCGCTTTCACAGTCCTGCGACCCATATGGAAAAGTTCGGCCATCTCCATTACCACAAAAATTAGGATATTTAACTCTAATGTCAAGGCAGTTCTGCTGTATGGAGCAGAGACATGGAGAGTCTCCAAGGCAAGCACAGCAAAGATACAGACCTTCATGAATAGATGCCTTAGACAGATACTGAAACTGAGATGGCAGGACAAAGTGCCGAACTTGGAACTATGGAGGAAAGCTAGGCAGGAGCCTATAGGTGTGCAAATAAGAAGGAGGAAGTGGCGCTGGGTGGGTCACACACTGCGAAAGGCTCACACAAATGTTACACGCCAAGCGCTTGAGTGGAACCCCCAGGGAAAGCGGAAGAGAGGGCGCCCAAGACAGACCTGGAGGCGGAGTCTTCTTGAAGAACTGAAGCCAATAGGGATGTCTTGGGAGATGTCAAAATTAATAGCCGAGGATAGGAAGAAATGGAAGGAAATGGTGGAGGCCCTATGCTCCATAAGGAGCAAAGAGGACTAAGTCAAGTAAGTCATAACACATATATATATATATATATATATATATATATATATATATATATATATATATATATATATATATATATATATATATATATATATATATATATAAATATATATATATATGTTACGGTCAAAGCCCGAAGTCGGCCAATGCGCGGATTGGCCGGCCAATCCGCGCATTGGCCAATATCGCCTTCCATAGGTCGGTCAAAGTCCGAAACTTTGCTTGATTTCGGCCTTTGGCCGGCCAATCCGCGGACTGGCCATGGTTGACCGGCCAAAGTCTTAATTAGAAGATCATCTGGCTAGGGACGACCGGCCAAAGTCCGAATTAGAAAATCATGAGCAGATTTTGGGTTTTTTAATGCCGTAAGGATCATGAAATTAAGTTTTTATTGATTATTAATTAAAGTAAATGACAGAAACATTCAATTTTTTTTATTGTACTACAGTCTCAATCAATCAATATTATCATTTGTTACAACAAGTTGAACTTTTATGGCATTTAGAATTACATAGCAGCTTGTTATTTTTACACTTGCAGCGATTTGTTGTGCACTTGGTTGTGCAATTGCAGCGAGTGAGTCTTTGGCCCCCAGTCAATGATTGTGAAGATGCGATGGTTCGTAGTGATTTTTCCTCAGTGCCAACTGACGACAATAAGAGCAGTTTTTCATGAAGAATTGAAAACTCACTTCTAGCATACAGTTGTTTTAGGACACCATGTTCCGTTCCTAATTTGTAGAAACCGCCCTCGACGCTCATGACAACTGCAATCACGCTTCGGGGATCACCGCGACCTCTGTCAACATCTGGAACACGGATGCGTACATTGTCACCCACTTCACCATCTTTAAATTTTGTATTTGATGTTTTAAGCATCTTAGCACCTTGATTTTGCAAGCCATTATGAGCTGCTGACCTGTGTTCCATGATGTCTTGTTTGTTGTGACACAATCTGCAGGTAATGTCCCCTCCGTATCCTTCGTCTGCTTCATTGGGTACTCCACAAATAGCATGGACATCTTTGCCACAGGATCCACAAAAATGAGCTGTACAAACAAGAGCTAAACAATACGTTACTCACAATGAAACCGCACCCAGAATAATGAAAACGCGATCACAACTTAGACTAGATAGAACAATGGCCAGGACATCCCGGCCAATGCGCGCATTGGCCAGCCAATGTACAAAATACGCTGTCAAGTTTAAGCACTTCGGACTTTGGCCAGTTCGTCCCGGCCAGTGCGCGCATTGGCCGGCCAATGTACAAAATACGCTGTCAAGTTTAAGCACTTCGGACTTTGGCCAGTTCGTCCCGGCCAGTGCGCGCATTGGCCGGCCAATGTACGAAATACGATCTTAGTTCTAAGTTCTTCGGGCTTTGGCCAAGAGAGCCGGCCAATCCGCGCATTGGCCGGCCAATCCGGGGTTTGGCCGCACTTCGGGCTTTGACCGTAACATATATATATATATATATATATATATATATATATATATATATATATATATATATATATATATATATATATATATATATATATATATATATATATATATATATATATATATATATATATATATATATATATATATATATTAGAGAGAAATTGCTGTTTCAAATTTTAAAAGTAACGATTTTGGCTGAAATTTGATGGCATTTTGTGAAGCTGTGTGGTAATGGGGAGGGAGAAAATAAAAATAGATGTCGAAAAAAAAAAGAGTAAGGATATTTATGGATGACCCCATAGCAATAGTGGCCAGATTCGATGTTATTTATGATATTTATTTTTGATAACACTGCCCTACATTTACCAGAAAACCTGTGGCATAAAGTAGGTCAAAGTTCAATAACAAGAAAGAGTAGGGGAAATGACGATTGAGGAAGTGTAAATCGGTATCAACTATTGTAGGCCTACACTACACAGTACACAGGATCAACTAGAGTATCCAAAATGCAGCATACTAAACACAATTTAGCTATTGTAAAATGAATCATACGATATTCATAGACATTAATATTGATTAGCCACTGATAACAAACTCGGTTGATGTAGGCTTATTATTTCATAGGTTAATTAAATAAATAATTATGATTTATTGAAAACAGTAGGCCAACCTAACCACAGGAGGTCGAGTACGGGACCATCAAGATTCAAACCGTAAGAACAAAGTTTGAAAGTTTGTGATTATTTTTTATTTATTTTACTCATCAGTAACTACTCTAGATCTAGATTCTTTAATTAAAATCTAATCTTAGATTAGAATTGGATCTAGATCTAGGTCTGATTCAAAAATCTAAATCTAGATCTAGTTTATTCTAGAAACTAGAATAGGGCATTAGAGTTTAGAGTTTAGAGTCATTAGGCTAATAAAGTAATAACTAATAAGTAATAATGGCTAATGTAAGCCCTAGAATTCTAGATCTCTTCTAGAATCTAGAAAAAGTCTAGACTATGTCTATACTTTACTATTGAGTCTGTCTGTGACTATATAATTGTTGTGTGTACTGACCTGTGTTGTTCTTTATTTACTACAGTTTAGCACACCTTTCCCTCTTCTTACTTAAACTTACTATTAAGATGTTTGACCAGTTCAGTCAGCCAAAAAATGTAAACAAAATTTGTCAAAAACAACTCAGCTTAGCTCCAAAGCTCACTTGTTTTCTTTCATTTCCCTGAGTAGTCACTGTGTGTCTTTAAGTTCACTTGTCCAGTGTGTGAAGGCCTTAAATTACAATAGTGTCATTTCAAGTAGAGTTGCAACTGGCAGTGTCTTTCAATTTTAAAATTGATTTTTGTAATTGATAACTTGACAGAAGCTAATCAACAATTTTGTTTTGGCTGGATCACAATGCCTTTTCTTCATTACAAGTACTGTAGTTTTTTTCTATATGTAAAACACAAGATTAGATTACTTTTAATTAGGCACATGCTTCATTTTCTTATTCTTTTTAAAGAACATTTTGTCATGTTAATTTTTTATTTTATTCATCTATATTTTGTTTTTATTTGGGAATTTTATTTTTAGGTGTGGTTGGCTTACTTGTTTATAAATGTTTTTAAGTGATGCTGTGGTGGGAGAGGTTATTGCACATAGTTTAGACGCCAGTCAATTTCTACTGTGTATAAATACAACTGATGCAGGTTCCAAATTAAACAATACGAAAGTTCATTCACTATTTACACTAATCTCCAAATGCACCTAATCCTGTCATCTGTTCTGCTTATGATTTAAAAGGTAGACTCAAAATGCACCCACTAGTTTTGGATTTTTTTTCATTGAGTATTCCTAATCACTAACCCTGAGTTAATGTTAGTGTGGGTTGTGTTAAGAAATATTCTGGATGGAATTAGATTACTCTACACTTAACCCATTACCAGCTTGCATTACTATAGCATGCCTAGGAAAAGTGTGAAATCCTATACTATTTATACCATGCCGTTATTTATAGAATAGGTATTTGTAATATATATACAGGCATATATATATAATATATATATATATATATATATATATATATATATATATATATATATATATATATATATATATATCAGTAGCGTACGCAGGGGGGGAGCAGGGGGAGCGGCCGCTCCCCCTCTGGCCATTTTAAGCAAAGTGGCGCCTTTTTGGAAACTTTTTAAACTCAAAGTTTTAAACAGTGATATTTGTTATAAAAAATATTTTTGGTCGGCACATCTATGTAAATCACACAATTTCTTTTCATGCAGCTATTAAGCATTATTGTACTAGTCTAGTAGTGTCTACGTTTACAACACGTATTAACAGCTGCAGCAGTTTGCCATTCTTAAAATAACCATTACGATGCATTGCAATGTTTAAAAAACCTCTACGGGTAGTACCACTTGGCAAGAGGGGTGTTAAGTTTTAGGCAACTGTATAATGTATTTGCTTACGAATAATTGCATTAGTAAATGTTATACATAAAACTTCACACATAATTACTTTATATATACAGTTTGAATCGTGTGATTAAGTAAAAAAATTACAATACAGAAACAAATACAACTGATGTGGCACCTCTATTTAAATTTACTTATGAGCAAACTGCGTAGTGGTGGGGAAATTTTGACAAGGTCAACATCGTCATCACGATGAAGTGGTAGTATTCTTACAGTTTGGGCGATAGTGATTACGATTACAAATTATATGAAACAGTTACAACCCCCCTCCTCCATGTACCCCTCTGTAAAAACAAATATTGTCATAATACCACTGCTACATATTTAAACCTATTTCTGTAACATATATTTGTGTAATATATATTTGTGTAATATATATGTATGTTTAGAACAGTCATCTAAAAACTGACGCTATGTTCACTCTGAGTTGGTTATCTCCCCCCCCCCCCCCCCCCTGGGTTTGATAATTGACCTAGAAGTGACCGGACAGTGGTGAATGAAGTTTTTTTGTTTAGATTGATACAATTTTTGTTTTGTCGGCCTACATTGTGTGTTTTTTCTTATTTCTTTAGAGTGCTACTTTCAATTTAATTTACATCATAGCGAAGTAATGACATATAGCTAGTAATTATATATATATATATATATATATATATATATATATATATATATATATATATATATAATGAAGAGTTTATTTTCAAAATGCAATATATCCAAAATTTGGGTTTTGAGAAAATCGCACTTTTCGCCTATACAAAGCCATTGTACAATATGCTAAAACTGTTTTTCATAAATAGAAATAAAATGAAAATTTTGCGCCCTGAAGATTAAAATTAAGTTTTCCTAATAGTAACTGAGTAGCTTTTCAATATGGGCACGTTATCTCATTTTTTTTTAAAAATGGCGCTTATCGCGTTTTGAAAATAAACTCTTCATTATATATATATATATATATATATATATATATATATATATATATATATATATATATATATATATATATATATATATATATATATATCTATAATATAAGCGGGCTGTGTCTGTCCTTCCTTCCGTCCGTCATCGCTATAGATTTTGGAACCATAAAAGTAAACATCGCACCATTTAGTGCTTTGCAGTGCATCGCATTGTCTTATAAGTATTAGAGTAGGGTCTGTTTATATAACGACAGAGAGCTAATTTATAATTTCCACTGTTTGTACAATTTTGTATAACGTAAAGAGAATATTTAATACACGCACATTGCTAAAACATATTAAAAGGATCAATGTCAAATATCGTTTTCGTTAATATTCCTAGAAAAAGTGGATACATTTTTATAACATAATAACTGTAGGTTAGAAAAATCTAATTAAACTGTTTAGTAATTTTGCCAAGGGAGGTATTTTAAAAATAAATTGAACTCACGCTAAAAATGTGAATGCAGAATCTGCAAGAAGGAATAATTGTTGGAATAATATAATTAGCAAAATGTGAATGCAAATTATGCAGACGTGTAAGAGTACATTATTGTTGGAATATTATAATTAGCATTGATTGATAAAAGGCTATTTTTTATTTATTTTATTCACTGAATGTAATGTTTACTACTTATAATTTTTTAATCAACTATTAAGCACTACTATAGACGCGTCATCACGTTCATTTGATGCGAAATGGTTTTAGTTATGAAACTCTATTGTAAATTTTTAAAATTTAAAGTACTGGGAAAAAAATGCGTGAATTGATAAAGTGATATAATATGGTAGGTAAAACACGGATATTTTAAATACTGCTGGGGGTTTTATAGGAGAGGCGTAGAGAGGGGGGGGGGGAAACATATGTCCCCGGTTGCCGACCTAAGGGGGCGCCAAAGTGGGTTTAAAAAATGTGCGGGGGGGGGGGGGGTGGAAATCGGAAGTTTGAGGGGGGATTTTATGTTATGAGTGTTGTGTTTGTTTTTTCTTTTGTGTTTTTTTTTTCGTTCGTTTGTGTTGTGTTTAATTTTGTTCTGTTCCCCAGTTGGTACATTTAAAAAAAGATTTACCGTGGCGGAGCACGGGATGCAGCTAGTATATATATGTATATATATATATATATATATATATATATATATATATATATATATAATACACGTATATAGAATAGAACGCGTTTAAAATTCGGCGCCTTTTTTTGCTCTTTTCGCTCCCCCTACAACGAAAACCTGGATACGCCTCTGATATATATATATATATATATATATATATATATATATATATATATATATTCACACTTGCACAACACATATACAAAATAATTTAATTAAACAATTAAGAAGAGTTGAAGAAAACAAGGATGTTTTGCTGATTGTCACAGTGAATAAATTGTTCAGCCATTTCCTTAGACCTGAATCCTCCAATTATTCTTCAATGTTGAAAGTGCTTGTTCTCCAACTAAGGAGGATACAAAAGGACTTCTGTTTCTGCCCAAGTGTGTATACAACTTCCATTTTATTTTTTTACTTTCTCTGCAGCCATTTTAGGATGACCTATCCTGAGATATCTACGCTAGATGGGCAGTTAACTCTGCCGGGCATCAAGACAGACAGCAACAACCAGGTGGAGATAGATTTTCTTTTCCCCAATGGCATTCTGATTCCGCTGAAGGTCAACTACTTCTCACCCCTGGATCAAATAAAACAGGTAGGTGGATGTTGACATCTCAGTTTGATCCCCTGTGTGTATATATTCTGTTTGTTTTACTTTACTTTAAGTTGTAACTCCATTATAAAACAGGTTCACTAGTAACTCTGATCAGTATATTAAATTTTAAGCCATTAGGGCTATGGTTTAGAATTAAGTATCATATAAACTACCAGTTAGATTCTGATGGTTTCATTTTTGGCTTAATTCACTGCTAGTCATAACTCCTAGAAAGTAATATAACAACTATCTCAGATGAGTGTTCAGTTCAAAAGGGCTAAAATTTAGGTTTACTACGTATCGTCCCGTTCGTGTCCAAGACACATGTCGCAGATCTGTTTCAATGACCTCTGCATAGAATGGAATCATGTGGTCAGAACTATGCCCAGCCGCCTTTGTTTCCCTAAAGTGTGTCAGGTACTGATTAGAGCTGGGTGGACTCAGGGAGGTCCTACAGACTCAAGCCCGGGATTCGAACTCAAGACTCTCGGGTTAGCACTTGTAAGCTCTACCACTGGACCACGCTGTTCCATAAATTCTAGTTTTTAGTATCCTTATAAAAAGGAGCATCTAGATCTTAATGGTATGGCCAAGACAGGCATACATGTGTGTGCTTAAACTCATTAATTAGGTAGATTAAAACTGACCTACATGTAACCAGATATTTTTAGTTGCATAATTAGGGTGTGCTTTGACAACAAGAAATGTGTACTTGCACAATTGTATTGTCTTTCAACTACACGCACTCCCCCATGTGCAGTTTCTATTTCCAAGAACAGTTATTATTCAAAATGGCATGCATTTGATACTCTTTAATAACCAGCAAGCCACTTGTCCTTGACATTTGTGAGTTGTTTACTTGGGGTTCACCTATTGTTTCCACATCTGGCTGGGGGAGGCGGGGCTATAAGGAAGGAAAAATACAGTTCCCTCCCTTCATAATTTTTCATTTCAACAAAACAGGATGTGACCAGTTTGCACTTTCCTATTTTAAATTTGTATGGAATTTAAAAACTATTTCTGGTTTAAAATTTTTTTTAGATCAAATTCAAAAAATTATTTCTGGTTTTAAATTTTTTTTTAGATCAAATTCAAAAAATTATTTCTGGTTTTAAATTTTTTTTCAAATTTAAAAATTATTTCTGGGTTTAAATTTTTTTTTAATTTAAAAATTATTTCAGGTTTTAATTTTTTATTTACCTCCATTATAACAGATCATATGGAGAGAGGTACATAATTATCCATTGGCCAACAATTTGCTACAAGAAGATGCTTACAGCTTTACATTTATCAACACTGTTGGAGAAAAGGTAGGCCATGTGTACGTGGGTTTGTTCAAATATTAACACGCCCCTTGACTTAGGTTTGGGGTAGGTGGTGTAGAGTCAACCTGGGTCAATACTATTGGAGAAAAGGTAGGCCATGTGTACGTGGGTTTGTTCAAATATTAACATGCCCCTTGACTTAGGTTTGGGGTAGGTGGTGTAGAGTCAACCTGGGTCAATACTATTGGAGAAAAGGTAGGCTAGCAAGCAAAGTGTACTTGGGTTTGTTCAAATATTAACACGCCCCTTGACTTAGGTTTGGGGTAGGTGGTGTAGAGTCAACCTGGGTCAATACTATTGGAGAAAAGGTAGGCCATGTGTACTTGGGTTTGTTCAAATATTAACATGCCCCTTGACTTAGGTTTGGGGTAGGTGGTGTAGAGTCAACCTGGGTCAATACTATTGGAGAAAAGGTAGGCCATGTGTACGTGGGTTTGTTCAAATATTAACACGCCCCTTGACTTAAGTTTGGGGTAGGTGGTGTAGAGTCAACCTGGGTCAATACTATTGGAGAAAAGGTAGGCCATGTGTACATGGGTTTGTTCAAATATTAACATGCCCCTTGACTTAGGTTTGGGGTAGGTGGTGTAGAGTCAACCTGGGTCAATACTATTGGAGAAAAGGTAGGCCATGTGTACGTGGGTTTGTTCAAATATTAACATGCCCCTTGACTTAGGTTTGGGGTAGGTGGTGTAGAGTCAACCTGGGTCAATACTATTGGAGAAAAGGTAGGCCATGTGTACTTGGGTTTGTTCAAATATTAACATGCCCCTTGACTTAGGTTTGGGGTAGGTGGTGTAGAGTCAACCTGGGTCAATACTATTGGAGAAAAGGTAGGCCATGTGTACGTGGGTTTGTTCAAATATTAACACGCCCCTTGACTTAAGTTTGGGGTAGGTGGTGTAGAGTCAACCTGGGTCAATACTATTGGAGAAAAGGTAGGCCATGTGTACATGGGTTTGTTCAAATATTAACATGCCCCTTGACTTAGGTTTGGGGTAGGTGGTGTAGAGTCAACCTGGGTCAATACTATTGGAGAAAAGGTAGGCTAGCAAGCAAAGTGTACTTGGGTTTGTTCAAATATTAACACGCCCCTTGACTTAGGTTTGGGGTAGGTGGTGTAGAGTTAACCTGGGTCAATACTATTGGAGAAAAGGTAGGCTAGCAAGCAAAGTGTACTTGGGTTTGTTCAAATATTAACACGCCCCTTGACTTAGGTTTGGGGTAGGTGGTGTAGAGTTAACCTGGGTCAATACTATTGGAGAAAAAGTAGGGCAGCATCTAGTTCAGATATTAACAATTATAAACATTAGGGCAGCACCTAGTAAAGATATTAAGTTATAAACATGCCTTCAGGCTGGTATTTGAGAGGTCCAGTATGGTTAACCTGGCTCAGTACAAAACTACACACTCACCAGAGTTCTAATAAACAGAGGATTAAAATTATTTTCTTTTATCAAATTTTAGGAAGAAGTGCTTGATGAAAGCCAAAATTTGGAACAGTTGCAGCCCTTTATGGGACTCTTCCAGTTGGTTAAAAAGAAGGGAGACACCAAAACAAAAACATTGGACAAAAAAATCAGCAATCTCATTGGCCAAGGTAATCTTAAAGTTGTGTTGCAAAGTTATAAATATTTGATATTAATAGTCGTTAGGTTAGGTGAGCCTGTCGTCCCTCCTGGGGTATAGACCACTGACAAGAGCTTTCCAGGCGTCTCTGTCCTGTGCTAGTCTCTCCAACTGTCCCCAGGTGTATCCGATCTTCTTGGTATCTTCTTCCAGGTCACATCTCCAGGTCTTTCTTGGTCTGCCTCTCCTCCTCCTTCCCTGCAATAGTCGTTAGAATTAAGAATAATGTCACTTGGGTTTAGCTAGCTTTTAAAAATTTCTTTATTATGGAATTTTAGGTTTTACAAGCTAGTAGTAAATACACAAACATGTCATAGAATGTAATATATTGATAAAAAGAGGGACACGGTTTGTTTGACATAATCTAAAAAAAAAGGATAGATTAGTAATTGGAATCATTCCTAGAATGTCATAGAATGTAATATATAGATAAAAAGAGGGACACGGTTTGTTTGACATTATCTAAAAAAAAAGGATAGATTAGTTATTGGAATCATTCCTAGAATGTCATAGAATGTAATATATAGATAAAAAGAGGGACACGGTTTGTTTGACATAATCTAAAAAAAAAGGATAGATTAGTAATTGGAATCATTCCTAGGCTGTTGAATCCGTCCTTTGAGAAATAGTCTCAAGAACTTCCAGAAAATATTTGTTGATTTATTGAAGTTGTTCTAGTTGTTCACCTTTATATAAAGCACACATGATTCCCTTATGTTTGCACCACAATACTAGGTGCCAATAATGTGCTGATTTTTCTTCCTAGGGTTATCCAAGCAAGAATCATTTCAAGCTGCTGAAATTTTTGCATTTAAGCAGCGGATGACAGATCTCTGCAAAGAGATTGCTACTCAAAGAAGATCTCAGGTTGGTTTGTTCTTCTGGTTTTGTTTTTTTTATTCCGTGTATTGATCAGCGAACTTGTTGATACCAGCTGGTAGTGCTTGTATATTGTTTATAAGTATTGTATAAAGATTGTAACAATATTGAGATAATATTGACTTGCATGTGGAATGTATGGCTATTGGACTGCGTGGTTGGATGTTAGGGCGTAGGATGGCTATCCCATATATCTTGAGTTTGGATCCTGGACCTAAGTCCACATGATGTCCTAGTCTACCCAGCTCTGATATGTACCTGATCCACATTTAGGAAATTTAAGACAACTGTCCGCATTATCCTGCCAAAATGTCAAGGTTGTAGAAACAGGTGAACTCTACTTCATCTGCCCCAAGAAGCTCTAGGTTTGAAAGAGCATATAAGTATAGAGTATACAACTGCTGATACTCAAGTCTATTTCATATCTGTAGAACATTCCTGGATCCATCTTGGCATAGTGGGTTCTGTGATTGTTTTCATAAACTTATAGAGTTAATTTTTCAATCTTTACAGACTGCGATAGAGAAGTTCACGTGGCGCTACCCGCTTAGGCTGCGTAAAGATCCGGCATTACCTGATGAGTTACAAGCCAGTATTATCAAGGGTTGCATCGTCCTCGACATAGGATTTGCTGAGGAAGGGGTAAGCTTTAATCCTTCTTCAATCCTTCATCAATCCTTCATTATTCTTTCATTTAATGTTGATATTTGTTTGTTTGTTCTTGTGTCGCTATCAGTTTTTAAGAAAACTGTTAAAAATTGTATATTGAAGATGTTTAGCAAATTTATAAGATTGAATGATACCATAAACTGTGTTTACAAATTTTGTGTGTTTAACATTTTGTATGATCTTAAAAATGAGACAATGTCTATTATGTCCCCTAAGCTTCAATCACTGACCAATACAACCATGGATACTGTATTCATAGCTTATTCTAATCCATGTACTTGTAATGTTTAGGAATAATTTGACTAGGGTTAAAAAGGATGCTTAAAGTCTAATAAAAGAAATATTTACAATTATTGTTAAATATCAATCCTATCTTGTTATTTATTTGAACTCAAACATAGGGTTCGGCTTTTTGTTAAGAATTTCTTACAAGTACTTTTTTAAGCTTTGCCTAAAATAAATTATATTGCTACAAATTGCAAGTCTACTTCTTAGGTACTAAATCTCCTTGTAGGTTTGCTACAAATTGCAAGTCTACTACTTAGGTAATAAATCTCCTTGTAGGTTTGCTACACATTGCAAGTTGACCACTTAAGTAATAAATCTCCTTATAGGTTTGCTACAAATTGCAAGTTGACCACTTAAGTAATAAATCTCCTTATAGGTTTGCTACAAATTGCAAGTCTACTACTTAGGTAATAAATCTCCTTGTAGGTTTGCTACAAATTGCAAGTTGACCACTTAAGTAATAAATCTCCTTATAGGTTTGCTACAAATTGCAAGTTGACCACTTAGGTAATAAATCTCCTTATAGGTTTGCTACAAATTGCAAGTTGACCACTTAAGTAATCCAGATGCAGCCATCAAAAGAGCCTTGTCCAAGAAAAGTAATGGATCAGGTAGCCCTGTGGATGACTCCGAGCTGTTCATTCTCAAAGTGATAGGGCAGGAGGAGTACTTGTATGGAGATTATCCGCTTATCCAGTTTAAAGTAAGTTTGTGTGGATTTTATCCATTAGTTTAATACTATCCAGTTAACCAGCTACAAGTTAGTGTGGATATTAACCTCTAGTTAGAAGTAAGCTTGTGTTTTTTTTAAATTTAACATTCTGCTTTTGTTACATTTTGATTTGCAATGATGCACATTTCAGGAACCTCTCCTAGCCTGGGAAATACAACACCCATAATTTTTTTTTTATTAACATAATATTTAACAGCCTTTTCTTACAGATGAGACTAATTATGTCATGTGGAGTAGAGTTCTACTGATACTTTAACCTAGACGTGCAAAGAGATTGTGTGGCTAGCACTCAGTTACCTTTGTATTGCTCTACTTTAAGGGACTTAAATCTTACAGATATGGCCCAGGAAACTGAACTCTAGATGAAATTTTAGCAGTTATCCCCATTGCCATCTTATTGATCAATCTTGAATAAATCTTAATTTAGTATAAATATTAATTTGTAGTATATGAATATTTTTTCTCAACAAATAGTTTTTTTTCCTACTATTCTCTTGGCTTCTCACTAATCATAGTGTCAACATTTTGATAACAAACATTTGTTAACTTCCGCATGCAGTCCTTGCCTCATTAAGCTTGGACCCCATCTATTTTTTAGAAACTGATGGACCAGGGGAGCTAAGAGTTCTCTATTTACCTTGCTTAGTTTAGTTAGTGTTAGGTTCATAGTTTAAGCTGTTTTAGTGTTACCTAATTGATTCTATAAAATTGTGTTGACAGTATGTGTACCAGTGTCTGGTAAAGAAAACGGCGCCCCAGTTTTGGATGGTTCGCAAGGCTGCTCTACTTGGTGAGTGAAGTTATTTCACATGTGAAGGTTGGATTTTCTAAAACGTTATCATACTTATGATAAAAGAAATGTATTACCTTAAAGTTAACTGTATTGACACTTTCTACCATAGCAGAGGGGTGTAATTCAGACAAAATCAAAGTGTTGTGTCATATAATACTTAATCTAAAAATCCCAAAATTTAACAAGTTGCATCAAGATAAGCCTTTTATATTTATGAGTAATGAATCATTAGTTGTAAATCAAACGCCATTCTAGACCAAAAAAGTAAATACTAAACTCTAACCTGGTTTTTCTCTGCCACCACTAGACATTACAGGGGTGGAGGCAGTGGCGGGGGGGGGGGGGTTTACTCAAGTACCAGATGCTCAAGATTCTCCCTCAAGATTTAAAATCTTCTTTATTCTTAATTTTAGTGTTGGAAGGGATCCCCTCCAACACAATTAAGTATACGTGTCAACTGGTTATGCGCCATTGAGGCCATTAACTCCGATTTCAGCCTGCTTTTCATTTTGGATTTGCCTCCATAGCCTTTGTCCAACCAAAAACAAACTACAAGGCAGCAGTTGTTTGATTTTGGAATTGTCTCTCCTGAAGAGTGGCTGTCCCCAGCTAATGAGCCTCATCTATCCGAGGGTTCAAACTCGAGACTTTTCGGTTTAGCAACCATGAGCTTCACCGACTCAACAATGCAGGCCCTAATCTTTAAATGAAATACAAATAGTAGTTGTACTTAAAAAGTCTTTTCATTTGGTTGTTTCCCTTGTCTTTGTAAATTAATTTTGAAAATCAGGTGTAATTTCAACATACTGCAGAACCACAAGTATTGGCTGCTGACAAGTATTGATTAGCTCCCATCTAAACTAGGCAGAATAAAACCCACCCACCCACTGACTGCTGTGTCATGGGATGGTCAGTATGAGTCGTAAAAACATGACCAATTCTGAAAAATAAAAATCTTTCTAATATTTTATTTTACTAAAGCGATGCTTAAAGATATTTAAATTACTACTTTTATACCCGAAAACAAGCTTAAGAAATGGTGCTTTTCAAATTATTTTTGTTTGAAAGAAAAAAAAACGTTTTCACATGAATGTGTCATAAAATGATACAAATTATGATGAATATTTTGGGATGGAAAATCTATTTCTCTGAAATTAAACAAGCAGAAAATTTTACTTTTTTTTAAATTGAAAAATAAACGAAAGTGCCATTTCTTAAAGTATGTACAGATAAGAAAACAATATTTCTTCACTCAAAATTGAAAGAGGATCCTTTCTTTTTGTCTACAGAGTCCAACCCCCCAGTCCCACGACGACAGACCCTCGGTCCCATGCACAGTCCCATCGCAGACGTTGCCTCCTTTTGTCGAAGCCCTGACAGCAATGTTAGTGTCTGGAAAAGTGAATCTTTGTATGCGATTCAAATAAAGGGAATCTCTAAAATTCAGTTGGCAGATGGCTCAAAGGTAGGCCTGAAAATACGGAAATTGTGGTGGTATGCTTTTGAGATAAGCTTGAAATGAATATTAAGACATGCGCAAGGAATTTTATTTAGTCCTTGCTAACTTAACACGCAAGGCTTATATTTATATTTGAAGTGATGCCATCGCTTTTCATGTTTGAAATTGCACTGGCACTATTCAAAAAGCTTCCTTAGTTTTCATATTTTTCAAAATTTTAAAACTTTATTTTCAATAAAACATCACAAGGTGTGTGAGTGCATTAGTCTGTAGAAACATTCAGAGGTTTTACGTCAACCAAATTTAAATACAACTGATAAGGTAATGAATATAAATAATGGCAAATAACGTGGTGAAGCTAAGGCTGAGATGTACAAAAATCAAAGGGCTAACCATATGAAGGGATTGAATAAAAATAAGTTAATGTTAGTGAAGCCCTTCATATCTAAGCAAAAGGAGTTATGGGGACCATTCAATGTGCTTTGATTTATGATGTACATATAAAGGCATACTACTTGCTCTTAAAGATATTTTTTTTATACACAACCAAAATATATTTTCATTTTCTCTTTCCTTTCATTTTGCTTGCAACCTTTGAACTTTTTGTAACCAATTCAGGCCCTTTGTGCTTTTTGGGATCCACATAATTATAAAAATAGTCTAATATTTCTATATGGGAGAGGTTGCCTGTCTTAAATATCAATTTCTCGCCATCATTGAACTCTATATCAATTTGAGGTTCTATCCTGTCTGATCTGATATCAAATTTGACGATGGTTCAGACATTGGTTCCTAATACGTCAGGCAAGTGAAGGGTTGATGTCACATTCCTGATAGATTTTACATTTTTCATATATGGATCAAAAGTAAATTTAATTTTCTAACAGGACGCAAATGTAATATTTTAATTAAATATCTTGTAGCTTCTTTTCGTATTGCGAAAGCCATGTTTTGTATCTGGCCTCACTCCTGGTGAAAATTAAAGATAGATTCTATTTTAAACTTAGTTTAAAAGGGACATTCGCATGTTTAGAATCGCAGTTATTGGGTTTATCTGCATTTGTTAAAAAAAAATAAAACTGTTTAAGCACTTGTCTCTCCAAAGAAATTATAAGGAATTATAATATTAAACAGACATTATTTACTCCTTTTCTTAAATAAAAAATGTAAGCTATAAAATATTTTTCCAATAATTTGGGTTTTTTAATTATTTGACAGCATTAGTCTGTTTTTAAATTGTCTTTTGATTATTCTTACCTGAAAATGAATGACGTTCTGAATTATCTCCCTTTGACAGATCAAGATCTATGTGGGAATCTATCATGGGGCAGAATCCTTGTGTGATGAAAAAGAAACAGAAGATTTAACTATCCAGGACAGTACCTGTAGTGCCAAGATAGACATCACCTTTGATATCCGTGTAGCTGACCTGCCACACTGTGCCCGCCTGTGTTTTGCTTTGTACACTTTTGGGGGCAACACTAAGAGAAAAGTAAATTTACAATTGTTTATCTCGGTCTTCCTAAAAATACTAACATAAAACAGCCGTTTGATTGTGCATTGTATCAGTTAGCGCTGCACCATTTTTTCTTCCAAAAATTTGCACTTTCCTTAGTATTTTTTTAACTGAAAAGCATAATGCAGTCTTACCTTTATTTAATTATAAGAAAATCGCCATATGGTTATTGAATTGAAAATAACGTTGGGCCGGTTCAGAATTTTGACCCTTATTTTAAAACATTGACTAAATTCTTAGGACCTTTACCCAGTAAAATGTCCATTAAACTTTCAGGGTTTTCATTTATCCATTACAATATCTACTGAATTATTAGGATATTTATCCAGATATTAAAATGTCCATTGAAATTTTAGGATTTTCATTCATCCATTAAAATATCTACTAAATTCTCCGGACATTACCCAGATATTAAAACGTCTATTACATTTTTAGGATCTTCATTCATCCATTAAAATATCCCCTAAATTTTTAGGATCTTTAATCACCCATTAAAATATCCAATAGCTTCTTCCAACATTTTCAAACCCACACCATTTTTAGGATTTATACTCTTGACTATTTGAATCTCCCCACAACTTTCAGGACCTTGCAGCTTGGGTGAACATTCCTGTGTACGACTTCAAGCAGCGGCTTCAGCGTGGGGACAGGGAGCTGCCCATGTGGCCACAGGATCTTCTACAGCAACCAGATGAGCATTGCTACCCTTTAGGTAGGGCATTGGGCAGTGAGATAAATAGCATTGCTACCCTTTAGGTAGGACATTGGGCAGTGAGATAAATAGCATTGCTACCCTTTAGGTAGGGCATTGGGCAGTGAGATAAATAAGGCATTTTTATTTGGTAGGATACTGCACATTTTGACCATTAGGTAAGATAATGGGCAATGATAATTAAATGGGATAAGGCTTTTTTTTACTATTAATAAGAAAATGGGGCAGTGTTGACCATTAAGTATGATATTGCTCAAATTGACCCTGTAGGATTATAGCACCTTTTTTATTTTTACTTTTTGGTTAAGGATATAGCACATCTTTGACCATTTAGCTAAGGGTAGTATCTGTATAAATAAATAAATGTAATAGAGAGCGTTGTTGACTATTTGGTAGGATATAGCGTAGTGCTGAGAATAATGCATTGTTATGCATGTAAAGAAATATTACATAAACTACACTATCACTTTATTGTCGGGGATTGGTCTTCAACACAATGGTTTTACTAGTTAAAACAAGTATCTTAAGTATTAGTTGGATCTTCTTTCTTTTCATCTTTTCCCCTTTGTCTAAGTGGTGTTGCCCTGAACATTTTGTGGCTTATATCACAATAATTTATTTTTCTTGTCTCTTCTCCTTTGTTTAGGTGGTGATGCCCTCAACATTTTCTGGCTTATCACAATAATTTATTTTTCTTGTCTTTTCTCCTTTGTTTAGGTGGTGTTGCCCTTAACACTTTGTGCCTTGACGCAACATTTTTGAGGATAAATTTTCCAGATGTAGACCATAGTGGTAGTGCCTATCTTATCTACCCCTCGTATGACATGGTATGTGCGGTTTCTTCCCACACACTCATACACTTAATTCAAACTTTTTATTTTTTATTTTAAATTTGTTACTCAAATATATTCATTAGGTTGTATTTGTTTATTCTAATGTAATTGAAACATAAAGATCTGTAGGTATTCAGATATTTCAATACCTGAAGAGTCAACATACTATAATCAAATTTAGAATGTTCGTTAATTAAGAAATTTTTTAATAAAGGTGTTGGAGTGTGCATCCCAAAACATGGAGCCAGAAGGTGCGCCAGGATCACCTGTAAGTTTACCTTGTCTAAATTTTGTTTGTTTAGTTTGTCGAGTTAAAACAATGAAAAGTGTATCAATTTTGTGGGAAATTCTATTTGCGAACATGAATTCGCATATCATTGAGCCAGCCATAGGATGTAAATTATCAGGTAAACTCCAACTGAATGAGAACTTAGTGCTGGCTTAGTAACTGTACTTAATTTTATTTGTAGATCAGAGTATATTTATTTTGTTGTTGGACATAAAACTACGCCAAAATTCACACATAGAACAATTGACCCAATCTCCATAGCAAGCTGATCAGTTGTAGAATGTAGTTCATTTATTATGTTGTAGAACATGAAAGTGAGCAAGTCACATATAGAACAATTGACACAAGCTCTTTACCAAGCTGATCAGTTGTAGAATGTAGTTCATTTATTATGTTGTAGATTGTAGTACATATATTATGTTGTAGATTGTAGTACATATATTATGTTGTAGATTGTATTACATATATTATGTTGTAGAATGTACTTTATTTATTATGTTGTATAATTTAATACATTAGTGTTTTGTAGAATGTAGTTTATATTTGTTGTAGAACGAATTACACTTATTATGTTTTAGAATGTAGAACATTTATTATGTTGTAGAACATGAAAGTGAGCAAGTCACATATAGAACAATTGACCCAAGCTCTGTACCAAGCTGATCAGTTGTAGAATGTAGTTCATTTATTATGTTGTAGAACATGAAAGTGAGCAAGTCACATATAGAACAATTGACACAAGCTCTGTACCAAGCTGATCAGTTGTAGAATGTAGTTCATTTATTATGTTGTAGAACATGAAAGTGAGCAAGTCACATATAGAACAATTGACACAAGCTCTGTACCAAGCTGATCAGATGTAGAATGTAGTTCATTTATTACGTTGTAGAACATGAAAGTGAGCAAGTCACATATAGAACAATTGACACAAGCTCTGTACCAAGCTGATCAGTTGTAGAATGTAGTTCATTTATTATGTTGTAGAACATGAAAGTGAGCAAGTCACATATAGAACAATTGACACAAGCTCTTTACCAAGCTGATCAGTTGTAGAATGTAGTTCATTTATTATGTTGTAGAACATGAAAGTGAGCAAGTCACATATAGAACCAAGCTCTGTACCAAGCTGATCAGTTGTAGAATGTAGTTCATTTATTATGTTGTAGAACATGAAAGTGAGCAAGTCACATATAGAACCTAGCTCTGTACCAAGCTGATCAGTTGTAGAATGTAGTTCATTTATTATGTTGTAGAACATGAAAGTGAGCAAGTCACATATAGAACCAAGCTCTGTACCAAGCTGATCAGTTGTAGAATGTAGTTCATTTATTATGTTGTAGAACATGAAAGTGAGCAAGTCACATATAGAACCAAGCTCTGTACCAAGCTGATCAGTTGTAGAATATAGTTCATTTATTATGTTGTAGAACATGAAAGTGAGCAAGTCACATATAGAACCAAGCTCTGTACCAAGCTGATCAGTTGTAGAATGTAGTTCATTTATTATGTTGTAGAACATGAAAGTGAGCAAGTCACATATAGAACCAAGCTCTGTACCAAGCTGATCAGTTGTAGAATGTAGTTCATTTATTATGTTGTAGAACATGAAAGTGAGCAAGTCACATATAGAACCAAGCTCTGTACCAAGCTGATCAGTTGTAGAATGTAGTTCATTTATTATGTTGTAGAACATGAAAGTGAGCAAGTCACATATAGAACAATTGACCCAAGCTCTGTACCAAGCTGATCAGTTGTAGAATGTAGTTCATTTATTATGTTGTAGAACATGAAAGTGAGCAAGTCACATATAGAACAACTGACCCAAGCTCTGTACCAAGCTGATCAGTTGTAGAATGTAGTTCATTTATTATGTTGTAGAACATGAAAGTGAGCAAGTCACATATAGAACAACTGACACAAGCTCTGTACCAAGCTGATCAGTTGTAGAATGTAGTTCATTTATTATGTTGTAGAACATGAAAGTGAGCAAGTCACATATAGAACAATTGACCCAAGCTCTGTACCAAGCTGATCAGTTGTAGAATGTAGTTCATTTATTATGTTGTAGAACATGAAAGTGAGCAAGTCACATATAGAACCTAGCTCTGTACCAAGCTGATCAGTTGTAGAATGTAGTTCATTTATTATGTTGTAGAACATGAAAGTGAGCAAGTCACATATAGAACCAAGCTCTGTACCAAGCTGATCAGTTGTAGAATGTAGTTCATTTATTATGTTGTAGAACATGAAAGTGAGCAAGTCACATATAGAACAATTGACCCAAGCTCTGTACCAAGCTGATCAGTTGTAGAATGTAGTTCATTTATTATGTTGTAGAACATGAAAGTGAGCAAGTCACATATAGAACAATTGACACAAGCTCTGTACCAAGCTGATCAGTTGTAGAATGTAGTTCATTTATTATGTTGTAGAACATGAAAGTGAGCAAGTCACATATAGAACAATTGACACAAGCTCTGTACCAAGCTGATCAGATGTAGAATGTAGTTCATTTATTACGTTGTAGAACATGAAAGTGAGCAAGTCACATATAGAACAATTGACACAAGCTCTGTACCAAGCTGATCAGTTGTAGAATGTAGTTCATTTATTATGTTGTAGAACATGAAAGTGAGCAAGTCACATATAGAACAACTGACTCAAGCTCTGTACCAAGCTGATCAGTTGTAGAATGTAGTTCATTTATTATGTTGTAGAACATGAAAGTGAGCAAGTCACATATAGAACAATTGACCCAAGCTCTGTACCAAGCTGATCAGTTGTAGAATGTAGTTCATTTATTATGTTGTAGAACATGAAAGTGAGCAAGTCACATATAGAACCTAGCTCTGTACCAAGCTGATCAGTTGTAGAATGTAGTTCATTTATTATGTTGTAGAACATGAAAGTGAGCAAGTCACATATAGAACAATTGACACAAGCTCTTTACCAAGCTGATCAGTTGTAGAATGTAGTTCATTTATTATGTTGTAGAACATGAAAGTGAGCAAGTCACATATAGAACCAAGCTCTGTACCAAGCTGATCAGTTGTAGAATGTAGTTCATTTATTATGTTGTAGAACATGAAAGTGAGCAAGTCACATATAGAACCTAGCTCTGTACCAAGCTGATCAGTTGTAGAATGTAGTTCATTTATTATGTTGTAGAACATGAAAGTGAGCAAGTCACATATAGAACCAAGCTCTGTACCAAGCTGATCAGTTGTAGAATGTAGTTCATTTATTATGTTGTAGAACATGAAAGTGAGCAAGTCACATATAGAACCAAGCTCTGTACCAAGCTGATCAGTTGTAGAATATAGTTCATTTATTATGTTGTAGAACATGAAAGTGAGCAAGTCACATATAGAACCAAGCTCTGTACCAAGCTGATCAGTTGTAGAATGTAGTTCATTTATTATGTTGTAGAACATGAAAGTGAGCAAGTCACATATAGAACCAAGCTCTGTACCAAGCTGATCAGTTGTAGAATGTAGTTCATTTATTATGTTGTAGAACATGAAAGTGAGCAAGTCACATATAGAACCAAGCTCTGTACCAAGCTGATCAGTTGTAGAATGTAGTTCATTTATTATGTTGTAGAACATGAAAGTGAGCAAGTCACATATAGAACAATTGACCCAAGCTCTGTACCAAGCTGATCAGTTGTAGAATGTAGTTCATTTATTATGTTGTAGAACATGAAAGTGAGCAAGTCACATATAGAACAACTGACCCAAGCTCTGTACCAAGCTGATCAGTTGTAGAATGTAGTTCATTTATTATGTTGTAGAACATGAAAGTGAGCAAGTCACATATAGAACAACTGACACAAGCTCTGTACCAAGCTGATCAGTTGTAGAATGTAGTTCATTTATTATGTTGTAGAACATGAAAGTGAGCAAGTCACATATAGAACAATTGACCCAAGCTCTGTACCAAGCTGATCAGTTGTAGAATGTAGTTCATTTATTATGTTGTAGAACATGAAAGTGAGCAAGTCACATATAGAACCTAGCTCTGTACCAAGCTGATCAGTTGTAGAATGTAGTTCATTTATTATGTTGTAGAACATGAAAGTGAGCAAGTCACATATAGAACAATTGACCCAAGCTCTGTACCAAGCTGATCAGTTGTAGAATGTAGTTCATTTATTATGTTGTAGAACATGAAAGTGAGCAAGTCACATATAGAACAATTGACCCAAGCTCTGTACCAAGCTGATCAGTTGTAGAATGTAGTTCATTTACTATGTTGTAGAACATGAAAGTGAGCAAGTCACATATAGAACAACTGACCCAAGCTCTGTACCAAGCTGATCAGTTGTAGAATGTAGTTCATTTATTATGTTGTAGAACATGAAAGTGAGCAAGTCACATATAGAACAACTGACCCAAGCTCTGTACCAAGCTGATCAGTTGTAGAATGTAGTTCATTTATTATGTTGTAGAACATGAAAGTGAGCAAGTCACATATAGAACAACTGACCCAAGCTCTGTACCAAGCTGATCAGTTGTAGAATGTAGTTCATTTATTATGTTGTAGAACATGAAAGTGAGCAAGTCACATATAGAACAATTGACCCAAACTCTGTACCACGCTGATCAGTTGTAGAATGTAGTTCATTTATTATGTTGTAGAACATGAAAGTGAGCAAGTCACATATAGAACAATTGACCCAAGCTCTGTGCCAAGCTGATCAGTTGTAGAATGTAGTTCATTTATTATGTTGTAGAACATGAAAGTGAGCAAGTCACATATAGAACAATTGACCCAAGCTCTGTACCAAGCTGATCAGTTGTAGAATGTAGTTCATTTATTACGTTGTAGAACATGAAAGTGAGCAAGTCACATATAGAACAATTGACCCAAGCTCTGTACCAAGCTGATCAGTTGTAGAATGTAGTTCATTTATTATGTTGTAGAATGTAGTACATTTATTATGTTGTAGAATGTAGTACATTTATTATGTTGTAGAATGTAGTTCATTTATTATGTTGTAGAACATGAAAGTGAGCAAGTCACATATAGAACAACTGACCCAAGCTCTGTACCAAGCTGATCAGTTGTAGAATGTAGTTCATTTATTATGTTGTAGAATGTAGTACATTTATTATGTTGTAGAATGTAGTTCATTTATTATGTTGTAGAACATGAAAGTGAGCAAGTCACATATAGAACAACTGACCCAAGCTCTGTACCAAGCTGATCAGTTGTAGAATGTAGTTCATTTATTATGTTGTAGAATGTAGTACATTTATTATGTTGTAGAATGTAGTTCATTTATTATGTTGTAGAACATGAAAGTGAGCAAGTCACATATAGAACAACTGACCCAAGCTCTGTACCAAGCTGATCAGTTGTAGAATGTAGTTCATTTATTATGTTGTAGAACATGAAAGTGAGCAAGTCACATATAGAACAACTGACCCAAGCTCTGTATCAAGCTGATCAGCTGTTTGAGCAGGACAAAGAACTTATCTGGATTCTGCGCTATGAAGTTCGACAAAGGTTCCCTAACTCACTCTCCAAAGTCTTGCAGTCTGTTAGATGGAACAATTATGTTGATGTTGCTAAGGTAACCATCATTTATCATGTTAATTCATTTGAATAATTTACTGTTATTGAATAATTTAGTTATTAAACTACACTATTTGAAAATTTAAATAATTTCTTCAAAATCTTCAAAAAAAATGTGTTGCACATTATCTAAATTGAATATGTTTTTCGTTATCTAGTTCTGCTATTTAACTGGATCTAGTTCTTCCAATTTTTAAAATTCAAAATAGTTGTGACATGTTGGTAGGAATGTAGGATATTAAATTTGGGATGTATCAGTTTGTGGTGAAATATTTTTTTTTTAAGGGCATGTCCAAGTTATCCAAAATGTTTTAAAGTAACTCCATTTAACCTGTTGTACTGAAATTAATTTATATTAGGCTGTTTTGTGTTTAATTGTGTATTATGTTTTAAGCAATGTACCAGAAACACAGTTCTGATTATTTTTTTTTAAAGTTTAACCCCATTGAAGTCAACATTCATAATCATAGTTCATTAAAGCGGATTTACTCTAAATAATAGAGGAGTCCTAAAGAATGGTCCTAATTTTATATATCCCACTTTAGCGCTGTAGTGTAAACTACTGGCATTTTATGAGACTACATTTAAATCAAAGTATCCTACATTTAAATCGGAGTCAATGGCCTCAATGGCGCATAAACAGTTGACACGTAACGCTTAATTGTGTTGGAGGCGTGGTCGAGTCGGCAAAAAGCTCATGGTTGATAAATTCGAGTTCAACCCCACTGGCTGATAAATCTCGATCCCCTTCAACACTAATAATTAAGAACGAAGAAGAAGAAAAAAGAAAATCAAAGTATCCTACATTTAAATCAAAGTATCCTACATTTAAATCAAAGTATCCTACCTTTAAATCAAAGTATCCTACCTTTAAATCAAAGTATCCTACCTTTAAATCAAAGTATCCTACCTTTAAATCAAAGTATCCTACCTTTAAATCAAAGTATCCTACCTTTAAATCAAAGTATCCTACCTTTAAATCAAAGTATCCTACCTTTAAATCAAAGTATCCTACCTTTAAATCAAAGTATCCTACCTTTAAATCAAAGTATCCTACCTTTAAATCAAAGTATCCTACCTTTAAATCAAAGTATCCTACCTTTAAATCAAAGTATCCTACCTTTAAATCAAAGTATCCTACCTTTAAATCAAAGTATCCTACCTTTAAATCAAAGTATCCTACCTTTAAATCAAAGTATCCTACCTTTAAATCAAAGTATCCTACCTTTAAATCAAAGTATCCTACCTTTAAATCAAAGTATCCTACCTTTAAATCAAAGTATCCTACCTTTAAATCAAAGTATCCTACATTTACATTACATTTAAATCAATGTATGCTACATTTCTATGTGTTGTTTACCTCAGATGACAGCACTTCTGCAGACCTGGCCAAACCTCCCTGTTGACTATGCGCTGGAGATACTGGACTACGAGTACCCAGACCATAATGTCAGGGAATTTGCTGTCAGGTGTTTGGATGAGGAGCTGGGGTAAGATTGGCTTCAAAGTGTTTTAGGGTTTATCTTGATGTCTATATGTTGATTGATTGTGTTATCTAGATGTTTATACGTTGATTGGTTGTGTTATCTAGATGTTTATACGTTGATTGGTTGTGTTAGATGTTTATACGTTGATTGGTTGTGTTATCTAGATGTCTATACGTTGATTGGTTGTGTTATCTAGATGTTTATACGTTGATTGATTGTGTTATCTAGATGTTTATACGTTGATTGGTTGTGTTATCTAGATGTTTATACGTTGATTTGTTGTGTTATCTAGATGTTTATACGTTGATTGATTGTGTTATCTAGATGTTTATACGTTGATTGATTGTGTTATCTAGATGTTTATACGTTGATTGATTGTGTTATCTAGATATCTATACGTTGATTGTGTTATCTAGATGTTTATACGTTTGTTGATTGTGTTGTTAGCTGGGGTAAGATTGGCTTAAGGGTTGTTTTTTTTTAATTTACAAATTATAGATTTTTCATATGTATTTTTGTTTTGACTTTCCCCAGTGATGATGATTTCTCCCAGTATATGTTACAGTTGGTCCAAGCTTTAAAATTTGAGACTCATCTCATTTGTCCACTAGCAGAGCTCCTGTTGACCAGAGCACTCAAAAATCAGCATTTAGGTCACAAATTGTTCTGGCTACTCAGGTAACAAGACTTGGCAATCTTCATCTTGTTTATAACAGCTTGTGGTTGAATTGATTTTAAGTGACATTTGTTTCATTTAGGACTAATTTTTTTTTGTTCCAAGTTAATAGCTCTCCACATTATAAGATTCTAATTCAGGTCCTGCCTTGTATTATTTACCCATAGCTAATACACCCCTTAACTAGATGCCATTACTTCTCCTAATGTTAAATTTCTATATATAGCCAGTATTAGATTGTTTTCTGGTATGGTTCTAATCTATACCTGCCCCTGCAATATTTACCCATATTCATAGTAAGATTCATACAGATATATCTCCTAATATTGTTATAATCTTGCACACAAAAACCATGTTAATATTTTAATTATGTTATCCTGGGTGGTCTAAGCTTCACAATTTTTTATCATCACCCAATACAGTTTTAATTTATATCTTGCTGTCCTGTCCTGAGCAACCCTGCTATCACCACCCCACACAAATTGTACCTTGCTGTCCTGTCCAACCCTACTGTTGCCACCCAATACAGCTTTAATTTGTATCTTGCTGTCCTGTCCTGTCCTGAGCAACCCTGTCACCACCCCATACAGTTTTAATTTGTATCTTGCTGTCCTGTCCAACCCTACTGTTGCCACCCAATACAGCTTTAATTTGTATCTTGCTGTCCTGTCCTGTCCAACCCTACTGTTGCCACCCAATACTGCTTTAATTTGTATCTTGCTGTCCTGTCCAACCCTACTGTTGCCACCCAATACAGCTTTAATTTGTATCTTGCTGTCCTGTCCAACCCTACTGTTGCCACCCAATACAGCTTTAATTTGTATCTTGCTGTCCTGTCCAACCCTACTGTCGCCACCCAATACAGCTTTAATTTGTATCTTGCTGTCCTGTCCTGTCCAACCCTACTGTCGCCACCCAATACAGCTTTAATTTGTATCTTGCTGTCCTGTCCAACCCTACTGTTGCCACCCAATACAGCTTTAATTTGTATCTTGCTGTCCTGTCCTGTCCAACCCTACTGTCGCCACCCAATACAGCTTTAATTTGTATCTTGCTGTCCTGTCCAACCCTACTGTTGCCACCCAATACAGCTTTAATTTGTATCTTGCTGTCCTGTCCTGAGCAACCCTGCTGTCACCACCCCACACAATTTGTATCTTGCTGTCCTGTCCAACCCTACTGTTGCCACCCAATACAGCTTTAATTTGTATCTTGCTGTCCTGTCCTGTCCAACCCTACTGTCGCCACCCAATACAGCTTTAATTTGTATCTTGCTGTCCTGTCCAACCCTACTGTTGCCACCCAATACAGCTTTAATTTGTATCTTGCTGTCCTGTCCTGTCCAACCCTGCTGTCACCACCCCACACAATTTGTACCTTGCTGTCTTGTCCAACCCTACTGTTGCCATCCAATACAGCTTTAAGTTGTATCTTGCTGTCCTGTCCAACCCTGCTGTTACCACCCCACACAATTTGTATCTTGCTGTCCTGTCCTGTCCTGAGCAACCCTGTCACCACCCCATACAATTTGTATCTTGCTGTCCTGTCCTGAGCAACCCTGCTGTTACCACCCCACACAATTTGTATCTTGCTGTCCTGTCCTGAGCAACCCTGTCACCACCCCATACAATTTGTATCTTGCTGTCCTGTCCAACCCTGCTGTTACCACCTCATACAATTTGTATCTTGCTGTCCTGTCCTAGGTCTGAACTTCACAACCCAGCTGTCACCACCCAGTACAGCCTGATCCTAAAGATTTACTTAAAGAACAATCACGACCATCTGTGTGTTCTCATGAAACAACAAGATGCCCTGAAAAAGCTTTCTGCTCTCAACTCTCTAATTAAGGAGGGGAAAATAGGCGATGAGGTAAAAACAAATAATTTGTAAATATTTGCATACATTTAATAAAGAAAAAATTTTTTTATAAATCTTATTGTTTGGAGATCACTTTGAATTAAGTCTGTTAACAAGGATTAGCATTATTGTATGACTTGTTAAATTTTATTAATGGCAATGTTATAAGCAGCAAAGAATTAGTGTGTTTTTAATATTAGAGTTCAGTTTTAAATAACATTTTAGCTGTGTCATAAGGTAATATTCCCACTGCTTACATTGAAATGTACCTTAGATTATATGGTCACTGTCTGCAGGCAAAAAGAGAAGAGGCTAAGGTCCTGATGATGAAGGTTCTAGAACAACCGACCTACAAGAAATTTTTCTCAGACCTCTACAGCCCATTGTCCCCTCTCTATAAGATGCAAGAACTGAAGTAAGCTAAAAATCCAAAGCAATTTTTTTTTATCCATGTGTGGTAATAGTTTGTTTTAACTTTATCTCGCTACAAGATATAAGAACTTAAGTAAGCTGTAAAAATACAAAAATATTTTTTTTTATCCAAGTGTGGTCATAGTTTGTTTTAACTTTGTCCCCTACTACAAGATAAATTTGTAAGCCAAAAATACAAAAACAATTTTTTTTTTATTCTGTTGGAACAGTGTTTGAATTTTGTTGTATAATTTATCTTGTTAGATTTAAAAAGTTTATATAATTTGTTTTTCAATTTTCCATGTCATTTACAAACTCACCTACAATTTTATAAAAGTTTTTAAAAATATGTTTAATACATCAGATTTTAGTTTTAACTTTATTTTATAAATTACCTTTTTACTTTGAACTCCGATAAAGGGAGTAAAAGTTAAAATTAATGTTCCTTTTTTTTAAATTTTCCATGTGTCATTTATCTTGTGTATTCTTTAGATCAAATTAACATTTTTATTTGAACAGGGTAGAGAAATGTACATTTATGAATTCCAAAAAACGTCCACTTTGGCTGGTCTGGTCTAATGCTGACAATATCGGCCCAGATATACAGATCATATACAAGAATGGTGATGGTACGTTGTGTCAAATTTACGTTATCATTTGTTATCCTGATTGTTTTGAAAGATTTATTGTGTTCTTTAAAACAAAAAATGTGTTTAAAAAATAAAACTGAAGAATGCCCATCTTTTAAAACTGTTATAAAAAAATTATTTTGCTTCAAACTAAATTTGCTTAATATTTGAAAAAAATTTTATTTATTCTTACTGTTAACATCTTTTTCTAAAAATAACATTTTGTGAAGTATTTCGTTTTCTAAAAAGTTTGACTGCTCTACTGAAATTTGCCTAGTTTTCCAAGGATTAGATAAAAGTTTTTTTTAAGAGTTTTACAATCAGCCAAGTATTATAAAAAAACTAAGTACAAATACTTGAATTAATGATGAATGAAAATATATTTTTTAAAATCCAACAGATCTACGACAAGACATGCTGACTTTACAAATTCTTCAGGTCATGGACAACATCTGGCAAGCTGAAGGTTTAGATTTTAGGTAGCTTTGGGTCTTTTTTTTTTTTTAATCTAGATAATTATTGGTATATTAAGTTATATTATATAACATGAATGACAATTTTAAATTTTTCTTGTGGTTGTTACTGTGATGTTAAAATAAAGAATTGTTGATCTTATCTAGGAAAATAAGTACTACAAAATTACCAAATATATATATATATATATATATATATATATATATATATATATATATATATATATATATATATATATATATGTGCAAAGAAATTAAAATATTCTGAATTCTGTATAGGAAATTCAAAGATTTTTTTGAAATTATATTTTACCTAGTTCATGTGTGGTAAAATAATCAGTTTTTTAAAATTGTGCCCAGGATGAATCCTTACATGTGCATGGCCACTGACAGGGAACAAGGCATGATTGAGGTGGTTACACCAGCAGAAACCATGGCCAACATCCAGAAGTGGTACAAGAGTGCTTTTGACAAGAGGGCATTGTTTGAATGGCTCAAGGCCAAGCACCCAGATGAAAAAAGGTGGGGAATTTTGTTGGGAAAACTTGTCACTTAAAGATTATTTGATTTGACCATAACTACTTGTAGTGATTTTAAAATGTTTTCAATGTATATTTTATGGGACTCCACAAAATAAAATCCTTTAATTTTTTTAAAGACATTGTAGGTTTCACATTTTAATGGAAATGGAGATAATAAAGGTGGCATAGAGACTAAAATTTTTGAAAAACTATTTTATTTAAAAAAAGATACTAGTTTAGATTTATCAAAACTGCTTAAAAATTGTTTTTTACAAATGTTTAAAATCTATTAAAGGTTTTTTATTTACTGGTCTGTGGTTTTACTTACAACAGATGTATACCTTTTGTGTTTTCAGTCTGAATGCAGCAGTTGAAGAGTTCCTCATGTCCTGTGCAGGGTACTGTGTAGCCACATATGTCCTTGGCATTGGAGACAGACACAACGACAACATCATGATGAAAACATCAGGACAGGTAGCTTACATACATGGGATATTTTTTTTATAAACTGTTTTTACATCCATCACAACATTGGTAATGGGATGGTGTGGTCAAATGGTAGAGCATACCTTCAAAGACTCAAGTTAAAATCTGGGTTCAAGTCCGTAGAACATCACTGAATCCGTCCAGCTCTGATGGGTATATGGGTATCTGACTGGCGTTAGGGAAAGTAAAGGTGGCGGATATAGTGCTGACCATTCCTTCAAATGCTGAGGTCACAGAAACAGGTGACCTCTACTTCTCTTGCCCCACGGACCGTCTGGTTCAAAAACTAACTTTTACAGCACTGGTACCTAAATTACTATTTACCAACACATGCTTAAGTTGGTGATTAATTAAAAAAATATGTTTAATTTAAACTCAAATTATGAAATTGTGATTGAAATTTTCAACAGAATGTTGACCAAGGGAAACAAACTCAAATAAATATTTGTTGAAGCTTGAAATGAGTAGAATTACTTTTCCGCAACTTAATGTGGTGTTTATTATTTTACCTTTCAACAGATGTTTCATATAGACTTTGGCCACTTCCTGGGCAACTTTAAGAGCAAGTTCCATGTGAAGAGGGAGAGAGTTCCATTTGTCCTCACTACCCACTTTGTTCATCTTATAACCAAGGGCAATGCAGCCCCTGATAACTTCAAAAGGTAAAAAAAATTCCTAACTTCATGAAAAAAATATCTTTGCAACTGAGGTATGTAAAAAGGTCTGAATCTAAAAGAGAAATAGGTAGAATTGGTGTACAGTTATTTATAATATCAGGACTCTGACCCACTAGTTATAAAACCAAATCATAATCAGACTTTACTAATCTTTTTACTATGTTAAGGTTATTCCCAGTAGGTATAGTTTTAGTCTCAATGTATTGAAATTGTAATCCATCTTCATTGAATAAACCTATGTTGACTGTTATTCCATGGCTGTCCAAACATGTACTAGGATCTATTCTTTTAGAGAAGTCGTTACAAAAAGTATTTTATCTAAGTTGTGCAATTAATAAAATAACAAATAATTTTTGTAAATCTTGATTAGACATTTTTTTATTGTAAATAGTGGGTTGTTTATTTAAATATGAATTAGTTTGTTTTTTTTACACGGAAATATTTATTTATTTTTTCAGATTTCGAACCATGTGTGAGAAAGCCTACCTGATCCTCCGGCAGAAATTCTCGCTGTTGATGTCCCTGTTCATGATGATGTTGTCAGGTGGCATCCCTCAGCTGACCAGCCCCAAAGATGTCAACTACCTGCGGGAGACCTTGGTTCCCCATCTCTCCGAGGCCGATGCCCGGGCCCATTTCAGGCACAATTTCGATGAAGCCCTTCAGGGCTCTTGGAAAACCAGTCTTAACTTTTGGTTTCACATGAAAGCCAAGTAAAAAACAAATTATTTAGCTTTGGTCTTTAAACTTAAGGCAGCCTCAGTTATTATTAAATAAAAATTATAACTTGTATGTTAGCATTGTCATTAACACAAACTGCAGTCAATTTTTTTTTTAAATCTATGTCACTAAAAGCTGTTACCTTTTTTAAAAGTCCCAAACAATTTGATTGCATACATTTTATTAGTTAATGGTCTTGGGATGAGAAATTTGTTAATCAAGCTTCAAAATACAACATGTCTATAAGTTTTTTCTTTTTGAAATTTAATGTTGCTTTTATTAAGAGAGTTCATGTTGTTATAAATCCCAACCTTTAAAAAAAAAAGTTTTAATAATTCTTAAAAATGATTCAGTATTCTAAGATTTCATTAAAACGTGCCTTTAAACTTATTTATATGGTGTTTTTTTTAAGCTAAAATTTTTTCCTCTATGCAAAAAAGTATATATATATTTTATAGATTTCCATTCCATTTACCCAGTATCTTTCGTCCACTGTTGATTAAAGTTTATTTTTATTATAAACATGTAAGATCAAAACAATGTGTTCAAGTTTGTTTACTTGTGCATTTGTACATTATGTGCATTTTTTTAAGGTTTAATTTTTTTAGTTTGTAATTTTTTTTTATTTACAAGACAGTAAAAATGCATTATTCAACATAGTTGTTAATTAATTATAATCAGCTAACTTGTAAAGTAATTGACAGTAAATGACAGTAATTATTGTAGATTGAAGGGAGGTAATGTAAATGCCATTTCATGTAGATTGAGTCAGGACTTAATGTCGCTTAAATTATCAAATATATTTAAATATTTGTCTAAATGTATTGCATAACTTAAGTATATCCTAGTCATTTAAACATTCAAATTTTTATAATAACATACAAATATTTTTTTTGCCAAAAATGATCAGAAAAACCTGTAGATTTTTTCCTTGCTAGTTTTATTCAACTCTCCAGCTTTTGCTTGGCATTAACTAGTCGTATTTTTCATTTTTTTGAGTGTTTATTCCAAATTTAATTTTCAGCCAGAGCATTTTTTAATAAAATGTTTTGCCTAATATTAAGATTACACAAAGAATGGTAGCATTGTGATGATTTATACTGAATAGTATGGGACTTAATTTACAAGCACCTTTTTATTTGTTTTTTTAAATAGAATTTAAAAATATTTCATAATTGTTCATATAGGTCACAAAAATGGAATGTTCATGTGATTGTTAAAAAAATTAATACCCTCATAATCCAGCTTTTATTTTAAGAAACAAACATACAAGGCTGGAGAGGTTCATATATTTACACCCTGTTCGGATGTCCATCTCAAGTTGTTGGTGTAGGCCTACTCAAGAGAGGTTCAAATATTTACTCTATTCAGATGTCTAATGACTTTGTAATCTCATCTGTTTGTTGATGTAGGCCTACTCAAGAGAGGTTCAAATATTTACACTATTCAGATGTTTAATGACTTTGTAATCTCATCTGTTTGTTGATGTAGGCCTACTCAAGATAGTTTAAAAACCAAGTGTTCATTTTAGGTTAGGTCATGTTTGCCTGTTGTCCCTCCTGGGACATAGGCTGCTGAAAAGGGCTTTCCAGGCGTCTCTGTCCTGGGCTAGTCTCTCCAACTGTCCCCAGGCTTATCCAATCTTCTTGGTGTCTTCTTCCAGGTCAAGTGTTCATTTTAACTATGTGAAAATCATTCTAATAATTAAAATTCCAGTTATTTTTCTAATTAATTTTAAAACCAGTGTTTTTCCAGTTATTGTATAGTAAGGATGTTACATCTTTTTGTAATTAACTTGTGAATAAAAATGTAAATTATCCAAAAAATTAGAACCACACTAGTTTACTGCTTGCTTTAATATTTACAGTCTGCAAGTGATCTAACTATTAGCCTTGTCCAGTCTGTAGTCTTCCATTTTGTTCACCAAAGTCATGTCTTGCAATTCTTTGTTCATTTTTTCCTAGGCATTCATTGTTTAACTCTAGCTAAACAAACTGGTGATAAAACATATCTAGACAAACTCAATTCATTTTATGTCTAATATTTTTATTCTTTCATTGAGATTAATTTTTGTAGTCTTAATTACACATCAGGAATTAATATATATGCTTGCTATGTAAATTAAAAATATGGAGTGCCTTTTGTAACAAATCTGACCTTTAGCTTTACAAATGTATCTTAATTTTTGTATAACTTTGTATCATTCTTACTTAAATGTCATTTCTCTTTTTATGCAAACTTTTCTCCCTCCCTACCTTGTTACCAATGTCATCATAAAAAAGTCCTCTTGTATAATTACCATAATTCTAACTGCAATAATTAAAAATGCTCAATGGATCAGTTCCTTAACTACGAGTAAAAAATCACATTAAACTTAATGTTTTAGGGAATACAATGTTAAAATTATCACATAATTAATTAATTTAATTATAGTGGTTGTAGTGCTTAATGTTATTCTAATGAAGTAAAGCTGTAACTGTTATGACATATCACTTACAATTTTAGTACTACAATTTTAGTACTATATACTCATGCTCAGGGACAGTGTGGTCAAATGGTAGAGCACTTGTCTTCTAGCCCGTAGTTTGGATCTCTGTTCGGGCTTGTGACAGCAGGACATCTCGGAGTCCACCCAGCTCCAATGGGTACCTGACTTGGCATTGGTGAAAGTAAAGGTGGCTGGGCATATTGCCACACTTTTTCTTTATATGCCAAAAACATGAATTCTACTTCATCTGCTCAATGGATCGCTAGATCTAAAGAGGAACTTCACTTGCTTTATACTCATGCAAAGAGAGGGCTTATGTGATGTTGGCTCAGCCTTGTTAAGAGATTAATAACTTCAATTTAGTTTTTACCCCCTTGTAACTTCACAGTTAGTTTTTGTGTTCAGTACTACAGTTAAGTTCACTAAATTTTGTGATAAAATATGTAATAGTTTTTGTGTTCAATACTACTAATTACATCTCTGTGTACTGCACTTAAAATTATTTTTCTTTAAAACTGACTCTAGCTAACATTCCCAACACTTTACACTGTCTTCATTGTTATCAGCTGTTGATCCTTAATCTTAGGAAGAAAGCACTATTGGCATTTAAAATAAGGATTACAAACTTTTTTATACCAGTGAACTCATTCCTGTATAATCAAATGTTTTTTCATTGGTTTGTTTTATAATTTATGTTGAATCTCTTTAAGATGTAATTAAAATCTGTCAAAACATTTCAGCATTTAACTTGTTCAAATACTGTATTTTATGAAAAATTATACATGAATTATTGCATGATTGATGTACCTTATATTTGACAATCTTTGTAGAAAAAAATATACATTGTTATTATGATAGTCTTTCTGTGTAAAATATAAGTAAAAAATTCTATGGTTATATTTTTCAGGGTTTTTATTGTGTAGTTTGTTGAAGGGTAATGTAGAGCAGGGGTCTCCAAACTGCGGGCCGCATCCGGCCCGTGGAGATCTTTTTGTTCACGGAAAAAAAATTAATTAGAAGTGGTTGATGTACTTTGCCCAGAAAATTCAAAACAATTTGAAAAATCTAGCATTGGGTGCAAATACCATTGCCCTCCATGTTGCAGACATCGATGTAAACATTGTAACTCAAATAGTGAAAATGGCTAGCTAGTTTTGCAATTTTTCAAATGCAATAGATGAGTCGCTGGACAGCTGTTTCAAGTTTTTGGAACAAGTACAGGGCAACAACTTGACGCACTTTCAGCAGTGCAAGGTCTTCATGGCTGAAGCAACAGCTGAGTTCCCCACATCATTTGCATGCGAGATCATCAAAGACCTCCAGCTGCAGTTTCAGTAACGGTTTTCTTACTATGATTCAAAGGCAGAAGAAGTGAGACTTTCAAAACCCATTTAAAGCAAATGTAACCAGTTGCCCAGATGAACTGCAGATGGATGTCATTGAATTGTAAGCAAATGACTTCCTTAAAGACATGTTTAAAAAATGGCGGGTGGGTTTTTGTGTTTGCTCAAGGAGAACAAACTTGGACCTCGAGTGTGTTGTCAGCCACCAACAGTGTTTCTTTCAGACTTTTTCTCCTGGAGGGTGGGGGTGCGTTTAAAATGTGTATATATTTCTATATAAATTATATTTCTTTGGGGGGGGGGGGGGGAGTACAGGGGACACCGCCACCCCAAAGAGATGTATGGAAGAAACTCTGGCCCCCGAACTGATATTTGATAGTTAATGCGGCCCTCTGGCTAAAAAGTTTGGAGACCCCTGATGTATAGGAATGGAATTGGTGATAGTATTGGGGGAAGCGAATAAAAAGGTTTTTATAAAGTATTTATAAATATGTACCAATGCCAGAAGACCCATTGTGAGTGATATTGTGCTGAAAATCTATTTTTGTAAACAGCTGTCATCTTTAGTCTGGCCCATTGGACAACACATTATTAGCCTGTGAACACTAGACCAGTGAGTGACCACAGCTGACTCAGTTGTCACTTATTTGGCACCCCCTGGTTCAATTGTTTACTTACTACAAGAAAGTAGTAGACTACCACTGTTACCCTTTGTGTAACTAATAACTTGAGATTTGTAATATAGGATTGCATTACCAGCTGTTAGGTACTAGATGAAGAACACATGGACTCTACTGACAATTATCCAGTTACCTAAGGCCATCATCCATACTTAGACATTGGGAAAGGTGAGGGCATGGAAGAACATACACTTGGGCAGATGTACAGGTGACAGGGCAGTGAATGCCACATCCTAGTATGGTTGTTTTTTTTAATTATAAAAATATTAAACAAAAAACTTCTTGGTAGTGCATTTTCAAAGTACATTTATTTCTTTTGCCAATGTAAATCAAGTACATTAGCTTCAAAAATGTTTCATCATAAAAGGTTTCATGTTTTTTTTTTTAAATTTTAAAATTATCTATTCATATTCATTCTCTCAGAATTTAGCATATTTTTTCAATAACTGATCAGTAAAATCATTTTACAATGCCTTCTTCCATTCGACTTATGCCAATTAGCCACGACTTTTACTAATTAGCCACGCCCAAACGGCTTACACAAACAGCATTCAAAAATCATAAATTTTTATTTTAAAACTAATTTTATGTACAGCATGTTGCAAATAACATCACAATTCACATCACTCTGTAAGAAAAAAAAACCTATTATAATACAATATCAGTCCCATACTTTTCACATATATATAATTTTTTTTTACAAATGAAAATTTGTGATTTCAAAATATGCATTTAAAAAAAAATCATTAACAAAAGCCAACCGAACAATTTGTCATTTCTGTTTAAATCAAAACAAAAAGAATAAACTTGGCTAGCCCTTCCACCGCAACACACTTTATGATGTTCACTAAAACAAAACCTGCTAACAGATTAAGCCATTAGGGTAATCAACCATCACCTACAAATGTAACATGGGGGGAACAGAATGAAAAAAAAAAGTTGACTTGCATAATGAGCAACACTGAACATTTCATAAGAGAATGCTGCTCAATGTTTTACTTGTTAAATGTAGCTCCTGTCTTGTTGTATACATTTATTTCTACAGTATTCTACAAATCTCCAGGTTGGTTTTTTTTTCTTCTCACCACCATTACACAAATGTCAAATACAAGTCCCCATTTTGAATGCTTCAAAAAATGTTATTTACTTAACATATCTTACTTTAGAGTAATAAGGCATTCATTCATAAACAATCAAAATGGGTTCCATGAACATACAAAGGAACAAAATATATTTAATAAAACATTCCATAAAAGCTTGGCCTTCATTTTTTTCTTCTTAAAAATGTTAAAAAATAAAAATAGAACTCTGATATATAAATGTATTTACTGGGCTAGGCACAATGCAAGCGATTGGTTCATGCTTGTTTGACTTGATGAAAACTTGGACAAGAAGCATTTCAACTTACTTCAAATAAATTCATTTCAAATATTGAAATATAAATATATTTACTTCCACTAGGGTAAACAACAATGAAGTGTTAGTGGTACGTTTTGGTAGGCAAGTGCAGTCAATTAGCACAGGAAATAAGGTAAAACTTCCCATCAAGACTCAAGACTCCACTTAAACTGTGGACAGGTTTGGTGTTAAACAAGCTGGTTTCTAGCTAGGCATTTCATCAACAACAAAAGAGATTCTGTAAGACCTAAATATCACTGTCCTAACCTCTTCGTTACTGAACTAGATATAAATGCATTAAATCAATGATCCAGCTCCACTCCGAAACAACACAAGAAGCTAACAATTTTCCAACAAACAAATTTAAGAGAAAAAAAAAATATGGGCAGTTTTTGTGACTTTAGAGTGACATCAGCTGGAGGATGAACCAGGTATGGGGTGAACAATAGGGTGAAATGATGTACATTGCATATTTGTTAAAATCAAATGGGAGTTGATCATTGAATCATTATATTTCTACTGTTATAATCCTCTTATATAGAATGAAGTGAACAAAAGAAAAAACAGCTTGAGACATTAGAATCAACTTTGTAATGTAAAGCTTGAATGTTTAACTTAGTCCACACACAAGTAGAAAGGAAGAGAAGACATGTCAGAACAATACAGATGTCAAGAGCTGTGCTTGGGCTCAACAACACATGACAAAGGGTCAAAAGACTAGCAGTAGGTGATCACTTGAAGAGAATTACATCAAACAACATAACAATTGCATTGGAGGAGTAGGGGGCAATAAAAGGGTTTCCGCTTTAGTTACTTTCTGTCAACCTGCAGTTTTTTACAACTTTTTATCTGTAAACCTTGACAGAAAGTAGAGCTGTATCATTTGCTATAGAAAACCAAAAAATATAATTCAAATAACCAGCTAACCACATTAAAACGTGCAGTTTCTTAAACTTTCAGCTCTTTAAATAATCTATCACATGCTTGAAGAAAAAAAAACTTCATATTTTAATTAGTCCAGGTAGCCTAGCAATAAACCTCAGTACAAAGTGCTTTAAGTATGATTAAGGAAAGATTTAGCAACAATTATTTGGTTTTGAAAAGCAAAAATCTACACAGGATAATTGACAAATTAATATGGAATGATTTTATATGCAGCTCTAAAACTTTAATAAAAAAAAAAATATACTGATCAAACTTAGTGTAGGGGAAAACTTTTTAAAACAATGAGGGAGGGGGAACAGGGGGGGGGGGGGAAGAGAATAATCAGATTGTAAAAGTAAAAGATTCAAAGTGCATTCTAAGAATATTTAAAAATTATCTTTCAAAGAAAACAGTTAAGATAGATCTGTCTTTTCAGTGTTAAGCTCTATTTTAAACAAGAGAAAAACTGAAAAGATGACATTCCATTAGAACTTTAACTTATTTCTTTCAATGTACTGGTTTTGGATTTTTTACTTTTTACTAATCCCCATCATCAACTAAAAGTAAAAAAAAAATGTAATGGGAATAGAATAAAATCTTCCACTAGACAAAACAGTTCTGTAAAACAAAATTTAAGGAAGCAAACTGGCTTTATCTGATTTGTCTAGAAAACAATCACTGAAACTTGGCTTTATCAGCGCTTCATTGAAACAATAATGAGCTTACATAAAAGATTTCAAAATATGGTAAATTTATCCCTGTGCTTCAATTTGATAACAACAACAAAATAATCTGGTTACTTAAAAACAGTGTCCATTTACATCAGTGAACAAAATGGATCTATACAACTCTAGATAGACCATATCTAGTTTCTCAAGTTGGAAAGTAAAGCCAAAATCGTGGGCCAAATTGAGGGAGAGGGGTGTTGAAGCTACAACAGAGGTTAAAAAAGTTAAACTGCCAAGGGACTGTCACAAGACAGATCCATCTACTGGGGTGGTATTCACTTTCTGATGGGACCCCACGAGCGACCTTTTGGTGCAACCACTGCCCCAAAGCTTGGGAATTCCTCTTGACTAGCCGTGTCTGGAGCCCGATCCCATGGAGCATCCTTGACCACAAAACCCTGTGTTGGTTCCCTGGGTGGGGCGGGATCTGAAGAACTCTTGCTGGGTGGTCTCTGCAGATCTCGGATGTACTCTTGATCCACAAAGTCTTGCAGCTGTGGGAATAATCATCGCTTATATTTAAAAAGAATAATCTCACAATACTAACAAGTTTCCTAACTAAACAAATTTAGAAATGTATATAACAAATTAAAAATTATAATTACATATTCCTCTTCCATGTTGAGCAAATAGTCCTTGCAGTCAAGAACATTATCCTCTGCACCAGAAATAGTGACCAGGTTAGGGTCTGGGTCACCAGAGCGTGGGAAGCGAAGCTCAACATTGAAGTCCTCCATCAACTTGTTGATACCACGACCTCGGGCACCAATTATACGAGGGTGGATACGGGCATCAATTGACACTTCCTCAACATACATATCCTCCTGGAGATTAAAAAACAAATGAAAATATTCAAAAACAAAATAATTCTGGTCAGTTACCCATCAGAGCTGTAAGGATTACGGACTAGAACCTGAGATTTGAGCTTGAGACTTTTGGGTTAACAGTTGTATACCCTACCATTAGACCACGCCGTCTCCACTATGGTAAATAATTTACCACGCTTGTTAAGAGACATAAATTACAGGATTTCTTTAAGACATTTTTTCAAAACAAAGTTGAATTTTAAAAAATGAACAAAGCCAACACTACTCACATAGCTTTTAACTATCTTTAAAATCTCATCCTTTGCAGCCTCAGCGTTCTGCTGGTAGCCAGTGATGGATATGAGACTTGGGTTTTCGCTGCCTTTGTCTGGGAACTGAATGTTAACGTCATGGTTCTTGCGGATCCCAGAAATTACATTACCCTTTCGACCTATGATCTTGGGGTGGTATTTTTCATCAACTTCCACAGTCAGCTTGAAGCTCTTCAATTCCTGAGGAGGAAATGTAAATATAGTAAAAACAGCTATAAATCTTTATCGTCAATTATTTTTGTCTTGTTGAAGATTTTGGATAAAACACAAAATTCATGTATCTCACACAAAAGTATATATTTCTGGTTTATTAATATAGATGTATAAAGAAACAAATGTTTAAAAATATGCAAATATGGGTTACTACCCATACAAAGTATAATGAAGTAGTCAGTACATCTCTAAAAATGTCAAGTTATTTGTTCCAAACTAATTACCCTATCTTCTTTTTCATGTTCCAACTGATTGACCCTCTCCAAAATGGCATTCCTGGCTCTGGAAACATTGGCTGGAGGTCCACGAACTTTCACAACATCACTGTGCTCTTCAGCTGCAGGAATTGAAATGTTCACATCATAGTCCTGCATCAACTTGCGCACGTCCTTGCCCCGCTGGCCGATGATAAACTTGTGAAGATCGTATGGGACATTGACTTCATCCACAATGGGTACCAAATCCTGAAGAGCAATAGTGAATAAATTAGTATTTAATTCAATAGCAGTTGTAGTCATAAACAGAATATCTTTTAAATTATTAACACCATTAAAATATTTAAAAATAAAAATGCAGTGTATGTACCAGAAGAGCTTGCTTGGCATTCTGACAGTTCTCAGGTTTACCCGTGATAATGATAATGTCCCCTTTGCGTGGACCATTGCCATTTTCAACAGGACTAATATCACCATTCACCACAGGTTCATCTGGAGAATCTACAAGGACAGAAGTAGGGTAAAAATTAGGCCATCATACTCAAGCAATGTTTAACATTACACTATAGAATAAAGAAGTAAATACTGACTTCCATTAGCCATGGGTGGCTTGTCTGGAAATTTAATGCCCACATCATACTGTCTGGTGATTTCTCTGACATTAGCTCCTCCGCTACCCATCACAGTCCTGTGATCCACCTGAGCTATCACACATTCCACTGTCACTTGAGCTTCCTGATAAACATAAGCAACAGCATTAGTGAATACATTTGTAAACAAAACCTTTTTATGTACTGTAAATGTACTTTCCGAAAACGCAGCAAAATTTTGGCTTTAAATATTCTTAAAAAAAAAAGCTAGTGAAAACACTTAAATCTCTAATCTGTTAGCAATTTTGTTTTTAAAGTCTTAATATGAAAATCTGGCCAGTACACTCTCCAGCTTTAAACATTCCTTAAAACCCAGTTTGACAATTGGTCCCTTTTTAAGGTTTAAAATATATAAATTTTTTGTTTGAAAAAAAAAATGTTCTCACCAAATCTTCAACAATCTCCAAGATTTTCTTTTTGGCTGCCTCCACACAATCTTTAGGACCTTTAATCACAACCTTGTCACTATTCACACCACTGCGAGGGAAACTCACGGTGACACCACCATAATCTTCTGCAATATTTCTCAAGACTTCACCACGTCGAGCAACAAAATATCTGTGGTGCTTAGGATCGACGTGGACCTCTCCTTCCACAGTGTTATCCTGTTAGAAAGCAAACAATTCAATTATACTACAACACATTACTTAAATTCTATTGTCAATTTTTGTTACTAGATACATTTCTAATAACGTTTAGTTTCTTTTAATAAAATGGCACTGAACAAACATACCAAGCTTTTAATAAGACCCTCTAGCTCAGACTTTGCTTGCTTCACACCCTCTTCTTTGCCGATGATGGTTATGGTTTCCTGGTCAGGGTCACTTTGGGCAGGGAAGATTATTCTTACACCTGTATTCTCCCTGACCTGGTCAATTCAAAACTATCCTTTTACAAAATCTAACAATAAGATGATAGTAATTAATGATAGTAAGTAATGAAGATTGTTTACAATAAACCTGCAGATTCAGTTAAGACTGTAAAATTAATAAATAATTGTTTAAATTTTAATAAGTTAATTCATAATAGAAAATTAGAACGTCATATTTAACTAAAGTAAAGTTAGTCACAGATTAAAATGAAAATAACCTTTTTAATGGTTGCTCCATTTCTACCAATGAGGAACTTGTGATACTGGGGTTTGGCTTTAACTTCAAGGGTAAAACTTGAATCTTTCTGTAAAACAATTTTTATTACATATTTATGTGGTAAGCACCTTTTGATATTGCAATTATTGTACATGATAAAGTGCAAGTGAATTACATGAGGTATGAAAGAGTATTTTACTAACTTATTAAAATAATTTAGCAAAGTTTTAAATGTCTCACCCTTTCATTCACCAACTCTAACAGCTGCTGTTTGGCATTCTCAACATCTGCACTAGGTCCTCTGATCACAACTTTATCACTCTTGGTTCCTTCTTGTGGGAAACGGATCATAACACCACCATTCTCTTCAGAGATAGCTCTGATAAATTTGCCCTTGGTGCCAATAAGAGAGTTGTGAAGCTTGTTGGGGATGTCAATTGTAACTTCTTTAATATTGCCCTGTTAAACCGACATAAAAAAATTGTTAACTGCTGGATAATAATACTTTATCAGCCCACAGTAACAGGGCTATTTTAGGGTAGTTATAGTTACAAAAATTTATCAGCCTAAAGTAACAGGGCAATTTTTGAGTAACTATCTTACCAATTCTTTCTGGATGGCTTCAATCTTTTCTCTAGCTTTCTCCACATTGGCTTTTTTCCCAGTGATGGTGATAACATCACTGTCACTTATTTCACTAGGCAAATCAATCTTGGTATCTGTTTCTTCTCTTATCTATTTGGGGTGGAAATATTTATACATCATGAAATAGCATGCCACATTAAAAAATTTCTAAACAGTAGCCTCTATTCTTTACAGTTAAAATAGTAACTTATATACACTCTAATACCTTCTTAATGGTGTTTCCTCCTTTACCAATAATATTTTTGTGAAAGTCCTTAAAGATGTGTACTTGTGCCTGGTAGTTGTTTTCAATCTAAAATGAAACATTTTTACTAATTAGTGGCTGAACAACTAACCGCAAACCATACAACTGTCATATCAAATAAATGTTTGAATTAAAAGTTATCAAGATGGTACATTTATTAAAATTAACCAGCATCTGGGAAAACAACATACCAAATCTTTGACCAGGTTTTGGAGATGCTTGAAGGCTTTATCAACATCATTCTTTGGTCCACGCAATGTAACAACATCACTTTTTTTACCCTGGTCAGGAAAAGTGATCTGAACCTGGTTATATTTATCTCTAATTTCCCGGATATTTTCTCCCTTGGAACCAATAATTTGACGGTGGAATCTATGTTCAATGATGATGTCCCTTGTTTTTTCATTTTCCTATTAGATTTCAACATACATGATTAGTTACATTGGGCAAAAGTGATTTTAACAATATTAGTGTTATTAAAATTAAAATAGTATGTTTATAGTGGTGGAAAATTAAATTCATTGTGAAAAAAAATCAGCATATATTTTAACTGAATTTAACAGTATTATTAGCTAGTTTATTGTGTCAGATTGTTCAAACTACTTTTTAAATACAAATGTTGCATAGAACTTTTAATGCACAAGTAACCCACCATTCTATTAGCCATTTCTAGAAGCTGCTCCTTTGCTGTCTTAACACCTTGTGGGTCACCCTCTATTCTAATAATATTACTATTTTCACCATCTGATGGTATTCTAATTGCTACACCAGTTTCTTGCTTGATTTTACTAACTGAAATTGACAGATTATATTTAATTTAACTCTAAACAAAAATATTAAAATATAACAATTCAATAAGGCGTACATTAATTTGTGTTCTATCTTAGACTAAAAGATATTGGTACTTACTGTTGGCTCCACTTTTACCAATAATATGTTTATGGAATTTTTGATCTACTTGAATTTCAGCAAAATCCATGCGCTTTATCTAATAAAAAAAATAAAGTTCTAATTACTAATTAAGGTATAAAATTTTGGGAAAAAAAGGAAAAATTTTTTTAACCTACTACCTGTACTTCACCAGGATATTTTACAATGATACATGAAAACTTAATAAATGGCCAGTTATTGAAAGTTTGTAATTTGTTAAATAGAATCAAATATCCTTTTTTTTCTCTTAAATCATAACTACTAACCGCTTATAAATCTGTAACAATAAAAATGCAGACTTACCAAATCTTTAACAAATGCATTGAGTTTCTCCACAGCTTTGTTCACCTCTTCAGGGGGTCCCTCAATTGTGATTTTGTCTTGTCCATCAGTAAACTCAATGTGAACCTGGTTAAATAGTTCAGGTGATTACTGTTATGCATTTATTAAGTGTGTATCAGTCAAACCGATTGTTTTGACAGGCAACAATTTATTTATTACATTACCCTTCATTTTTTTTACTATAAAAAAGTTAGCATTTTAAAATAAATCTATGTTCAGTACTCACAGTGGGGAAATTTTCAGTTATCTCTTTAATGTTGCTTCCCTTTCTGCCAATGATGAACCTGTGAAGCCATGCGGGTGCTGACACATCAGAAAACACAACACTGTTGGCCTGAAAGATTGAGAGAAACATTTCCTCTGTGAAGTTATCCTTTTACACCTCATGGTCCATAGGGCCGATAAATGATTAGCTTAGACCTAGCATATGAAATGATTATGTGGTCAGTATTATACCCAGTTAACTTTTCTTTCCTAGATTCAAATCACCTACTCTTCAGAGCTAGATACACTACTCTAGCCCTGGCATAAACTCATGACTTTTCGGTCTGTAATAGTGTGTTTTGCCACTCTACAACACTATCCCACAATGAAAGATACGAGACAAAAAACAAAATAAAGACAAAGAGGCTCACCTTGCTATAAACTTCAGTAAGGGCCTGGCCCAACTTTTCCTGCTCTCCTCTCAATGTGATAGTCTCGGAGGGTGAATTGAGGTCAGGTACTTCAACAGAGACACCAGTGTTGGCTAAAATTTCTTGAATGTTTGCATAACGAGGACCCACAACATACTTGTGTTGGGATTTTTTAACCTCCACTGAAACCGTCTGACACTTTCGTTTCTGAATTTAGATTTTTTAAATGATTATTAATTAGTTTAAATTACAAATTATATCGCTTCTCAACATCCTTTATATCAAGAATAAAATAGCCCTAAATAAATTGTGGTCTACCTTTTCTTCATAAATTGCCATCATAGTCTGTTTACATTTCAAAACTCCATCCTTCTCTCCAGAAACTACAATCTCATCCTTGTGAGGTGGGACACTGATTTTGGCTCCAGTTTCCTCAGTCAGTTTAATAATATTTTCTTTGTTGGGGCCACACACAAAAGGATGGAATGCCTTGGGAATTGGTAGTCTTTCAAATGCCAGTTTTGCCTAAAGAAAATATTATGCCATTGATAATATTCAAAAGTAATCTTGTAAATAATTTATAAATTTAAAACATTAAGTTCTAGAGTAATACAAAAGTAAAAAAATCCTCATAAGTTTCTTGACCTCTGCAAATCTATATATATATAATTCTCTTCTGGGAGCCCTAGAAAACAAGCTGCAAACGCGCTCCCTACCTCCCCACCCCTACATGGTTTTAGTGAGCTGTGTTCACTCTAAATGTTTACAAGCAGAGCCAACGATTTTAAACGTAGGGGGGGGGGGGAGGGGGGGGTTATGGTCCTTAACGAGCGCTACTTATAGTGTTTTAAAGAAATATTTTCAATGGCAGCGTTGGTACTGTCGAATTAATAAATTATGAATTACTGAAAAGTAGAAAAAACAACAACTAATTAGCGGCGTATGTTATGCCGCGGGCCGGCTCGTGAAGGTATAATGTGGTCAGCAATATGCCCAGCCTCCATTACCTAACTTGAGTTAGATACCCATCAGAGCTGGGTGGGTCAGAGATATTCTACTGACATTAATCCAGATTTGAACTTGAGATTATCGGGTTAGCAGCCTAGCACCACGCTGTCCCAATTAAGGAATATAAAGCACCAAAATATCTATCTTCTAAGAATATAAGCTACATAAAAATGAAGGAGTACATACTTGCTCTTCATGGATTGCTTCAATTTCATGCCGTGCCTTATCAATCCCCTCCTTCGCTCCAACAATTTTTATCTCGTTGGGGTTAGTTTTGTCATCGGAGCGAGGGAGGTAGATCTTAGTCGCAGTCGCTAATTCGATTTCCTGCAGCTTCTTGCCACTTTTGCCGAGAATAAACCTATGATACTCTCTTGGAATATTGAGCACAATACTGGCCTGCAATTAAACAAATGTTTAATATTTAGATGTATTCTGAAAACCAAGTAGCTAATAGTTATTAAGGAAATCTACACAGATTTTTTTTAATATATTATGTTTTCACCAACCTGAGTTTGGAGCCTGTTCACAACTTCCCTACGAGCTTTCATCACTGCATCTTGTCGCCCATTGATTACCAGTGTCATGCTCTGATCTTTTGCCATGCTCAGTTCAATAGATACTCCTACAAAATAAGTGGATTCTTTTATATTATACAGCATCAAATTTCCTCTACAAATATTAATCAAAGCTTACTAGTGTCTGAAGATCAGATCAATAGCTTGGCATAAACAATACCCCTTAGTCTATTCAGCTCGTAGTGTATCTGACTTAAATCTGGGCATGGTGTTGACCACACAATCCTTTTATATTGATCCAAAAAAATATACTGCTGAAAATGGTAACATTTTACCACTATTTTTGTCCTTTCAATTTGATACCTCTATTGTAATGACACAGAATATCCCTTCGAACATGGGCCTAATTTTATTAACAGATTATACTGTAATGAAGACCATCATTAAAATGAAAAAAAAATCCTTCTGTGTAAAGAAATCACTGCTTTAAAAAACTACATCAAAATAAACCTTACCAGTTTTTTGCATTATTTCCTTGCAGATTTTCATTTGTTCACTTTCTTCTCCAAACTGTCGCTCATTCATTTCCTTAAACTTGCGTTCTTCAAGGGGAACAGTAAAAACCTGTCAAAGTAAATGAGTAAAGTAAACTATATAAGTTTTTTTTATTTTCAAAAACAGAGGGCTATGACACAATAATGAAATTATATGCAAGGTTTGATTAGTTGGACTAAATTTACCTGGGTACATTTGGATTGGCGAGTGAGAAATTTAGGCTGCCATGCCCCACCAGGAGCAATAGATGGTGCGATTGGCTGTTCAGAGCGAGCATCCAGAGGTGGTAGTTTGGGGAAAGCATTATCATAGGTTGGGAATTCAGGTTCAAAAGCCTGGAGGTCAACTTTGCTAGACGTTGCCCCATCATTTTCCATACTTGTGGCCATGATTTAGAAGTTGCAGGTTATTGAAGACTTGCCGAGTCGAACAGTACAGCTAGAGAAAACATGTACCTTGTTAATAAGAACTATCATTGTAATGTGGTAATGAAAAAATTCCAAATGAAATTAACAGTTTTTACTCTGAATAAGATATGAACAAAAAAAACAAGTTTAAAATGTATACTGAGAGTAAATGAAAGATGAGAAGTAGAACTGAAAAAATGCTGTTTAAAAGCCTTTAGGGCTAACAATAGATTCACTATTATAATTATTTTTAGGGGCCTACAGAATAGATGCATATGTGTTACTAAAATTAGGGTTTAAATAATAATACAAGGGCAATTCATGAGCTCTACATATACAATAATAGATCTAGCAGATCTAGACTAATCTAGAGGAATTAAGTTTACATAACAAAATCACCCACTGTGGAAAAAAAATGGGCAGGGCAGATTTTGTCTTTTTTATTTTTCTCACTGTGAAAACTAGAAATCTGTGTATTAATGTATGGTTATTGACATAAGTAAACAATATTAACATAATTTTAATAACAGTGATCGTTTGCACAAAATGCAGATACTAAGTTTGGTGTTTATTGTTTTTCTTCTCTATACGTATACCACGTAGGCACATGAATGGTTATGTATATAAATAATGGCTGCTTCCATACTTCGTCATGGGGATTTGTACTTACATGTACTGTGTCCGTAAAAGTCCGTCCTAAAAGTTAGCTATCGTTTCTCCGGTCTCCACTGTGGCTGAATATTTCATCTGGAAGTAATAATAATCTTTACAATTGTCTAACTTGAAGCGATTATTTGTTTGATTATTTGAAGTGTAGAAAATATTACTTACCAACCACGAACAGGAAAGGTGAGAATATGATTGGGAAACAATACAACCATATCGCTATATTCTTGCGCTGCACAGAAGGATCTCATTGAGGTATTTTGATTGGTCATATTTCTAACTTGTGGCAAAAATTTATCAGTTTTATCCAATGAAAATGAGCCTTACAATTAGAAGCATTTAAAAATAATTCTTAATACTATCACAACTATTAATAAAATAATATTTGTAATCTTATGCATTTTTATCGTCTTTTGAATCATTACAAATCAGGTGCCAAATAAAACTAGAAATATACCCGGTAATATTCTAAAAACCGTAGCAAAGAAGGTTAAAGTTTAAAGGTTAAGAAAGGAATCGCCAAGGGTCAAAGTGGGTGGCAGTCACGTGTACAATTCTATTTTTAGTCACAGTTTGCGTTTACCGTTTTTAAAAAAAAAATAGACTTAAATCTACTATTCATGATAAAATAGAAATACATAGCAGTTTCTTTTACAACATTATAGTAAAATCAGTGTCTGAAATTTCATGGCTACCACCGTCACAGTGGTCCGCGATTATAGGGCCGCGTCAAAATTTAAAAAAACATGACTTAGCTCACGAGGAATGGTTTACAGTAATTATTTTTCCAAAAGGGCTCACGACAAAATGAACACAGACATTTCATACCGCGATAAAATACACCAAAGATGGCTAAGACGATGTGTCTCCTAATAAATATGCCATACTATAGGGCAGCGTTTGTCTAACTGTGGGAGTATATTATTATTAACGAACACATTGTGAGCGAAGTTGATTGACTTATCGATCTGTTATTCAAAATACTCAGCAAACTTTATTCCTCCCCGGTTGATAGTTTCAGAGCCGGCGTTAGGAATACGCGGGGCCTAGGGCCAACCATCCGAGCGGGGCCTTTCCATTATATATATATATATATATATATATATATATATATATATATATATATATATATATATATATATATATATATATATATATATATATATATATATATATATATATATATATAGCCCCCCCCCCCGAAAACGAAATGAAACTTATATAATTTATATAGAAAATATATACTTTTAACAGTGTCCGCCCCCCCCCCCCCCGAAAAAAATCTACCGCCCTTCCCCCCCCCCCCCCCCCCCGAAAATTTCAAGTGCCCCCCCCCCCCCCGGGAGAAAAAAAGTCTGGAAGAAACACTGTACATATACGACATTATACGACATCTACAACGAGAAAGTCAGGACTATAGTTCATCAGGTCACTAACTGTCTACTACAGACATCCCGTCTGCTCACTAAAAGGACGTCTTCATGGGTCCGCATACAATAAGGTATCTCTTTACGTCGAGGGCTAATTCTCGACCGCCATCTCCAGTCAGCTCAGGTCAAATGCCAGGCGACCGTACCCTACGCAAAGGGGAGGTGTGACACTGTTTTTGTATCGAATTACGGCCTGTCCCAGTTCAGGTGGGACTCACCAACATCAACCGTGGCCTCAGTTATAACAATCAACAACGTCGGCATTCGACCATTTAGTTTTTCCCAATTGAATTCAGCAACAATTTTTTTTAAGTTTACGAAGTAATTCAGATAACAATGACATTGCTGAAGCGCGGGGCCCCTTCAAGCGCGGGGCCTATGGCGACCGCCCCGTTCGCCACCCCCTAACGCCGGCTCTGGATAGTTTTAAAGTGTGCACAGTAATAGTAGCGATGATCTTTAGCCGGTTATTAATACAGGTGGATTAATTCTTATTAACCATTAATTGAACTGACAAAAAGCATATTACTTCTATATATTTTGCAATTTTTCGCCATGGTGTCACCCGGTGCGGTTCGCACTCCCCGCATCTGCCTCGCGACGCCCCTGCCCCCCCCCAAATAAAAACACACAAAAGGGTCTGCACCCTCCCATACAAATATAGCCATTTAACGTATTTGAAACGGGGTCGCAAAAGATACCCCACACACACACATACACACACACACTCAAAGAGCGTGAAGTCATTTATGGACCGAACTTAAGCACGGATGTATCATTTGTACTAAATTTCTAATTCGTTATGTGTTTCTGATAAATGTCCTATGCTTAACCTATGCGATTAACTGGAAACACATAAAAATAATTTTCTAAAATAATATTTTAAAAGAAGCAATACAATACGATAACATCGACAGTGACCATTTAACAAGGATGTAATACGTGAATTAAATTTTTACTGTGCATCAAATATATATTTACACGTTTTATTTAATCGATTTCAAAAAGTTCCGGGTTTAGAACGTCTGGGTTGTGCTATTTATGTCACAGCAAGAGCCCACGAGAAGTGTAAACATGTCTACTGACGCACTGTGAATGACTCTGTTAAACCAGGGGTCTCCAAACTACAGCCCGCGGGCCAGATGCGGCCCGCGATGTCCTCTCATCCGGCCCGCGGAGATCTTTTTGTCCACGTAAAAAGCGTTTGTTGGTGATGGCTGAGGAACTTTGACCAGAAAAATCAAAGACATTTGTGGAAGAAACTGGCCCCCGAACTGAAAATTGATAGCTAATGCGGCCCTCGGACTGAAAAGTTTGGAGACCCCTGTGTTAAACAATGGCGGTCTTTGGTTTATATTGAACAGTCTTGTATTTGAACATTTCAGGATGATAATTAAAATATTCAAAAAATGTTCTGGCAAAATTTAGGCTAAGCAGTGTGATGTTGTAGCCTTTTAATATACTAGATCTTTTAAAGTAAAATACAATAGCATTTTGAAACCAATTCATTGTCCACCCTAGGTCCACGCCTTTCCCATCGATGGTAGCGGAATATGTGTATATATATATATATATATATATATATATATATATATATATATATATATATATATATATATATATATATATATATATATATATATATATATATATATATATATATATATATAAATATATATAAGTATCCTATGCATAGGGGAAAGTGGATAATAAAAGTCAGAAAGTGTTTATTTTTATTTTGAAGCAATCTTTATTATATTATGGGCCTGGGCCAAAAAACAAGAAAATGGTTGTCTAGTTAACCCTATGAACTCGCAGTACCGCCTTTTCGATCCGTGTTTTAAAACCCCGTGCCCAGGCAGACCAACAAATCGGTCTGAGACACCTTATTCCAGATCGACGGTACAGTTCGTACATATTTAAAATGTACGCCATTAGTACAGAAAAAAATCTGCCGCCCCCCACCCCCGAGAAAAAAGTCTGGAAGAAACACTACACTAGTATTTTTAAATTCCTATTTTGTAATATACGACGAAAAGACGATTTGAAATTTCCAACAATCGTCATTCCACCTAGCTATGTCTGAAAGAAGTCTCTCTACTGGAAGGACTGGCATGCCAAGAAGTACTATCGGCGAGATTCATGAACACTTGTCCATTCAAATAATAAAATTAACCTTGTTTTTATATTTGCAGTCTTCATCTTTCATTGAGAATGTATGTACATTCAGTGGCATAGCGAGGTGGGATGTCACCCGGTGCGGCAAATGATGGTGTCACCCCCACCCCGTAAGAAAAAATTATATATATATATATATATATATATATATATATATATATATATATATATATATATATATATATATATTCCATATACACTTGTAAGTATGTGTATACGCAATTGTATATGTATTCAATTTTTTTCTGCTGGATGTATTTCATTTTTTACCCCCACTCCCACCCCATACATGGATTAACATATAGCTTATTATGATTCACGACCAAACCGTTTTCCTCAGGCATATATATTGCAACGTTGAGTTGATGTAACTCTCCCCCCCCCCCTCGTCGTCACCCCACGGTGATGGCTTTAGACTGTGCTCAGATAATACTAACGATTTGTATCTATATTCGATCAAAAATTCAGCTGGGTGTTGCATGCTTTCTTTATCATTAGCATGTTTTCGTCATGGTGTCACCCCCCCCCCTCCCCTCCACCCATGTCGGGATTTGTCCACTTTGTTCGTAAAAGACTATTTAATTCACTCTAATTAATAATGTAATTAAGTGAAATTATCATTTTTCTGTATATATTTTGCTATTTTTCGCCTTGGTGTCACCCCCCCCCCCCTAAATGGTGTCACCCGGTGCGGTCCGCACCCCCGCCCCCTCTCGCTACGCCACTGTGTACATTTAGCCAAGGGAAATGCGGAAAAGGGATTTTATCGAAAGAGTTGACCAATCTTGGTCAACAGTTATTTAATGTGGCTAATACAATTTCCCCTCCCCTCCCCCCACCCCCCAAACTGAAAAGCTAACTCCTAACTGTATCAGATCCTATCTTCACTGACCACAAAAAACATCTCTGTATCACAGAAGTGCTTTTTTATACTTCCAGTCCTTGCAATAAACCTATTGATGATATTTTTTCCTTTAATTTTAAGCATCTCTTCGAAAGGTGGGGGCGATGACCAAAGGTGTAGCAACTCACCCAACCTCCCATATAGACTACGCTTCAAGCGGTACCCCCTGGACAAAATAGAAAAATGTATAATTTATATAAAAAATACCCCATGAGTCTAAAGCCCCACCCCCTCCCCTTTTTTCGGAGAAAAAACGTCTGAAAGAAACCCCGATTGTTAGATTAATTTTCTGTTGAACTTATTTTTATGAACACCAGCGGAATTTTACGGTTTCATAATTTTTCAACAGTTGACCTAGGTATCATTTTTACTTTTAATGTTAGAATTAAGGTAATAATTCTGGAATACAAGAAAAGAATAATTCTGGTACAGCATGTTCTAAAAGTGAAACTGTTTTCCCTCAAGGCGAGTCAAGGGTGTCAGATGCTCCCTCGCTTCAATGCTTCACCGTGTATTGTTTACAATAAATACATAAACACATAAAATAAAAGATTATTGGCATCTAAAATAATATAAACTTCAGCTAGATATTTACTTCTGCAATTAAAATAGAACAATACTAAATGGATTTTAATTAGGTAATTAAACGAAAACAGTTTAATTATTATGTATTATGCGAAAGTTTTGTGTAATATGAAAACCGGAAACATCCAAAAGTGTTGTCTCATTATCAACAGATAACTCGGAAATAACAGTGATCCTTTGTCGATTTTATTCACATAATTTTGTTATTAAAAAATAAAGCATTATGCCTGATCATTTAGGAGCAGATCAACGTAAAGTTAAAGACACCGACAAAGAAGAGGAAAAACCTATCCAATGTAAGATTGAAATTCTAATAACAGTTTCAGTCTAGAGATTCTAGCATTCGGTAATCTATCGTTTTGGGTACGTAAAATCGCCCGCGGCTATTTATGTACGAAAACGTTACCTCATTGTCAAGGCTTTAATAGAAGTATATTGTCATACTTTTGTGTCAAATATTATAGATAAATGAATAATAAACCTAAATCTATGGCTAAATATATCGATATAGGCTAGAAATTAACTTTAAACAGCAGTGTCTGAGAGCAAGATTTGCTATATAAACAGCAGCCATTTGTAAAATAGAGTGGCTTCCCCCTGAATCTGGCGCTAAAAGCTTATAAAAATAAAACTTAAGACAAGATGGCTGCTATAGTAAATGAGCATGGTTGCATCTGTTGGAAACATCGCTAGTCTTCATTTATTACGGAAAAGTTTTAATTCAATTGTTTAAAAACAGGTACATAAATGAATCAAGGAAACATTTTTGAATTTTTTAAAACATAAATCCTCCTCAAAATGTGAAATAATTATCAAAATTTAAGGAGTCACCTGTTTTTCACATTACAAATCGCGGGCGATTTTACGTACCCAAAACGATAGATTACCTAGCATTCTAACTTTAACTAAACTAGGTAGTAGCATTGGATTAGAATTATTGAGTTTTATACCTTATAAACCTGTTAGTTACATAGTGTTAAAGGTAAACATGACATAGATACTTCATTTATATTTCTAGCTTAATTAGAAGCTGAGAAATCATTTTTTTTGTTTTTTAATGAGGCGAACAACACAAATATTGTAAAAGGGAGATAACACATAAAGCAAAAAAACAAAAACAGCAAAATGATCTTAAAAATTTTTTATTTGGAAATATTATATCACAATTTATCAAAAATAAAAGTTACAATAATATCAGCCCTGAAATAACACAGAAAATTTAATTACAGCTATAGGCCTAATAATTTGGTATTATTTTGCGCATAATTAAAAAATTTAATATTAATACTAGGCCTAAATAATTTTCTTTCAAAATTTAAATTGTTAGGCCCGAGAGAGCACTATCTTTAAAAACTTAAAACTACATTGTGGCTATAATATTACAATACAAATATACAATTAAGAACCCTGAAACGCAAAGAATAATAGTTAACTAGGCTATACCTAATTAATGAAGAGGCCTAGCTTTTTATTTAAAGACATTTTTTATTTAAAATGAGGGGAAAAATTGTATCTTACCTCATGTGTAGGTTCTAATTTACATACAATACAGTCAATACTATCCAGTACATTATATTGAGCTGATTAAAACAATTCAATAGCTGGGTGTTTCAACAAATAATAATAAAATGAATAACTCACCACTAACTATTAATCAAAACTGAGGTCACCGTTTGCAAGATCCACAATTAGAGATTGTACAGGAATCCCAGTCTTCTGATTCAAAAACCTTCTGAAGTAATTGCAGTCCTTACCAGCCAAGTGCTGTCCCTCTAGGACTTTCTGCTCTGCTTCTGACTTCCTTCCCAGCCACTGAAGGGTTGAGTTCAGCTTTGTCTTCACCCTGAAATCCAGAAAACCCAGTGGTGTTTAGAGCTCAGCGCATCAGTCCATATATCCCAGCATCCTCTCAGCATGGATCTTGTGGGCAGGAGCTGAGTCAATTTTAACATTTCCTCAGAAGGGTCAGAATAGCTACCAGTCAAGTAAGGGGATATCTGCCGTTCCATAACATCCTGCGTAGACTGTTACAGCACAGACAGGACATATCGCAGGAGCCTATTGTCCACCAACAGATACTGGTGAACCATATCAGCCACTATCTTCTGTCCAAAAACATCCTCATCGGTCCGCTAGCAGCTTCTGGGGTCGAGCTTCATCTACTTGATCATTTCTGGGGCTGTCTGGAACAGCACGCTCTGCAAAATTCACAAGATATGTGAAGAAATTTGTAACTTAATTCTGTAAAAGAAAAAATTACTTTCAGTAAATTGCTGACTTCTTTTTGAACATTTTATAATTCTATCACAGGGGAAAAAAAGGTTATTCTGTATAGTTATTCACTTTTCAGCTTCAATCTTCTACTATTTATTAAAGCACTGAGGTTTTGAAATGAGTATATATTTTATTATATATATTATCTATTACAGAAACAAGATGGCAGCTGAAAAAGCAGCCTTACTGAGTTAGGGAAAAATTAATTTAAGTAAATTGCTGATGAGTTTTTTAACTTTTTATGATTCAGTTACAAGAATAAATGGTTCTTCTTAATTGATATTCTCAATTCTGCTAAAAGTCTCAGCTATTTATTGCAGCACTAAGGTTTTAAGATGAGTACATTTTTTACTATATTTTCTCTATTGTGGAAACAAGATGGCGGCTGAAAAAAGCTTCCCTACTGAGTTGAGAAAAAAATTAATTAAAGCAAATTGCTGATGAGTTTTTTAACTTTTTATGATTCAGTTACAAGAGTAAATAGTTCTTCTATATAGTTATTCTCATTTCTGCTAAAAGTCTCAGCTATTTATTGCAACACTAAGGTTTTAAGATGAGTACATTTTTTACTATATTTTCTCTATTGTGGAAACAAGATGGCGGCTGAAAAAAGCTTCCCTACTGAGTTTAGAAAAAAATTAATTAAAGCAAATTGCTGATGAGTTTTTTAACTTTTTATGATTCAGTTACAAGAGTAAATAGTTCTTCTATATAGTTATTCTCATTTCTGCTAAAAGTCTCAGCTATTTATTGCAACACTAAGGTTTTAAGATGAGTACATTTTTTACTATATATTCTCTATTACGGAAACAAGATGGCAGCTGAAAAATGCTTCCCTACTGAGTTAGGGAAAAAATTAATTTAAGTAAATTGCTGATGAGTTTTTTAACTTTTTATGGTTTAGTTACAAGAGTAAATGGTTCTTCTGTAAAGTTATGCTCATTTCTGCTAAAAGAATAATGTTATAATTATAAATGTAATAGGTTCAAGCTTACCTAATTTTTCACTTGAAGTTTTCTTGGTAAAAAAAACATCGGAAAAATGAAAATTTTACTTCATTACAGAGCTGATCCTCTCCTGTTCAAAAAACGTGGTAGAAATGACAGGAAAAAGTAAAGTACTTTTTTATTTCCAAAAAAACAGAGAGTACCCCAAATATTTTTTTTAAAAACACAAAAAATTTTCATGGTGAGATTTTGGGAGTAGGTTGTCTGCCCCTGTCAGAAAAAGCTACATACTAAACTAAACTAAAAAAAAAATAAAAAAAGTTAGGGATTTTGGTAAAAAAGCACTAATCATCATATAAAAATAAAAATTACATATTCTTGTAGAGCTCAACAAAATGAAAACAAAACAAAAAAGATTTTTTGTCTAGCTCAAATAGTTTTTTTTTTGCGAATTTTTTTGTGAGGGGTGGAATCCCCTTACTTTTGCATTGGCCAATTGTGACAAGTCATGGTATACCTGAATAAATTGAGCATAGTTATTTTAATTGCAGTTGTATTTTGTTCATATTTGCAGAGTTTAGCTAGAATGATATATAGAACTTGTAAATGTTGTTGAAATGAATAAAAATAATACAGACACTTATATTTTTGTGTTGGCTTCCTCCCATAACCCCAAAAAACTGTGTGCTGCGCAAATATGAAAATGTTTCTAAAGCCATATTTTATATAAATACAGCAAATGAAAGAACTACAAAGTTTGAAATCTAAAGTAAATGACTTGAACACTGTTATGTGCATATAATATTATAATTGCCTCATTATTTTGGGCAGGTGAAGTAGAGTCCATCTTTAAGCCATTTTGTTATAAAACTGCTGCGCAAATATGAAAATGTTTCTAAAGCAATATTTTATATAAATACAGTGAATGTAAGAACTACATAGTTAGAAATCTAAATGACTTGAACACCGTAATGTGTATATAACTGCCTTGTTATTTTGGGCAGGTGAAGTAGAGCCCATATAAGCCATTTTGTAATAATTTAAATGAAGTTATCAGATCAATGTTTTTATGTGTGAATTGTGTATGGATTCTGATTTTCAGCATATAACTATATCTAAGGGTAAGTAGAACTTGAATACTTAAAATTACAGTTAGCACAATGCTAGTGTATAGCAACAGACAGGTAACCTAGATCTAGGTCTGACTCTTGTCAGTCTAGTCTGACAAAATTGGATTTTAGGAAAAACATTCTGCAAAACTAGAACTAGAGCTGAAAAAATTAAAGATGGGTATGTAAATATATTCTGAAATAAAAAATTAGGAGATTTGTTTGCACATTCCATAAGAATGCTGTTGTTAGTTGATCAAACTTAAAGGCCGGAAGATCGGGATGAAAAAATATAACAATGGTGGCAACGCGACCTACATACAGTGACCACCTCTAAACGAGTATATCTAATGTCAGAGTCAAAATATCCAAAAACAAATATCATTTCCACATATATAAGATATGTCTGCTCAGTAATCTTCACTCATCTAGAATAACCTTTTAAAAAATCGTGATTCCAACGTATTTGAAACTAGCCTTCATACAGGGGGAAGACCAAGGCAGAGACAGCGTGCAATCAGATCGCTAAGCCATCAAAACAATGGGAAAACCATTCTACTTTTCATTTAACATTAGGAAATGACCTTTTAAACTTAATTAATTACCATAAATTAAAAACTTATTAGTATGCAAAACCAAATCTCGTGTGCCCGGTATCAGAAAGTAATGGGCGATTTCGGGTCATGTTTTTACCGCGATCTCGGCCGATACCGACAACCCTAAAAAAGTGGTGTAAATTTTTCTTGTGACGAGATGTTTTCCCCTTGTTGCCTTGTAAGAATTAGAATGTTGTAACTTGTTTGACAGACGTTCACTTCATTTAACTAATTGGTTGTTTGTTGTAAAGTCAGTTGTAATGAATCTAATTTCTAATTGAACTAAATGATCCATCGCCACATTAAGTAAAAAGAACTAGGCCCAATCTTAAATTAAATTTAAACTTTTTAAACAAAGTGACATCTTGGCATTTGGAAAAAGATTTTTCGCCCCAGCGCCTCCATTTGGTCGGCAAAAGATAGTTCTGTGCATGCGCAGTGACCTTAATAACTGACTGAACTAGGGCTATCTGCGGTTTGTTTGTAAACACACGCATGTGCAGTACCATCGAAAACATTGCCACGAAGAAAAGTCGTAGTTGCTCTCCATCTGCGCATGCATATCTTTATCCGGCTAGAATTGTCCGAATTTAAATTGATAGTAAATTGAGTAATTCAAAACTAATTAGGCCCAATCCGCCTGATTCAAAATTACATTTTGTAATCAAACTTTACATTAGTAATCATTAGTTTAATTAGGTTAAAAAATAGGTTTAAAAAGTTAAAAGCAAGCCTGTTGTTAGGTGTAACTGTAAATCAGTGTTAGAAGGTGTTAGTAACAATACCATAATACTGTAAAAGTAAAACATTAGTGTTTGTCATGTAGTACTAGATCTCTAGTAAGTTAGGCTAACTACTAGATCTAAGTAGATCTAGTAGTAGTAGTGTTAGACAACCAACAACAATGTTTTTTAACTTTAATTGTCAGTGGGCACAACTCTGACAGCTGAGCTGTGCACTTTTTAAAAAATTTAGCAATAGCTCCCTACTCCCACTAAAATTCTAGAATTACTAGCATGGCCCTAACATTAATCAATCATACAATCCTAGAGAAAACAAATATCACCTATGTCTACTTTAATCAATTTTCAATTCTTATATAATATTAGGATTAGGTCTATAATATATTTTTTATTAATCAATGTCGGTAACTATTTATTTAATTTCAGCCCTAGATGAAGGAGACATTGCTCTTTTAAAAACCTATGTAAGTTATGTTTACAACTTTTGTTCACATTCATAAAATCATGATTGTATTTTGAAAATATAATAATCTGTTTTATATAAGCCTAGGCTAACTAAAATTTCATACTTAAAACTGCTTTTTATAAAAAGTAATTTAAAAATTGAAAACTAGGGAGTTGGACAGTACACAAAAGCTATCAAAAGTGTAGAGGAAGATATACAGAATATTCTAAAAAATGTCAATGAGCTTTCTGGCATTAAAGAATCGGACACAGGGCTTGCGCCTCCAGCACTTTGGGATCTTGCAGCTGACAAGCAGACTCTTCAAAGTAACTATTCAGTTTCTTTTTTTATCATAACTACCCTACTACATTAGCCATAGAAATTATTTAATGATATTTTTTGTTATTTTAAAAAATAATTTAAGTTCTACTGATTTTACAGGTGAACAGCCATTGCAAGTAGCCAGATGCACTAAAATTATAAATGCAGACACAGATGATCCAAAGTATATTATCAATGTTAAACAATTCGCAAAGTTTGTTGTTGACTTGGGGGAGCAAGTGGCACCCACAGATATTGAAGAGGGAATGCGTGTTGGGTAATATTTATTAAAATTACATTATTAACAGTATTAAATGAAAATCAAATATTTTTTAATTATTTAGTTTCATTGTGTATACTATATTTAGTCTTCTACTAAATAGCATTAATTTTTTCAAATCATGTTATGATTAAATAATTTTTAAAGAACGTATTCTAATTACATTGCAGTTAGTAACTATCTTGAACACAAATTTTGTATTGACACATGTTTATTTTGTACTTTGCAGGGTTGATAGAAATAAATATCAAATCCACATTCCACTTCCACCAAAAATTGATCCAACTGTGACTATGATGCAGGTAATATGTTAGTCCTTAGCAACAGCATATTTTAATGCAGGTATTAATTTTTATCCAATGTCATTACTTGAATCCATTAGTCTACTGAAGTCCTACTGTTAACCATTAGTTGTTTACAGTCTATCTGGCTAGAAAACACTCTCCAATATTATTTTTGCTGGATGTTTAGGTAGAAGAGAAGCCAGATGTTACCTACAGTGATGTTGGAGGCTGTAAAGAACAAATTGAAAAACTCCGGGAAGTTGTAGAAACACCCTTGTTACATGTGAGTTTGAATTTTCTTTATTGGAATAAACTGTTCTAAATACAGTGATGAAAATTATTTGATAATTGTTTTATATGTCGTAGTTTTATTTCCTTTTAGTGATGATAATTATTAGAAAGTTGACTAAAAAGATAATTTTTTTAACAGTAATATTAATTTAAAAAAAATTTAATTTGCAATTGATCAACATTTGTAAAATATATAAAAGTATTGTGCTTTATATTCTGTAACTGAAATTATTCTATTTTCAGCCTGAACGATTTGTTAATCTTGGCATTGAGCCCCCTAAAGGTGTTTTGTTGTTTGGACCACCTGGGACAGGTAAAACACTATGTGCCCGTGCTGTGGCAAACAGAACAGATGCCTGTTTCATCAGAGTTATTGGGTCAGAGTTGGTGCAGAAATATGTGGGAGAGGTATGCTGTGTATTTTACTTGTTGCGTTACTTATAGTGTATGTGTTTGGTACATTTACTTGACACAATTTCATTCAAAGTTCTGAACATTTTATCTTGGCAAACAGTTTTTTTTTGTGTGTAGATTTTTTTTCACCAAATGACATCATTTATTTATTATGTGTCAGAAAGCATAAATAAACATAGTGCAAATACTCAGAAGTATTTTCATGACATCAGAAATGTAACTTATCCATTAAAAGGAAATTCTACCCACAGCTTTATCATCTCAAAACAAACAAAAAAACTTTTCTGTGTATTCCTAACATATTTTCCTTTTATTTTCCTAAAGCCAGTTTTAACAGAAAAATAATTTATTAGATAATGCAAGCAACATTTTTAGTTCAGTTTCATGATACACTTTTGCTACATGTCTCCATAATTCAAACCACCCCTAACCTAATGCCTATGCAAACACCTTCTGGGTTGAGATCTGTACCAGTTCTGTTATTTATAAATACTATTTTTAACACACACACACCTATGTTTCATTAAAGGAAACAAATAGCCATAGGAATTCCACATCATACACACACATCATAAGATATATTTAGCATATTATAGAGTATTCAACATTTCTTTTCTCAAACAGGGTGCTCGTATGGTGAGGGAACTTTTTGAGATGGCTAGAGCAAAGAAAGCCTGTATCATTTTCTTTGATGAAATTGATGCTGTTGGAGGTAACATCAATTTGATAGCTCATTACTTCCTGTACAAATTTAACTTTGATAAGACTTGATTGCAATATTAATTTTTTTCAACTTTTCTTGTTTAAATTTTTTTGGTTCTATTTTATTACAAGTACAACTTTTTAAAACAAAATTTTTTGTCATGTTTGTTGTTCCCTCTATGATTTTCTGTTATTCATCTGTTCGCTACTCTTCCCATGAATCATGATGAAATATCGTCAATTAATTTGTTAAATTTCACATTCTGAGGAAATTCAATTGTTTCTGGCATATTTTGTGTTAGCTTCACAGTAAAAAATATATAAGAATTTTGCTTATGCTACTCTGGCTAGTCATGTACATATCCAACTCTTGAAAAAGGAGGAGACTACAAAAGTTTTCTCATGTTATTTTCTTTTTGTTCACATGATTTATGCATGTTATTTTCCATATGTCGCACATTTCTGTCATGTTATCTTCTATTTGTTCCCATGACAGGTGCCAGGTTTGACGATGGTGCTGGTGGTGACAATGAGGTTCAGCGTACAATGCTTGAGTTGATCAACCAGCTGGATGGCTTTGACCCTAGAGGAAACATTAAAGTATTGATGGCCACCAACAGGCCAGATACTCTTGACCCTGCTCTCATGAGGCCAGGCAGGCTCGACAGAAAAATTGAATTTGGTTTGCCAGATTTAGAGGTAAATTTTATTTTTTAAAAATATAAATAAAACTGGCTCTTTGTTTACTGTATTCGTTTATTTATTTCATATCATTTTAATTTTTGTAGGGACGCACCCACATTTTCAAGATCCATGCTCGCTCTATGAGTGTAGAAAAAGATATTCGTTATGAGCTGTTGGCTAGATTGTGTCCTAACAGTACTGGTATGTATATTTTAAATTTTTTTTAGAATAGCTGGATTTTGATTGAGTGAAAGGATGAAAAAAATAAGTCTTAGATCAATGTTATTATCTTGGATATTTACTGTTAGGGAAATAGTTTCTAAATAGATATTAAAATCCTTAAAATAACAACTGCTGACAATCTATATATATAATTCTCTTCTTCGAGCCGTTAGAAAACAAGCTGCAAACGCTCTCCCTACCTCCCCACCCCTACATGGTTTTAGTGAGCTGTGTTCACTCTAAATGTTTACAAGCAGAGCCAACGATTTTAAACGTAGGGGGGGGGGGTTATGGTCCTTAACGAGCTACTTATAGTGTTTTAAAGAAATATTTTCTGTGTCAGCGTTGGTACTGTCGAATTCACAAATTATGAATTATTGAAAATTAGAAACAACTAAATAGCGGCGTATGTTATGCCGCGGGTCGGCTCGTACATATTATTTCAGTTTGTACTTTTTCAACTTCTTGTCTAATTATTTAATATTTTGTTGAAAACTTGTAAACATTATGTTGCATCATTATTCATACTATATTATGACTTGACTTGATTAAAAAAATATTTCCTTTGTGAAGATCAATTTCATTGAAGGTACAACACTACAAAAGCTGTAATTCCTTTTAGGTCTCAACTATTAAATATTTGAAAAACATTTTGTTAAATACATGCATTAATAGTTAACAAATTTTTAACTAGTTTTTTTGTTTCTCTCCAGGTGCTGAAATCCGCAGTGTTTGTACAGAGGCCGGTATGTTTGCCATCAGAGCTCGCAGGAAGATGGCAACAGAAAAAGATTTCTTAGAAGCTGTCAACAAAGTCATCAAAGCCTATGCCAAGTTCAGTGCCACACCACGCTACATGACATATAACTAGATGTTTAGTTTTTTTTAGTGGTTATATTTAACAAATTCTCACTGGTTAAAATGAATAATGCAGTGGCTTTTTGTTGGTTTTGTATTTTTTTTTTGTTTCAACACCAGAATTGTTTTGGAATAAACAGTTTCACACTCTTTGATCTGAAGTGTCGTAAAAATGTGAATTTTTTATTGCTAGAATATAATTTATTCTCAATTATCTGTTGTTTCTTAAATAAATGAAAAAAAAAATTTAATCAAAAGCATGCTGTTTTATATTGTCAAAAATTTATGTCATTCGTGAGGTACTTTGGGTGAATATTTACAAACTTGTTAATTAGAAAAGCAGGATATACATTCATGTGTGTTAAAGAGTTCCAGAAATAAATATTACTTTTGAGTATTGTCCCATAATTTGTTAGCAGAAAAAACTAAAATAAATGTGTTCTTCCTGCAATGAGTGGTTCTTATCATGTCAGTGGAATATCAGGGAAAACGGGAGCAACCACACCAATGTCAGGTTCTCATTAGAACTAGAACTAAATTTACTCAGGTACTTTAAAAAGCTCCTTTATTGCAAATTGTTTTTAAACACTAGAACATTTGATTGAATTGGCAAACACAAGTCTAATGATAAAAAACTGTTGATGAGTTTATTATCACAGTGTTTTAGATCACATAAACTAATCCTAAAATCAAAACATTTTATGAAATAACCTCATCAAAGAAGTTTAACAAAAATGTAGTTGCATATCCATAATCAAGTTTTTTAGACATACAAAATAAAAAAAAATCATTTGCTTTTCTTAGCTGCTTATTTACTAAAAAGATGGGGTTTTTTTTTTAAAAAAAAGAATATTTTATGTAGCAGTCATCATTCATGTATCTTGACTAGTCAGTACAATAACATCCATACTCATTCAGATGTGACATACAAATTACATTTTAAGTGAAGTACGCATTTCGAGTTGATTGAGATCCTTTATAGAACATGAATACAGCATCAGTTGTTAAATTCCAATAGTAGTGTTCAATGGCATAGTGATGTATATAAAGTGGAGAATACAAAAAGCTGAGTCCAATCCAGCTCTTTCTGTGATGACAGATGGAAGAATTGTTTTGTTTTTTTCATTTAGATTATACTATGTATACAATAAGAAATGTGGGATACATATTTGAGTTCACATATCTTGAGTGCCAACCATTTTTATAATACATAATCAGACTATTTGATTAGATATCAAGTAGTTAGGTACTAACCATTGAATGAATTTGATTCATTCTTATTAAAATGTTATTTTTCTTTTATACAATAAAACAAATGTAATGCCTTTAGGTTAAATATTGAAACTGTAGTAAAAAATAGAAAATGCGAACAATTTTGTTTTAATTCAATCTTGTTAATTTATAACTATAGTTAGTAGCGTATACGGAAATGTATAATTAAGAACAACTTAGTATTTGTCTACTTAGTACTTAGAGACTAGACCTCTACACACATACAAATAAATTGACATCAAGTGACTTGGGATATTTCATATCACATTGTCAGAAAAAGTCTGATTCTTTCCCCCAAAATCACGTCTCAAATCCCCTCCCACAACCTCAAAGAATGACGTCTTTAATGGACAGCCTGTTAATGAGATTTACAAAATTAAATCAAGATAAAACTATTATAATGAACAAAAGGGAAATAATTCCCATTAACTGAAATCCGGAGTTTGAGTAAACTCCCTTCGCTCCACACGTTTCCCAGTTCTCTTCGTCGCCTGTGCAATTTTTTACAATCAACGGCGGGGCTTGCGGACCGTTGCAGAAATCCGTCTTACAAAATCGATAGCAGACGAGATAGTTGTTGACTTGGCCACACGTGCTTTCGTTGTTTGGGGGCAAGTTGACAAATTTTGGATCCTCGAAAATTTTTGTGAAGTTCAGACCATCATGGCAGTCCCGATTGTACAGTATGAATTTCCCTGTAAACAAACATTGAATACAATGTAGCACCATTATTTACCAGCGGATCAGGCTAAGCGCCGCTCTAGATAAAGGCTATATTACATTAATTATATGCTGATCATAACGAGACGGACCGACTCAACAGAATCATCAACCTCGTTATGAGTTATCTTCTATAAATGATGCCACATTTTTAAAACAATTATTACATTCCTCTAGTCTATAGTATAGTGACATCACATTTCAGCCTACTCCCCCCTACCCTTCCGGACCCTTTCACTCACAATTTCAACTGGATTTAAAAAAACAACATCAGGTACCCCACAGAATATCATTCACCAAATGAAACAGACACCACGAACATCACGACGCATCAAACATCACACCAAACATCAGACACCAAACATAAGCCTAACATCAGACAACAATACAGCATACACCATCCTAAAGACAGCAACAATAAAACACTAGCAGTCAATGGCGTAGGCAGGGGGGGGGGGGGGGTTAGGGGGGTTATAACCCCTCCCATGGACCCCCACCCCTATATATATATATATATATATATATATATATATATATATATATATATATATATATATATATATATATAAATAGGATTGTATACATATGGAAAAATGTTTGAAACCCTCCCAAGACCAATTCCTGGCTACGCCACTGCTAGCATTCTTCAAACATCAAAGAAACGATACACACCAAGCAGAAACGGATCACGTGATTTAGGCAGAGAATAACGTGATTTAATTTTCATTTGCGGGTCCATGAAAAGGGGGGGTCGTAACTGCACCTTCCGCCGCACAGAGTTTCTTTCAGGCATCTCTTTGTGGGAACACTGTCCCCCCGAAACACGTCTAAAGCCCACGTGCATAATAGAATTTATATACTTTTACTAGTGTCCGCCCCCCCTCCCTTTGAAAATTTACTCCGCCCCCTCCAGTGTTTCTCTTCCAGACTTTTTTCTCCGTGCGTGGGGGCACTTGATATTTTCGGGGGTGGGGGCGGACATTTTCCGGGGTGGACGGGGGGTGGACACTAGTAAAAGTATGTTTTCAATATAAATTCCTTTTCGTTCCGGGGCGGGGTGGACTTTCTTCGGGACCCCCCACCCCCACCCCGAAGAGATGCCTGGAAGAAACTCTGCCCGCCTCCCCTCGAAAGTTTAAAGAAAAAGGTCTGAAAGAAAAACTACTACCACCACCGCTGCACATGTCTAATATACGGCTGACCTATGACCTACCTCCAACTTCCGCCGACTCGATGACGCAGCGATCGAAGGTTTTCCTCGTGTCCGTACAGTTCTTGGCGTAGTGTTTGGCCAGGCCCCTGGACGTGTTGACCAGCCCTCCCCAGTCCGTGATGCAGTCATTGGACGAGCTGCTGGTGGCACATTGGTAGCACATCAGCGACTCTGGTTCGAAACACAGTTACATCAATCACAGAGGATTTTTTTTTACAATTTTTAAACGATCAGAGTTTCTTCCATTCATCTCTTCGGGAGGGGGGGCAGGGTATTAATTTAGAAAACATACTTTTACCAGTGTCCGCCTCCCCCTCCTTGAAAAATGTCCGCAACCCCACCCCCCACCCCCCGGAAATATTGTGCCCCCCCCCCCCCTCCGGATTACAAAAGGCTGGAAGAAACACTGTAATCGATAATGTCACATTAAAAAAAAAATATATAATATGAGCATTTTTTTTTCTATAAAAGAAAGAGATAAGGATAATAAGCACATCTGTTAGGAGATACGTTATTTAAGCCGATTATGCACTCATTCTTCAACCAGATAGGTAACCCCCCCTCTCCCCAATGGTTTATTTGTTAGAGCTATGCATTGCACTGTAAGGTATCCTATACCGTAGACAAAACACAATGAAGATACATGTTAACTATAACAAGAAGGTACCTGAGACGGATGTAGAGATAGCCAGTAGCAGCAAACCGACGAGAACTGCTTGACATTGGGATGATTTGTTTGCTTGTCTTCTACTACACGTCTCCATCAGTCTGGAAAAAAAATATATTTTAACCGTTTGGTTGAATGCTGACTTCACTAGCCTGTACACGCCGAGCTGACCACACTATCCCTTCATATGTTGAGCTGACCACACTATCCCTTCATATGTTGAGCTGACCACACTATCCCTTCATATGTTGAGCTGACCACACTATCCCTTCATACACCAAGCTGATTACACTATCCCTTCATATGCCGAGTTGACCACAAATCCCTTCTTATTATACTGAGGTCACATAGGTGAACTCTACTTCATCTGTCGCCAAGGTTCAATCTTTTAACTCACGACTTAGACGACCTGAGACATAATTAAAGGGACATAACTCATATCTGTTAAAATAACCCCCTACTAATGATGCGGTTACTTCCCCTCTTTACATTCATCTTGACATTTATATAAGTTCTACGTATTTTAATCTGCCTTTAGCGTGGTGGAGGAGAGGGGGGGGGGGGGTGTTAAGGAAATAGGAGTTTATTAATGACGTCAAATCCCTAAGGGAGGGGTGAGGTCTGACTAAGGGAGTAGGAAATTATGATGTAAGATTTATTTTAACTATGTTGAGGAACAAAAAGATTAAAGGTATGTACCTTTCCGTTAGAAGTACAGACATATGTAAGTAACTCCCTTCCCCCATTTTTAAATAGAAAATTAAATAGAAAATATTTATTTAATCGTATATTGAAAAAAAGCTTATCGGCTAATATATTCATATCTGAATATGTATAGTAGTAGGCGACAGCATAATTTGTAAACTATGTAAATCATTTTCTTTATTTCGTACTTCAAATTGTTTACTTTTACCCTACGTTGGTATTGTTTACGTAACGTGTAATACACATGGGATACTGAAGCTTGCAGGGACTAAATTTTAATTATTTAAAAATATGCCATGAGCAGTAGCACCAGACGCGGGGGGGGGGGGGGGGGAATGGGTGGGGCGCCGACCCTAGGGCGCGCCCAACGGAATAGAAAAACAAATATTAAATGCAGTTTTTTCGGGCTGTATGACTGAATTATACACAGTCGAGGATAAGGATACAGACTGCTACATGGCTTTAAGGAATTCTTTGACTATTTTCAACATCAATTGTGTGACACCAAATAAAAATTACTGAGGTACAGTGATTGGTAAATAGCGCCATACCTTTCCAAATGGGGAGAGGGGGTGGTGAAGCAGACGCTTTTTTCGCCAACGTGAGTAACTACATCTACATGGGGTGGGGGTGCAGAACTTGATAGTTCCCCCGGGCGTAAATTTGTCTTTGAGTAGCACCAATAACAGTTATGTAATAAACAGGTCCCAAACTTTACGTAGTTCACCCAGTAGCGTAGCGAGAGGGGGGGGCGGGGGGAAAAATGTCCCCGGGCGCCGACCTTAGGGGGCGCCAAAATGGGTTGGAAAAATAAATAGAAAGGTTGAGGGGGGTGCAAATCGAAAGTTTGAGGGGGGGGGTGCAAATCAAAATCTCGAGAATGGGGGGTGCAAATCGAAAAGTGTTTGTCCCCGGGCGCCGGGAAGGGTCGCTACGCCTCAGAGTTCACCGGGTATTTTGTGTGTTTGTTTGTTCGTTGTTTGTGGTGGTTGAGGTTCTGTATGTTGTTTTTTTTGTCGATGGTGAATTATGTAAATATAACGTTACAACGGGAGTTGGGAGGGGTGGAGGTGGAGAGTAAAGAATGCATTTTTTTTGTCATATGATATGAATGAGTGACTTTGTAAATAGTCTATACTATTTATGTTATATGCTATATTACGAATAAATTATATAGAACTTCTCATTTGAAAAATACAATATTGTTCTTTAATCTACGCATCTTATTAAAAATGTTGTAAATCAATATGTATTCTTCTTCTAGGTTCTTAATATTAGTGTTGGAAGGGATCCCGTTCAACACAATTAACAGTTCGTGTCAACTATTTATGCGCCATTGATGCCTTGGTCTCCGATTTCAGCCTGCTTTTTTGTTGGGTTTGCTTCCGTAGCATTTGTCCAACCAAGAACAAACTACAAGGCAGCAGTTGTTTGATTTTGGAGTTGTCTCTCCTAGAAGAGTTACTGTCCCCTGCTAACGAACCCCATCTGCCCGAGGGTTCGAACTCGAGACCATGAGCTTTACCGACTCGACCACGCCGAGATCGACTATTTTTCGCAACGTCACAAAAATACTTCTCTCTACACTCCCCCCCCCCTCCCCATAACAAGTTAACAACCTTCCACCCCTCCCCCATCTTAGTCATAAACTTAAGACACACACCCAACCATAACACACCACAGTTTTAATATCTTCTTCTTGTCAGATAACCCGTGACACGCTTTTATGACACACGTAAAAACTTCGACTTCAGTTCAAACGAAACAAATATGTAATTCTTTATTTTTAGACCCGACATACAGCGCTTACTTCCGTGTTCTATGGACCGTAACAATAGGATTAAAGCTTTTTTGTTACCTGTGTAATATACCATGCAGGATATAGAAACTATTAGAAACAGGGGTTCTAAAATTTGTATTTGATGGAACTAACGGTGGGGATTTTAGTTGATTTTTTTAGTATTTTTCATTAGCTTTAAGAAACTAATTCTAAAATGAATAATAAAATTAAAAATTAGAAATATGTTCTTACTTTACGTTAGCCAAAATAATATTTGAACGTTGAGGGGTTAAAATCAGTTGTTGTGACAAACTTATTTCAACGCAAAAGTGGACATAGATATATAAAATAGTCCTAGAAAAGAAAGAGTAGTTGTTTGTTTTTTAAATTTCATATGACTAAAACTGATTAAGTTAAAAGAAAGAATATGTTGTTACCAGTCGACACGCGGCGTATCATACGCCGCTATTTAGTTGTTTTATTTTCTACTTTTCAGTAATTCATAATTTGTGAATTCGACAGTACCAATGCTGCCACTGAAAATATTTGCTTTAAAACACTATAAGTAGGTCCTTAAGGACGAAATCCCCCCCCCCCCACCCACCCTCCTTTCCCCCAACCCCTACCCTACACCCCCCGGGAAAGTAGCCTCCTCTTAGTTACCTCCCCTAAGTTTAAAATCTTTTCAAACTAAATTATCTGCCCCTAATAGCCGTCACTAAACCCGGCTCTATTATTGTAAACATTTAGCGTGAACCATAGCTCACCAGACCATGTGGGGGTGGGGGTGGTAGGGATATGCTTAGAGAGGAAGAGAAGGGGCTGCTAGGCGCGCTAACAGCTTGGTGTTTTCTGGGGTATCCAAGAAGATAATTATATATATAGATTATAGTAACAACTAAAAACGATAATAACAAAGAGTAAAATAAATTCAAATTTTAGAACCACTAATATCAAAGCATTCTTGGTGACACGTATGAAGCCGATTCTTAGAATAAACAACTGTGATGCGATAAAAATAAAGAAAGAACAAGGAGTATATTGTCTCAGTTGGCGAACGCAGTTTCAAAACCCTATTTTTAAGTAGAACTGTTATGACTTGGGGCAAGCAATCTCTGTGCTGTCCCCATTAAATATGTGTATTACTTGAAACTTAAAAAAGGTGCTTATTGAGAAATGACACGTTTTCATACTTTAGTCATTGCGCCACTTTTGAAAAAAAATGTTCTTCTTACCTCCCCACATGCATTAATCCCATAATAATATTGTGTAGGGCCTAAGCCTTGATTTATTTTAATTTTTATTTTACATTCTTGTTTGTATTTATTTGTGTAACTATAATCCTTTGTGATTTAATCATTAAAGGTTCATACCATCCTTGGTCAAACATTTATGACAATCAGGAGACAGCAAACTCTGGCCATGAGATAGGGATAGGATACCTGGCCCGGTGCAAATGTCATTTTAAACAGTGTATAAAAAGACATAAAAAATGGGACCGAGTGGTTGGATAGTAGAGCGCACGATCGCTAACACGAAAGTCTCGAGGTCGGATTCTGGCTCGAGTCAGGAGGACGTCCCTGAGTTCATTCAGCTCTAATGGGTACCTGACTCACGTTAGGGGAATTAAAGGGAAGGATATTTCTTATATGTGTTGCAGAAAAAGGTGAAATTTTACTTGATTTGCCCCATGGATCATTGAAAAAATGGCACAGGACAGAGGACGCTGGAAATCTTTGGTTGGCGGCCCATACCCCAGCAGGGGTGACCTATGTATCGCCATATACAAAAAGGAAACTTACTATTAATGACATAATGTATATGATACGCGCATTACTTATTTATACGTCTGTATATTTTAGAATTAATATAATGTGTGAATTGGTGTGAAACATTTGGGAACAACTGACTACCATGCTATAAAACAAGATCTGGGAAAAGTTTAGTAAATGTGCTGAGGAAATAGGCGTTTGAACAGCATAACTTGGAGAGATTTTATTGGCGACGAGATCTCATCATCATCAGGGCAGATGAAGTTCCGTGACGTGAGTTAGTTACCCATCATAACTGGGTGAACTCAGGGACGCTCTACTGACTTGAACCCGGACTCTCGACTTTTCGGGTTAGCAGTCTAGCTCTCTACCGCTAGGTCAAGTCATCCCATGTCACGCTGCATAATCATATTGCTTTTAAAACATGAAATACTGCAGTAAGGTGTGTTTCCACCCCCCGCCTCCACCCCCCCCCCACCTAAAAACATGAAATACTGAAGTAGGCTGCCCTTTTTGCACCTAAAAACATGAAAAACTGCAGTTAACCGTGATTGGCTTGACATGATATGATTCAGACGATTTTGAGAAATTTACATATTTGTTACAAGTTTTTTGGGATTGGAGAAAGATAACTAATCTGTCCCAAAAGTTGTACCCTCCGGCTGTGAGGCATGACAAAGAATTTACATGTTCTCTCCCGTAATAAAAGTTTAATCTTTAATTCATTCAGTTGTTGTTCAATAAAACTCTAAAAGAACACAAAGCTTATAAAATAGCCTAGCTGGTTTGGAAAGAACAACAGTCTTTGTTGTTAGTAATGCTAAGGCTCTGAACTCTACATGGAAGATGGGATTTAGAGTTAGAGCTCATGTGAATGTTGCTACCGTGTTAAACATTGTTGGTGGGGGGGGGGGGGGGGGAGTGGGTGAAAATTTAGGGTTGTGACAAATGTTTGGACACGATTTCCCCCACTACTATGTTAAACAACTCTTCTACAGGTTAGACAACTCGTGTTTCAGGTTAGACAACTTATGTTTCAGGTTAGACAACTCATCGCATTGTCACAATATGCTGATTAGACTGGAGAAACGAGCCACAAACTACCGTGAACACAATTAACCAATCAGTTCACTAAAGTTCACTTAGTATAAAACTGGTCGGATTAGATTGACTCATGTTTAACGGTGTGTGACATAGAGTACGGATTTCATCCATCGCTATCTTCACGTGGATCTTCTTGTTTTCCATGTTGAGTGTTGTTGACGGCATAAAATTATGGCAAAATAGGACAATTTGAACCCGCCCGCTTACATAATTTCTTTCACGTATCTCTCTAGGGAGGGGGGGGGGGAAGGGGGGGGGGAAGGGGGGGGGTGACCCTAGGAGAGAACAACCGAGCATGTCCACCGTCCCCTCCCTCGGACGAAATTGAAAAATATATAGAAAATATATACGTGAAGGCCTACTCTATGCTCCTCCCCACCTGAAAGTTTTAAATGCCCCCCCCCCCCCCCCCAATATTATTATTATGCACTCACGCTTTACACAAAATCCAAGTCGCTTCAGAATTATTTCTATACGTGTACACAATTTGTTTCTGTTTTTTTTTACACAAAGTTTAACGCAGGATTATTAACAGCCCGTTGTGTTTTATCCTTGCATTCATTTTCTTATTCCTCATTATCTAGAAGTAAAAATTTCGCACCCGTAGAGGGGAGGGGGTCCGTAATTTTGTGACGGTATGTGATGAGGAGGAAGGGGGGGTTCAGATGGTGTGATGCGACACTTTTGTATTATAAAAGTGCAATGTTAGATAACGAGTTTTAAACGTTTTTTCGTGTTTTAGGAAAACTGTTTTTATAAATTGTAATAGGAAGTGATTGAAAATACTCTATTATGACAGAGTTCAGACTAGAGTTTGGAAAAATATCGATTTTTTAAGAAAAAAAAACTGCATTTTGAGGGGGGTTTGAGGTGTGACGTCATTTTAGGTGGGGGGGGGGTCTGGTTTTTTGTGACAATGTGTGACGGAGGGGAGGGGGGGGAGGTAAAAATCGTCCAAAAAAAGCGTGAGTCATTTATGGATGACCCCTTAATTTATAGACGGACAACTTTTAGTAAAACAAAAAAAAACCGCACCTCAGTGTTTTAAAATTTTGAACCTTATGTTGTATGACTACACCTTATAATTACTAATCAGAGGCCTTAATTTGACAGTTCACATCTTACAAAAATAAAACAAAAAATTGCTTTAAATTTCAGATACTCACGTGTTGAAGTGCCTGATTAATTATACGTCCTTATAAAGTTATTTTTTATATACAGAATTTCCTTTTAAACTTTAAGTCCGGGCTCACAGACTACTAGACTTTTCTATACACCTTCACAATAATCGTATGATGTTTTAAACAAGAAAGTATCTATGATCTATATGTTAAGCGCTGTTTACATCCTGTTTGTGTTGGCTAATTTCATTATTAAAGGAATACACAAGCGCAGGTAAATGTTTGGTCATGAAACATTTTCCCTTCGAGATTATCGTGAATCATAATCTCAAAACCAAATTTTTTGTATTTAAGACGGGGATATGGGAGTGTTCACACGTTAGTTTACGTTGTGTAGAAATTAGAAAGTTGACAAAGGATTGGACGCGTGGGGGGGGGGGGGGGGGGGGGGGGGAAAGAGGGGGGGAGAGAAGAAAAGGCTTATGAAGTTTGAAATTTTTACTAGGGTAAAGGGACAGTAACGTGGTAACCTACTTAAAAGACAATATATGCTCTGCTCTAGAAGGCGTAGGCTGAGACGGTGTGATGATGTGGAGACAGACCTACGGTTGCTTGGCGTCTAGATGTGACAAAAAAGCTAACACACAAGCCTGAGTAGAAAATGGCGGTGAAGCAAGCCAAAGCCCTCTATGGGCTGTAGAGCCAAAGGGATGAAGGGCTTGCTCTAGATTGTACCATCCTTAAAAATATATATTGTTGCCATTTCTATAACTTTCGCTGCTTAGAGGGCTATGTGGTTGTATTAGTACATACGTTACTATCTGCGTACGAACTAAGTCTCTCCACATTATACAAAAAGAGGGGGTAGAACCTTAAAGGTAAAAGAGAATATACATACACACACATACACACACACACACACACACACACACACACACATATATATATATATATATATATATATATATATATATATATATATATATATATATATATATATATAGTTTGTGTACTTATGACAGTGTGTGTGGGGGGGGTGGGTTGGGGGAGGCTGCAAGTGCCCTAAAAGGCGTAGCATTTTTACTTCATTACATACAGCCTTGATCATTGTACTGTTCATATTTACTCTTCGTTATGCCTCTCACCCCCCCCCCCTCTTTTTATTTGTGGTATTCGTCTGATATTTGACCCATAGTACGAATCTGTCCGTATCTGGAAGTAATGAGTTACTTAGCACTGTTGTGGACAATACTGTTTCCCACACATTCAATGGCCAATAAACATCATATAGATCTCACTGTACGATTGTTATGTTGAACTCGGGGACAAAATCTTTACTGACTCGCACCGTCGATTTGGTGCGACGTTGACGACAGGACCTGTGTTTCCAAGTTCACCCCCCTCCGGTAATTTTATGTTCCAAGAAACTCTGGAAAGGATGGGGCTTCGTCCTTACATAAAAACACTTGTGTCGTTTCGTTTCACGACTTAAAATGAAGAAAAACTTTTCGAACTAAAAATGAATAAAGTGCTCATTTTTAATACAAAAACAACAGTACATTAAATGAAATATAAATTATTTATACAACTATATTTACACATTGGACTTTAGTAAAAAGAAGATCTAAAAATTTATGAATTTTACGACACACTGAAATAAAAATCTAATTTTATAAATAAAAACTATGTTCAAGTCCATAATATCACACCGAGTTTCCACCTATTTCATTATTATTGGATCGTTTTAGTCTTGAATAACCATTGAGGTGATCCGTTATAAGCAGACTTGTTCAGAGGCGTAGCTAGGAAACGGCAGGTGGGTCGGTCGCCTCGGGGCCGACTTTAGAAGAGGAGCGGGGGGGGAGGCCAAAACGGCGTAGCAAATGGAAATAAAACACATTGTGAATGGATTTCTGAATTATTACACAATAAGTTAAGATAATAAAATGCTGCTTATATTTACAGGACTTATTTAAGTGTTTTCTACATCATTTGTGACATATTGAAATAAAAACTGTTATGGAAAAATGACTCGCAAAATGCATCCCTGACGCTTTTTTTTTCGCAAGAATGAACACAAGTTGATAGCTAGCCCCGGCTGCCGAAATGGATCATTAACGCCCCCTGGACTTGTTTAAAACGTTCGCTGTCAGCTTAAACTGTTAAAGCGTTGGATCACATGTGAATTTTATCCAATGTAGTTCACATATAGAATCAAAACACAAGTATCAGTACCAACACCAGTGCAGCCAGCTGAAGCATCAGAAACCCTGGCCCCAACAAGCTCGCCGCACTGCAGTCATCAAAGTAATCCAACATCGTACTTTCGTTGCACGGCGATTTCTTCTCCACTTCCGGCGGTTTCTGTGGCCCGTTGCAGAAGTCCGTCTGGCAGAACCTGAAGCAGATGGCCTGACCATCGTAGTTGCGGCCACATGTGGTCTCGTTGTTTGCGGGCAGATTGTGAAACTCGGGTAGGTCGATCTTGGACTGGAAGGTTTTTCCGTCATGGCACTCGCGGTTAAAAAATTGGACTGATCCTGACAAGAAACGAAACAAAACGAAAATCAACTTTTTAAAAAAAGCAAACTTGGAATGTGATATACCAGTGTCTGATAATGCTTAAATTATGAAACTTTATAAAAAATGGGTGTTAGGTTTCTGTTTGTTTACTAAATATACATACGGCTTGCTAATGTTAATGTTAACCCTAACCCAAACCCAAGTCCTACCATATTCCTAAACTTTATCTCTAACCATAACACTAACACGAAACAGGAGATTTCAACACTACTAACAGCCTAACACACCTATTTTCTGAAGTCTATTGACGGTAATCGGTAGAATCAATACACCTATCGAACTTAAAAGTCTTTATAACGACATACTTGTAGATACACTAAAACTTAAACATGCATTTTCTAAAGTTAAAAGAGTAAAAGCGATGGTTGCTAATCTGTATTTAATATATACTGGAGCATTTACACAAATACACATTAAAAACATGCACACAAATACATAATAATATAGCCTACATCACAACACATTATCGCGTAAACACACTATTAAGCATACGTACCAACATTCATTTCACATAAAGAACAACATATATGTTACCAAAACACCTAGGCTATATATTTTACACACAAACACATGTAGGCATATTTACAAACAAGCATATTTCTCATATATGCATATACACTAACATACATATACACATAAACACATATAGGCATATTCACAAACAAGCATATTTTCTCATACATGCATCTACACAAACATACATGTACACTTGAACACAAATTGGGATATTCACAAACAAGCATATTTCTCATACATGCATATACACTAACAAACATATACACATAAACACATATAGGGAAATTCACAAACAAGCATATTTTTTCATACATTCAAATCCACTAACATACACACACAAACAAGCTTACCATATTGTTCCACATATACAATAACACAGCGATCCCAGGTTATGTTTGCAGCAGTGCAGTTCTTGAAGTAGGCTTTACCAATCCCTAAAGATGTGTTTACCATTCCCTGATAGTCGTTTACACACGGCATATTTGGGGCCGTCGCTACACACTGGTAGCACAGCAAGGAATCTGAGAGATCACACAATATTTCAAGAAACTTGACACACAGAACACACAACATTTCAAGAAACTTTACACACACAACATTTCAAGAAACTTTACACACACATTTCAAGAAATTTGACACACACAACATTTCAAGAAACTTGACACACAGAACACACAACATTTAAAGAAACTTTACACACAACATTTAAAGAAACTTTACACACAACATTTCAAGAAACTTGACACACAGAACATACAACATTTCAAGAAACTTGACACACACAACATTTCAAGAAAATTAACACACAACATTTCAACAAACTTTACACACACAACATTTCAAGAAACTTGACACACACAACATTTCAAGAAACTTAACACACACAACATTTCAAGAAACTTGACACACACAACATTTCAAGAAACTTGACACACACAACATTTCAAGAAACTTGACACACACAACATTTCAAGAAACTTGACACACACAACATTTCAAGAAACTTAACACACAACATTTCAAGAAACTTGACACACACACAACATTTCAAGAAACTTGACACACACAACATTTCAAGAAACTTGACACACACAACATTTCAAGAAACTTGACACACACAACGTTTCAAGAAACTAAACACACACAACATTTCAAGAAACTTGACACACAGAACACAACATTTCAAAAAGCTTGACACACAGAACACACAACATTTCAAGAAACTTGACACATTTCAAGAAACTTGACACACACAACGTTTCAAGAAACTAAACACACACAACATTTCAAGAAACTCGACACACAGAACACAACATTTCAAGAAACTTGACACACTGGAAGCACAGCAAGGAATCTGAGAGAACACGCAACATTTAACGAAACATGACAAACAGCTTACGCACACAACATTTAAAGAAACTTGACACAGAGCACACACAGCTAAGCATTTAAGAGGACACACGACACAGTAAAAAAAAACATTTTTGTGACAATAACCGCTTGAATGACTTTGATTACCGAGCCGGATATATCCGATGGCATATATAAAACCAGTGACACTTCAGTTATACAGTCTTTGCTTGTATCATAGATAGTGTCACTTTTAAGAAAAACTATAAGTTTGTTTTTTAACACGTAAGGGTATTTTGTGAGGAGATGGGAGACCATTTAGGCTAATTTGGTGATATTATGTGTTAAAAAGCGTTGAACTTATAAACCGCTGAAATTATACAAATGTTGAAAGAGGAAGAGATGGATAGCATTGTGATTTCTGTGTTATATAACACAAGCCGACCCTCGGCATATAATACGCCGCTATTTAGTAGTTGTTTTTTCTACTTTTCAGTTATTCATAATTTGTGAATTCGACACTACCAACGCTGCCACTGAAAATATTTCTTTAAAACACTATAAGTAGCTCGTTAAGGACGATAACCCCCCCCCTCCTTCCACCCCACCCCCCCCCCCTCCGTTAAAACTCGTTTCAAACTAAATTATATGCCCCTAATAGTCATCACTAAACCCGGTTCTGTTTGTAAACATTTAGAGTTAACCACAGCTCACCAGACCATGTAGGGGTGGGGGTGGTAGGGAGCGCGTTTACAGCTTGTTTTCTAGCGTCTCACAGAAGAGAATAACATACGCCGCTATTTAGTGGTTTCTAATTTTCAATAATTCATAATTTGTGAATTCGACAGTACCAACGCTGACACTGAAAATATTTCTTTAAAACACTATAAGTAGCTCGTTAAGGACCATAACCCCCCCCTTCCTTCCCTCCCCCCCTCCTCCCCCCCTCCTCCCCCCCCTCCCTCTACGTTTAAAATCGTTGGCTCTGCTTGTAAATATTTAGAGTGAACACAGCTCACTAAAACTATGTAGGGGTGGGGAGGTAGGGAGAGCGTTTGCAGCTTGTTTTCTAACGGCTCGAAGAAGAGAATTATATATATAGATAGATATACACGATCCTTTATCACCTCTATAATATATTTTGTATACATTGTATTGTTTTTCATTGATATAAAGTCTTAAGTTCGGTTCCTGGGCTCGAGTCCCTAAGACGTCCAGACTTTCTCTTAACTCTGAAAGGTACCTGACTCACGTTAATAAAGGCGGTTGGTTGTAGTGCTGACTACACTATCCCTTCAAATGCCGAAGTCAGTGAAACAGGTGAACTCCACTTCACCTGTCATATTGACCACCATGTTTGAAATGGTACTTTTTATGTCTATTTATTATACTACACATCACAATGTATAGGTTTACTAAGTGTAGTTTTCAGAGCTACTTCCCCCCCCCCCCTCCGAATAAAGTCTACCGCCCCCACCCCCCCCCCCCCGAACGAAATGGAATTTATATATAAAATATATACTTTTGACAGTGTCCGCCCCCCTCCCCGGGAAATTTGAGTCCGCCCCCCCCCCCCCTCCCGAAAATTTCAAATGCACCCCGGAGAAAAAAGTCTGGAAAAAACACTGGTATTTTTTTTTTAAATATGTATCTTTGCTATAATAAAGCCATATTATTTTCATTTATTACAGTAGGAGTGACATTGTATAACCTTACCAGCTTAGTGTTGTTTCGGCGCTACTGTAACTATAGATCTGCCCTATCGCTGTTTTATTCACCAATGTACTCTATGTTAAAACCGTGATGTTTAATTGTTTATACAAGCTCAAAAGTTTAAAAAACTAACCTGCCAAGTTTATTAAACATATCATAACAATTAGGCATATCATCGTTTGCTCTTTTACAGGGACTGTGGACCTCATTGTAGAACGTACTGTCAATGTAGGAAAATCGTGCATGTTTAATAAAAATTACGAAGTATATACTTACACAGGCTTACACATACATACCACAGAGAAACTACTATATACAATATATATATACATATATATATATGTATACATATATATATATATATATATATATATATATATATATATAATTTATATAGATAGATAAAACGTTATATATTGTGTGGAAGTATATTTATAGGTCTGAATATGTAGAATATATATATATATATATATATATATATATATATATATATATATATATATATATATATATATATATATATATATATATATATATATATACATATATATATATATATATATATATATATATATATATATATATATATATATATATATATATGTATATATATAAGTAAGCCTATATGTATATAAGAATATAGGTATTTATAAATGTAACTGGGGTAGGCCTAACTACCAGTTACAAATGATAACGAACGAGAAGCCGAGACACAGTGTTGGTCTGATGCAACCGATAACAGGTGGCTTATTGGGTCGGGCTGATAACAACCTCAAAGCCGGCGCGTGCTATTTTGGGAAACGGTATTCAGACGGCCTGTCGGCTTTGATGGATAGGACGCAGATGTTATTTTACGGTCTGTACGTTTGAACTACGCAACTGGTGGTCGGAGATCGAGTACAAGTATCGATTACGGAGGAATACAAGTACGGGGACGAGTACGGATACAAGGCATAAATAGGAGGGCACGGCAGGACTCGCTGTCTCTCTCTTCCCGTTTCAGCGAGCTCTCTTCCATCTTCATCGCTCGCTTAGATCAGTCAGTCTGTGTGACTATGTCAAGTCGGTTATAGAACGGGTTAGCCGTATTGTGTTAAGGAGGATTATAGACATGTGGATTCAGTTATATAAAGCCTAGTGAAGGACTGTTAGGGGTCAGTTGATTCAGACTATTATTGAGAAGCATTCCTGTTGATTTATTGTGTTATTATGAAGCATTTCTTGATTCATGTAATAAAGGATCAATAGCGAACCTGCATCTTGAGTATCTATACTGTGGTCAATGTTGTCTAGAATGAGTGGTTAAACTCGTTAACACGTGGCACTACAGGCAATTAGGTCTCATTACATGTGGCGTTGCGAGCATGGTAACTGTTGGCTCGTTACAATTGGCGTTGTCGGCAGGATAAATGTTCGCTCGTCACAATTGGCGCTGCGAGCAGGGTAAATGTTCGCTCGTCACAATTGGCGCTGCGATCAGGATGAATTCAACTAGACTTGCCGTTTAAGGCACCTATAGTCAACCTTGTGCATAACTGTGTTTAGTGTGTGTGTGAATTCGGACATTCAGGAACTGTGAAAATTGAGGAACGAGGAAAAATTTTTCATACACACACGGTAAGAAAGAACTCTCTTTTTTTTAGTACTTAAGGAAGAAAATGTCTACTCTGGACGAGAAGCAGACCCATATAGTGGTCCTACCCAGAGAGTCCCATATTAACAAATTTTACGGGGACGGAGACCCAACTTTAACCAACAGGTTCAGTGAAGAGGTCAAAGCGGCCTGGGCCTCGAGACATATGTCACCAGAGGAAAGATTAAGACTGCTGATGGGCAGTATAGGTGAAACGGTTAGGGCAGAGGTTAAGTGCCACGATAGGACCGTCCAATCAGATCCAGATAAGGTGCTGGATCTGATTATGGAGACCTTTGGGGAGAGACGGTCGGGAGTGCAACTGCTATCGGGATTCGTGGGCTTAAAGCAGAGAATGGCGGAGAGTGTGATGGAGTACTCACACAGGATGAACAGGGCCTTTGATTTGGTAAAGGGCAAATCACCGGACATTGATGTACGCCTACTGAGGGACCATTTCATCGAGGGGCTAGCAACCCCGATCTTAAGGAGAGAGTTGAAAGAGGAGGTCCACAGAGACCAGCAGTTGACCTTCCTTCAGGTCAGGAACTCAGCGATCCGCAGGTCCGAGGATGAGGACCAATCGAACTGTTCGGTGGACAAAGTCTCTGTGCCTGAACAGAGACAATCCCCACCCACAGGGGCCGACACGATGGAGACCATGATGGCTCAACTGTTGGCCCACCTAGAGAAGGTTGACCAACGCTTGAAGTGGTTGGAAAGCAGGTCAACAGCTGAGAATCAGGAAAAGAACGGGACAAAACAGGGACGGGTTGGACGGCCGCGTCCTGCCAAGCCATCACTCCAATGGACGGCAGACGGTCGACCAATTTGTTTGTCTTGTTCACAACCCGGACATATGGCACGGTACTGCCAGGGAAACGGTCGTCCTCTGTAAGGCAGGGCCAAGCTACAGAGGGGCGAGGTTATGGCCCAAGAAGCAAAATGATGGGAGTCTGTCCCGAAATGGTGATTACGATTGGGGACATCGCGGTGAAGGCAATTGTGGATACAGGCTCCCAGGTGACGACAATCACGGAAAATTTTTACACCAAATGGATGAAAGGAAAAGACCATAGGTTGAGGTCTGACACAGGCATGCGCCTAACGGCAGCTAATGGACTAACCATTCCATACTGTGGTTATTTTCTGGCGGATGTCGTGGTGGCAGGACATAGGTTGAAGCAGGTTGGGGTGTTCGTTACGAAACACAACCTAGAGACAAATGTGTCAAATATACCTTGCCTGTTGGGCATGAATATTCTTGGCCAGTTGCCAGAATTTCTTACAAATATTGTCGGATCGACCACACCAGGTCGGGGATCCAAGTTGGCCAGGTTTGCCAAGACCAGAGGAAGGATATCAGTCCCGGCAAACACGGTCAAGGCAATCACATTAAAAATTGGTTATAGAAGTGTGAATGGTGATGTGATGATAGAACCATGTGGCGCCGCACTGAGGGCAGGCGTCGTGTTACTGCGGACATACACATCAGCGGAAAACGGACTAGTTCAAGGGTTGGTAGCAAATGTTTTGGATGAAGAAATTTTTATACCGCCTAACACTCTGGTAGGAGTACCACAGAACGTCGAGGTACAACGGTCGGCACAGTGCATCGAACTGATCAATACCAGTAGTAATGAAGTAACAATTAGGTCGGTCAATGTGACGGCCGAGGTGAAGAAAGAAGATGGCCGATCATATACATTCCCGGAAACTGAGGACCCAAAACTAAATGAATTGCTGAATAAATACAGTGATATATTTGCCTCGTATGAGGGTGATTTGGGATACACGGAAGTAATAAAACACCAGATACCCTTACTACAAGACAAGCCGGTGGCGCAACCTTATCGAAGATTGCCACCAAGTCACTACTCTGCGGTGAAAGCACACCTGAACGATCTACTAAAAAAGGGAATTATTACAACCAGTACGAGCCCATATGCGGCACCGATTGTAGTGGTAAAAAAGAAGTCAGGGGAGATAAGACTGTGTTGTGATTACCGGAAATTGAACAATATCACAAGAAGGGATGCATTCCCCTTGCCTCGTATTGATGAATGTCTTGATGCGTTGGGGGGAGCAAGATTTTTTTCTACCTTGGATTTGGCCAGTGGCTACCACCAAGTGGCCATGCACCCCAACGATCAACATAAAACTGCATTTATTTCTCCACTGGGACTGTACGAGTGGACCCGTATGCCGTTTGGTCTAACTAATGCACCTGCTACATTCCAGCGAGTAATGCAGAGTGCTATGAGTGACTTTCTATTTCAAATAATGTTGGTGTATTTGGATGATATTCTAGTTTACTCAAAAACTTGGGAGGACCATCTAAAAAGATTAGAACAAGTGTTTCTCCGTCTTAGGGAGATAGGAGTAAAGCTGAACCCAGACAAATGCTGCTTTGGTTTGAAATCGGTACATTTTTTGGGTTACGTGATTTCGTCGGATGGCATCGCCACTGACCCAGATAAAATTGCAGCTGTTAAAGAATGGAAACAACCAACAACTACGGTAGAGGTCAGGTCATTCTTGGGCTTTGCTTCCTATTATAGAAAATTTGTGCCGGGTTTTGCAAAAATTGCCGCACCATTGCATGACTTGGTAAACAAAATGACAAAGAAACACAGTAAGGAGAAAAAGAAAGGTAAAACACAACGGATAGGTGAATTATGGACTGATGAATGCCTGAACTCGTTTAAACTCTTGAAAAAGGCCTTGACAGAGGCACCGATATTGGGATACGCGGACTTTGACAAACCATTTCGGCTAGAAATTGACGCCAGCTCTAAAGGTCTGGGAGCTGTGCTATCACAACAACAAAAGCAAGGTTTCAGGGTTATTGCGTATGCAAGTCGAGCTCTGAAGGGATCAGAGAGGAACATGACAAATTACAGCGCCATGAAACTAGAACTTTTGACATTAAAATGGGCTGTGACGGAAAAATTCAGGGACTATTTATTAGGTGCTAAATGTGTGGTATACACTGACAATAACCCCTTGAGTCACCTAAAGACAGCAAAGTTGGGATCCATCGAACAGCGATGGGCAGCAGAATTGGCACTCTTTGACCTAGAGATAAAGTATCGCCCGGGGCGGTCCAATGGCAATGCGGACGCTTTATCAAGGAATCCTTACGAGACACCGGGTGATGAGGAAGAAACACTGACAGGAATATGTGAGGTCAGAACGTCAACAGATATCCCTCATGGGGTACAAGTGATGCAAAACGGGCAGACCGGGGTGGAGCACATATCCACGGAACCCGAACATATGGACAGTAGTGATTTTAATTGCCTTAATCACCAAAAGATAAGAGATGCCCAGAGAACGGATAGTGGCTTACAACCGCTATTGAAACACGTCCAGGAACAAAAATTCCCAGGAAGAAGGGAAAGAGAACAATTTGGTCGAGAAACAAAGAAAATACTGAGTCAGTGGAACCGTCTCAGTATAAAGGATGGTGTTCTCATGCGGAGAATTCATGACCAAATTGATGGCACAATACACCAGGTGGTGGTGCCGGGACAATTACGAGGAGAAGTGCTAAGGTTGGCACATGACAGGGCAGGACACCAGGGTCAGGACAGAACCCACAAAATATTACGACGGAGGTGTTACTGGCCCAATATGGAAATGGAGGTCAAACGCCATTGTGAGGCTTGTGTGAGGTGTCAGCATGCGAAAATGCCAGTTGTCAAAATGAGACAGCCATCAGGACACCTACTAGCGACAAAACCACTAGAGATTGTGGCTATGGACTTTACGTCGTTGGAGCAATCATCGGATGGGACGGAACATGTGTTGGTAATGACTGATGTATTCACCAAATGGACGGTGGCGGTGCCCACGCGAGATCAGACCGCCAAAACAGTGGCAAAGGTCTTATTACAACATTGGTTCATCAAATATGGCATACCAAGACAATTACACTCTGACCAAGGAAGGGCCTTTGAGTCAGAAGTAATTAACCAACTGTGCAACCACTACGGGATCAACAAATCTAGAACAACCACATTTAATCCGAAAGGAAACGGACAGTGTGAACGGTTCAACCGCAGCATGCATGATTTGCTGCGTACGCTAGAACCTGAACAGAAAAAACGTTGGCCTGATTTTCTCCCAGAGTTGGTATATCTATACAACTGCACACCACATGCCACAACCGGCTTTTCGCCATACATGTTGCTGTTCGGACGAGAGGCTCGACTCCCTCTTGATTTGTTCCTAGGAAAAAGGGAGAGTATGACTGGCTCATACACCGCACTGGAATATGTGAATGAACATATGAGAAGAATTAGAGAAATGTACAGGGTAGTACAGGAAAGACTAGAACATGAATCTGGCGAAGGGAACCGCCGATACAGACGAAGGACCCGCCACTCAAACTGAATGACAGGGTATTACTGCGTAGCCACCCGTTAGGCAGAAACAAAATCCACGATCTCTGGGGACAGGAGATATGGCAAGTCGTGGAGATGCCTAAAGTAGCAGGTGGCCCCTTTAAGATAAGACCCATCGATCACGCCAAACCGGATCGGTGGGCGAATATTGCTCAATTAAAGAAATATTGGAATAGGCAAGAAGAGCAGTTACACACACAGAAACCCAAGACAATTAGGGAACCGGAAGTTATAACGGAAATTCACATACCCATTCCGGAACCATATCACCATCAACAGAACAACAGCGATACGCAAGGGGAGGATACCGGCAACAATGAGGATCCCGGTCCCTCCAGAAGCAGAGAGACAGTAGACCATCAGATAAGTGGTCCGCGGAGAAGTTTAAGGAACAGAAGGAATACGAAATTTTTTGTCAGCAACCATCAATTCTTTCATGGTCGCGCTGGTATGAAAACAGACTGTTCAAAGAGCTATAGAAGTGAACTGGTGAAGGCACCAAATGGAAAGGGTGGATGTGAATTCTAGAACTGTTTTGTGTCTCAGGAAGATGATGTAGACACAGTTGATATGTGAAATAGGTAGAACTGTCAATCGTATACGAATGGAACGTCGTGGACAGTGAGTAGAACAATAGATTTTTATTTTACGACTGTGCGATTGACTTTGGAGGAGTGCACCTGCCAGGCGTTGTTTGTGGTTGAAAACACACAAAAAAAGCAGGGGTGGATGTAACTGGGGTAGGCCTAACTACCAGTTACAAATGATAACGAACGAGAAGCCGAGACACAGTGTTGGTCTGATGCAACCGATAACAGGTGGCTTATTGGGTCGGGCTGATAACAACCTCAAAGCCGGCGCGTGCTATTTTGGGAAACGGTATTCAGACGGCCTGTCGGCTTTGATGGATAGGACGCAGATGTTATTTTACGGTCTGTACGTTTGAACTACGCAACTGGTGGTCGGAGATCGAGTACAAGTATCGATTACGGAGGAATACAAGTACGGGGACGAGTACGGATACAAGGCATAAATAGGAGGGCACGGCAGGACTCGCTGTCTCTCTCTTCCCGTTTCAGCGAGCTCTCTTCCATCTTCATCGCTCGCTTAGATCAGTCAGTCTGTGTGACTATGTCAAGTCGGTTATAGAACGGGTTAGCCGTATTGTGTTAAGGAGGATTATAGACATGTGGATTCAGTTATATAAAGCCTAGTGAAGGACTGTTAGGGGTCAGTTGATTCAGACTATTATTGAGAAGCATTCCTGTTGATTTATTGTGTTATTATGAAGCATTTCTTGATTCATGTAATAAAGGATCAATAGCGAACCTGCATCTTGAGTATCTATACTGTGGTCAATGTTGTCTAGAATGAGTGGTTAAACTCGTTAACACGTGGCACTACAGGCAATTAGGTCTCATTACATGTGGCGTTGCGAGCATGGTAACTGTTGGCTCGTTACAATTGGCGTTGTCGGCAGGATAAATGTTCGCTCGTCACATAAACATATATATGTATTTATTTATTTATAATTTTACATAAATATATCGGCCTATATGTACATGTATATGTACACTTTTATACATGCTATACAGTTTTATACACTTTTATACTTGTTAGTATATGTATATAGGCCTATATATAATACATATTTTATATAACAAAGTATTAAAGTCTGTTTTTAAATAATTAAAACAATGTGTAATGATGTATTTACCTTTCTGAATACACAATGCCAAGGATAGTCTTTTAAAAAAAAATCAAGTTGTGGGCTGTCACTAACGTCTTGTTACTCCTACAGCCAGGTAATAATAACACGTCGAGATCCGCTAGAGTATGTAACAACACCTTGTGCTAGTCTCCCCTGCCCACTGAAGTGCTAAATTTAACGTCGAATAGAGGTGTGATATATAAAACTGGGTTGGGGGATAGGAAACATCCGGTTGCCTTGTTTTAAAAATAAACAACATGGTATATAAAATATTTTATCAATCGAATAGGCCTACAAGCAGAAAAATTTAAAATTTAAAAATACTTTTGAATTAAGTTATAATCATTGGGAGATAAATAACCAGAGTTGAATTTCGTTTACTTTTCCGCCATCTGTTTAGGTTCTCTGCAGACAGACAGACAGACAGACAGACAGACAGACAGACAGACAGACAGACAGACAGACAGACAGACAGACAGACAGACAGACAGACAGACAGACAGACAGACAGACAGACAGACAGACAGACAGACAGACAGACAGACAGACAGACAGACAGACAGACAGACAGACAGACAGACAGACAGACAGACAGACAGACAGACAGACAGACAGACAGACAGACAGACAGACAGACAGACAGACAGACAGACAGACAGACAGACAGACAGACAGACAGACAGACAGACAGACAGACAGACAGACAGACAGACAGACAGACAGACAGACAGACAGACAGACAGAATTATGGAAATAGAAAACTATTCTCACTTAGACAAAAAATGATTAAAATTAAAGCAATAATGATTCCTGGCGACGTAGATCGGTGTAAAAGCAAATACAAAATAAGAATACAACACAAGAAGAAAAAAATATAACACAATAATAATACTGTTACTGTTTTATTATGTTTGTGTTGCTGCGCATGTGTGTATTTTTAAGACTGTATCATCTTCCAAATTAACTGGGATGTTATAAATCTCCACCACCCGTACCACTTCGAACGAAATAGAAAAAAAAAACTTAATGTATATAAAAAGTAAAGTTCCCCATTCAGATCTAAGGATCCATAGGAAAGCAGAGTTCATATGTTTATTGATCTCGACATAAAGGTATTGTGTAGTCAGCACTATGCTTAGCCGCCTTAACTTCTGACTTTTGTGACGAAGTGTGATGGGGTGTGGGTAAAAAAAAGTGTGACGTCATACTTCTATATTTTAAAGCGTTTTTTTTTTAAAACTAAAAGTTAGGAGATATTCAACATTTTAAAAACGACGTTTATATAAATTGTAATTAAACCACTATAGCATACGCCTACCAAGTCTATAATCGTGTTTACTAATTTAAAAAATATGCATTATACAAGAAATGTAACGGCTGATTTTGTAAAAAGTTTTTTTTTATTCTCACACTAAATACAGAGTAGTCACAAGAACAGTAACCACGCCAAAAAACTCAAGAAAAAATAACTCCGTTTTCAGAAACATCCCAGCGACACCACACGGTTCTCCGTAGTCATAGTCAAACATCGACTCGTTGCAGACCTGTTTTGGGGGAATTTCTGGGGGCTGGGGGCCGTTGCAAAAATCCTTCTGACAGAAAGTGTAGCAGACAATCATCGGGCTGATGAACTCACAGGTGGTGAGGTTGTTAGGGTTAAGGCCGCGAAATCGCGGGGTGTCAAAGCCGGAAGTGAAGTTGACGCCATCGTGACAACCTCGGTGGTAGAGAACATAGGCACCTGTTGATTGATATTTAAAAAAAAAATTATTTAACTTTTTTTTAGTACTCTCTGAGTTCTGGTGATCTCAGGGCAGATAAAATAGAAAAATTCTTCGTTTTAGGTCAAGATGTATTCGAAATCTTTTATGTAATGGTATAGCTACCATAACACAAACTGTGATACTAGCTCAAGTCATAGCCTATCAGTGATCCTAGCCCTAATCCTGATCTTCACAGCTTCTTTCAGGCATCATTTTGGGGCATTGCCTCCCACCCCCTCCAATGACGAAATTACAGAAATATATAACTGATGTAGATAATATATACTTTAATCCCTTTTATGAATTAGTCTCTGTAACTGTATTAGTAACCTTTGAGTAACTTAAACAATACGTTTCCTAAAAAAAAAACATATCTGTTTTTAGGGGTCCAAACTTACGATTCACTTGGGCCGTTTCAATCATGCACCTATCCCAAGTTGGCTTCGATTCTGAACAGTTTTGGAAATACTTCCTGCTTATACCAAGTGACGTGTTGACCATGCCGGAAATGTCCGTCACACATGGCTCGTTGGATGACGTAGCAGGACACTGGTAACATAGCAACGCCTCTGACAATAGAGAGTATGCATGGGTGATATTGTTAAGAGTAGGCATTGGTTTGTTATTCTAATTAGGCACGTAGGTGGGGACCTCATACACCTAGGGTGGAAGGTGGGTTCAGAATTTTTCAACGATATGTGTCGAGGGGAGGGGGGAGGGGGAGAGAGTCAGAAACTGCGACGTAAGACTGTTGCTTTTTTATGGAGAATAGGGAATAAGGCAAATAATTTAAATCCAAATTTATAAAAATATCGGCGTCTTACGCGTCATCGATTCAGAACAGCTGGGCTTCCACTATTTGTCCGTGTGTCTGTGTGTGGATGTATGTCTGTGAACACGATAACTTAAGTACCGTTACAGCTAGGTTTACGAAATTTCATATATATGTATTTTATCACATTTGTAGCTCTGTATCAACTTTTAAGCGCTGCTTATGTTCACACCCAGACATTGTGCGACACTTTTAAACACACAGATGTTAATTCATGTGTCAAACTATTTTATTTCGGTACCACAAATTGCATCATATTTCGTATTGGTTGGTCCATCTGTCTACTAAGTTGGTTACGAAACAACGTGTTTAAATCAATGAATCACATCTTTTTGATAAGTCAAATTCAATTTTAGTCACCCCAGTTAAGTAGCAACATCACGTTCATGTCACAGTTACGTAATAGCTCGGTTCGTTTTTTGGCACAGACCTTGTTGACACACAAATACATTGTTTATGTCACTACTCTAGTTACAGTTATTACAATAGCGGTGTCATTGTATAACCTTACTAACTAAGTGTTGTTTCTATTCTACTATAACTATAGATCTGCCCTAACACTGTTCTATTAACAATTTTACTCTATATAAACCGTGCTGTTCAGTTGTTATACAAGTTCAAAAGTTTAAAATACTAACCTGCCAAGTGTATTAAACACATCATAGCAATTAGGCACATCATCGTTTTCTGTTTTACAGAGACTATGGACCTCATTTTAGAGACACTTTCAATGCAAGAAAATCATATTTGTTTAATAAAAATTACGAAGTATATACTTGCACTGGCTTAAGCACACATATTATAGAGAACACACACACACACACAAACACACACACATATATAGGCCTATATATATATATATATATATATATATATATATATATATATATATATATATATATATATATATATTTATTTATTTATTTATTTATTTATACATATATATATATACATTAATAAATAAATAAATACACACACACATGTATATATATATATATATATATATATATATATATATATATATATATATATATATATATATATATATATATATATATATATATATATATATATATATATATATATATATATATATATATATATATAGCGTCTAAAGCGCTATCCATACCGGGGCGCAAAAATCTGTAATCGCCATTATTAATATACCGGGAGTGATCTCCCCTAAACTTTCTCGAATATTCTTATATAAAACAACAGGTGATAGGAACTCGGGATATAGACATGATTTTCAATCCATTTTAAATACTTAAACTTTTTAAAATAGAATAAAACCTCGTGGAAAAAGAATTGCATACCAAGTGAACGCCAAATAAAATGTGCATAATAGTGCGCAATATTTTTAGAACTTTATGAATTTTCATTAGTTTTTTGTGAAATCAGAAATAGCGTAAATTACTACTTCCGTTCAACGGAAATTATTCAAAATTTGACAGATGATAGAGAGTTAGATCTTTTACTTACATGTAAAATTTCATTTATCTATCTGAAATAGTACTCAAATTATAGGCTTTTGAAACATTCAAAGTAGAAAAAGTACCAATTCCGGTTATCGGAAATCACTCAAAAGTTTATACAGATCTACGATTTTGATAAAATACTTAAATATGAAATTTCATCAACCTAGCTGTAACGGTACTCAAGTTATCGTGTTTACAGACACACACACACACACACACATACACACACACATACACACACAGACATACGGACAAGATTTCAAAACTATGTTTTTCCGACTCAGGGAGGTGTAAAACGTCGAGATTTGCAAAAATCTAAAAAAAAACTTGCACGATTACAAGACTTTCTCTATACTTTGTATATACGAGAAAGTAAAAAGTACCTAATAATTTATAACTTTTATTATATTACGAGAAAAATGGCCCGTTGAGGAAGGGTACAACGGGCGCTAGGCTGATAGTGCTGTCTCTTTTCTCTAAACTAAAACCAACCCACCCCCCCACACACCACCCCCACCCCACCCCCCCACCCCCACACACCACCCCCACCCCCCACCACACACCACCCCCACCCCTCACCCCCCACACACCACCCCCTCCACACACCGCCCCCCCCCACCCCCAAAAAAAAACATGTCTACCGTCCCATTCAACGAAATATAATTATATACTTTTTCCAGTGTCCGCCCCCTCCCAGAAAATTCTACCCCCGCCCCCGAAAATTTCAAGTACCCCCACCACTCTCCGGGGAGGAAAAAGTCTGAAAGAAACACTGAAACCAACCCACCCCCCCCCCACACACCACCCCCCCACCCCCCCCCCCACACACCACCCCCACCCCCCCCCCACACACCACCCCCCCACCACCCCCCCCCCCCCCACACACCACCCCCCCACCCCTCCACCACCCCCCACCCCCAAAAAAAACATGTCTACCGTCCCATTCAACGAAATATAATTATATACTTTTTCCAGTGTCCGCCCCTTCCCAGAAAATTCTACCCCCGCCCCCGAAAATTTCAAGTACCCCCCACCCCTCTCCGGGGAGGAAAAAGTCTGAAAGAAACACTGAAACCAACCCACCCCCCCCCCCCCACACACCACCCCCCACCCCCCCCACCCCCACACACACCCCCCACCCCTCCACCCCCCCCCCCCCCCCCCCCCCAAAAAAAACATGTCTACCGTCCCATTGCAAGAAAACCACTTTTTAGATTAGACACATTAATTAGGCGGTAATTTTATTATAGAGTATCGATGAGGAAATTTCTTTTGAGTTGGGGAGGGGGGGGGGGGGCTCAGACGTTCTTACGCGGGGGGTGGGGCTTCGCCCCTACCCGAAGAATTGTATGCAAGAAACTCTTCACGCAAACCATTTAGATTAGACAAAATTTCCTTTTTATTCAATGTTTACGCGATAATCAATGACGTCATTATATTACTGTGTGCACTTTCCGCCTTGAGATTATTTTCAACTCTATGCTAAATGTGTCGACGTCTACTTCGTTTTTCGAAATACTATGCATGTTTTTAATTTCCTTGTGTTTTCTCTAGAGCGTTCTTGTCAGACAGAGCGTTCTTGTCAGACAGACAGCGAAACTATTATATAGAATATAAACTATAGACAAGATAATTTACACAGGCATAGCGATCTATTTCAGTGCCCATGACGAGCTATCAATTTTGCGCCTCCTCCTCAAATTAGGCCTAAATATAATTAATTACGTTTGTGAAAATGCCCCCCCTCCACCTCACTCTGTTGGAAGGGTCGGGGCGCTTGTTACCAATCACTTTGCCTTTTTATTTTGGTATAATCTCAAGTAGAGGTATATGATCTTTATTTCTACTGCGTATAATTCAGTAATGAGCTTTTTAAATTATTATCTACCACGTTTGGCGCCCCCTTTGGGTCGGTGCCTGTGGCGGCCGCCCCACCCGCCCTTCCCTCTGTTAATATAATGAGATAATTATTGTATTTAATCTAAATCTTTTAATCTCGAACATTTCAGATGATTATCTAATTTTTATGTTGATTTAGTGATCTGTGTAGCGTAATTTTGATTTTTAATATGGCTTGTAAGTCTCGTTTTCTCTCACTTTGAATTAGAAATCTCTTTAGTCAGGGAGAGATGTATATTTTCAAACTAAATCAATAGTTAGCACCACAAGATCCTAAACAGATTTTCAAAGTAGAATTACACTACACTATCTTGGAAATGGGTATGCACTCTTTGGAAGAGGGTTTCCAACAATTAGAACAACATAAACTTCTACTTCTCTTCCTTAACAATATATCCAATATCAACACAAAGGCACCTGCGGATATACTTACTGCCTGCAAATATTTAGAAACGTCGTTAATGCTTTACGCTAGTAAAGATATTGATGCTGATAATATTTGCAATGGAGTAGTAACTCGATGTCACCATCAGATGTGCGTCTCTATATAATAAAACTAAAATTGGACGATAGTGTATCTAATGTTATTATTTCCATGTGAATAATGTTAACCCTTCCAGTGTCCAGGGGTGGGGGGGGGTCGTTAAGGGGGATGGGGAGCATAATATATATATATATATATATATATATATATATATATATATATATATATATATATATATATATATATAAATTTCGCCTAGGGCGGTAAGTAACCTAGCGCCGGCACTGTACATACATACATATATATCCCAATATTTAAAAGCCCATGTGCGCACTTCTCTCTCTCTCTATGTCCGAAAGTTTTTTTAGGCGATGTGATCAGTATGTTCAGCCATATTTGTAGAACTTAAAGATAAGGACTTTTGTTGAAAATAACATGGTGGATGTTAAAAATATATAAACTAAATTTTATTTAATAAAAAAAAATAATTAAAAATAAAAGCATGTTCGAATGTAAAGACACAATTTTAATTCTACAACTGGAAAAGCGTTTATTGTTGAGAAAAGAGCGCAATAAAAATGCCGTCACATACCACAGGTTTAAACTAAGGAATTAACACAAAACTAATGGCGTCATCTTCTAATTTTAGAATATGAAGAAAGGAACTCTGTCATTTAAATTGGTTTTAGATCTATAGATCTACTTATCAAGACGTAGGCTATGAAATGTTTACAATTTTTTAGGGCCAAAAGTAATACAAATTACTTTAAAAAACAACATAAATTCCATTGAACAGCCGGGGTTTTAAAGGAATCATTTAATTCTCTTGATCAGTTGTGTTGACTAATAATATATGTAACCTTTGTTATTTTAAATTTGCTGTTTTTTTAGCTATTTAGTTATTGCTTTGATTTTAAATGTGCCTGATTTTAAGCTACTTAGTTATTTCTTTGCTTTGTCACTAATATCTCATTGTGTAGTGTTGCGTTTTGTCCAATAACTATCTTACTTTTTTTTTTTCCAAATACGTATAACATAAAAAATATATAGGCCTATAATTCACATACATATTAGTAATATATATATATAATCAGAAGCGTAGCGAAAAGGGGGGGGGCGGGGGGGGGGGGACCACAAAATGGGTTGAAAAAAAAAATTGAAAGCTTGAGGGGGGTGCAAATCGAAAATCTGAGAGGGGTGCAGATCTTGAGGCGGGGGGGGGGGTGCAAATTGAAAGTTTGAGGGGGGGGGGGTGCAAATCGAAATCTTGAGGTGGGAGTGCAAATCGAAAGTTTGTCCCCGGGCGCCGGGAAGGGTCGCTACGCCTCTGTATATAATACATATATTATACAACTATTTATAAAAGTATGTTAATAAATTATTAAAATATATCTAATGGTGTTTTACCTTTATAAATACACTATGCTGGGGATAGTCTTATTTTAAAAAAAAAATTAAAGTTGTGGGCTGTAACTAACGTCTTGTTACTCCTACAGCCAGGTAATAATAACCCGTCGAGATCCGCAAAAAAATGTTACGAAACTTGGTGCTATTCTCCACAGCTAGTCGAATACTAACTAACGTTGAATAGATGTTTGATATATATAAAATAGGGTTGGGGGATGGGAAACATCCGGGTGCTTTGTGATAAAAATAGAAAACCTGGTATAAAGCTTGTATTCATATAAATTGCCTACAGAATGATTTATATATATAAAAAAAATTCCTTTTGAATTTATGTATGATTAAAGGGAGATGAATAACTTGTTACTTTCACAGATTTTAAAGAGTTTTCATAAATATTATTATTACTTCATAAATATTATAATTAAAGTGACTTTTTGTGAAAATGGAAGGGTGAGGGGGGGGGGGGGGGCGTCGATCAATCAATCAAGCATTTCTAAATTGAGACTTTGGAGCACCACATTTGATTATCTTTTAATTTTCCGCCATCTGTTTAGGCTCTCTGCTGCTCTGATTAGCTCTGCAACGGGCAGTCCAGTGAAGTCCTTCACCCAGTCGACAAATGAAGTAGTTGTGGGGTTGGGTGGAGTGATTTGATTTGCTGATAAATTATGCGTTACGTGGAAGGTTGGGTAAGAAAGTTGTTCAAAATTTTAAATGCTCAAAGGGCACAAGGACAGACAGACAGACAGACAGACAGACAGACAGACAGACAGACAGACAGACAGACAGACAGACAGACAGACAGACAGACAGACAGACAGACAGACAGACAGACAGACAGACAGACAGACAGACAGACAGACAGACAGACAGACAGACAGACAGACAGACAGACAGACAGACAGACAGACAGACAGACAGACAGACAGACAGACAGACAGACAGACAGACAGACAGACAGACAGACAGACAGACAGACAGAAAGACAGACAGACAGACAGACAGACAGACAGACAGACAGGCAGGCAGGCAGGCAGGCAGGCAGGCAGGCAGGCAGACAGACAGACAGACAGACAGACAGACAGACAGACAGACAGACAGACAGACAGACAGACAGTTTCTTCCATGCATCTCTCCGGAGTAATTTTGTGTGTGTATATGTGTGCGCGCGCATGTCTGTATTTTTAAGACAGTATCGGCTACCAAAATAACTGAGACGTTATAAATGTTGAGATCTATTATAACATTACGCTGATCCCGGAAGTTGCTATATACACTTTTTCTCTCATGCGGAGTTGAGACACGGCGTTAAACCAGGAAGTAATATAAGAAAAGACATTATTGTTCAAAAATTGTAGATAAAAAAATGTCCTACTATACATTCTACGCGAACTGTAGCACACGTAGCAGAGTTTCTTTCAGTCATCTCTCCGGAGCAATTCCACCTCCCCAACCCCCTCGATTAAAAATTTGCCGAAAAATCTTATTCCGAGTAGACACTTCGTAAAAATAAATACATACTTATTTGTATAAAAGAACTAAGAACTAAGAATCCGTATGAAAAATGACAAGAGTTAATATGTTTTTTTTTAACCTCAATGTGGTCAGTTTGCCCAATCGTCTTTACAGTCACTATCGTAAGACTGGTACCCATAAGAGTTGGGTGGACCCAGGGATGTCCCTTCAATCTCGAATTATCCGAACTCGAGACATTCCGAACTCTCAATCGGGATGGTAAGTAGGTCACCAACCAGTTCTACGGCTCAATAAAACCTGCATGAGCCATAGAACTGGTTGGTGACCTACTTACCAGCCCTATACTTTCAGACCACGCCGTTCAATACAAAATTTATGTACAACAGATTTACTTTAACCAGTGTCCGCAGATAATCATGAGATATTAAATATCTATACATTATACAAGAAACGTAATGGCTGATTTTATAATTTTTTTTAATTCTCACATTAAATAAAGAGTAGTCACAAGAACAGTAACCACGCCAAAAAACTCAAGAAAAGATAACTCCATTTTCAGAAACATCCCAGCGACACCACACGGTTCTCCGTAGTCATAGTCAGACATCGACTCGTTGCAGACCTGTTGGTAGGGTACTTCTGGGGGCTGGGGTCCGTTGCAAAAATCCTTCTGACAGAAAGTGTAGCAGACGAGCTTGCCAATCAGGTTGATGAACTCACAGGTGGTAAGGTTGTTAGGGTCAAGGCCGTGAAATCGAGGGCTGTCAAAGCCGGAAGTGAAGTTGACGCCATCGTGACAACCTCGGTGGTAGAGAGTATAGATACCTGTTGATTTTTTAAAAATAAAAATGATCTCAGATACCAATTTGCATTAAAGATCTTTTATGTGATGGTATAGCTACAATATCATAAACTGTGACACTAGCACAAACCGTAGCCTTATCATTGATCTTAAACCTAATCATGATCTTCAAAATTTATTTCATGCATCCCCCTAACTTTATTGGTCACTTTTTAACCAGAATCCGTCCCCCGGAAATGTTAAGTGTGCACCCTCGGAAGTTTCAAGAAAAAATATACAATTGATTTAGAAAATATATTTTTAACCAGTGTCCTTCCCCCGGAAATTGTAACAGCATCCACGGAAGTTTCAAGAAAAAAGTCTGGAAAAAAAAACGCTGGTCATTATCCAGATGATATCTTGAGTATTTCATAAACTTCCTTTGCTTTTCTGATTTCTGATGAGAGCCTCAATGACTTTAGGCTTCCTGGGTGCGTAGCCCAAACATGCGCCATTTTATCTGGTTAATTTCATCTTCATCAAGCACATTGACGTGTTCACTGCCAGAATTCTTAGTCAGCACTTGCGACAAAAGACGGAGTTGGGGGTGCGGACAGAACCGAGTGACACCCGACCTGGCGACGCCATTGTTTGTTACCGATTGTTGTTCCAGCGTTTGTAGAGCATTCTTCTGAGAAGAGTTTCTTACAGGCATCACTGGGCGTTGGGGTGGGGGACGGAGCTCTGGGCCATCCATAAATGACGTCACACTCCCAAGGGGGAGGGGGTCAGTAATTTTGTGACGGTGTGTGATGAGGGGGAGGGGAATTCAGATGGCGTGACGTCACACTTTTGCATTATAAAAAAGCAATGTTAAGAAATGAGTTTTAGAGAAAACTGTTTTAATAAATTGGAATTGGAATTGATTAAAATACTCTATGTTCACAGAGTTCAAACAAGATTTTGGAAAAATATCGATGTTTAAGAAAAATTCAGCTGCAATTTAGAGGGGGGGGGGTTGTAGGCTGAGGTGGACGTCATTTTAGGGGAGGGGTATGGCTTTTTGTGACGATATGTGACGGAGGGGATAGGGGAGGTAAAAATCGTCCAAAACACGGATGTCATTTATGGATTACCCCCAGAGTTTCTTCCAGGCATCCCCCCCCCCCCCGAAGAAAGTCTGGAAGAAACACTGATTACCCCTCTCTCTCCCTCCCCCCTGAAATACGTTTACCGCCCCACTGGGGGGTGGGGTCTGACACTGGTAAAAGTAGATTTTTTTAAAGAGATGGCTGGAAGAAACTCTACCCCACGAACTAAATAGAATTTATGTTTCCGTCCCCCCCGCCCCCCCCCCCCCCCCCCGGAGAAAAAAGTGTGAAAGAAACACTGCTTTCTGAATCATCATGTTCATGTCAAACACTACGATTCCTAAAAAAAAAAACATCTGTATGCGTATCAACTTACCACTCGTTGCTGCCGTTTCAATCATGCACCTATCCCAAGTTGGCTTCGATGCTGAACAGTTTTGGTAATACTTGCTGCTTATACCAAGTGACGTGTTGACCAAGCCGGATATATCCGTCACGCACGGCCCGTCGGGTGACGTAGAAGCACACTGGTAACATAGCAACGCCTCTGAAAATAGAGACTATGCTTCGGTGAGATTGTTAAGAGTAGGCATTGGTTATGTTAAGAGAAGGCATTGTTTACAGAGTTTCTTCCAGGCATCTCTTCTACCGCCCCCCGAACGAAATGAAATTTATATAGAAAATATATACTTTTAACAGTGTCCGACCCCCCCCCCCCCGAAGAAAGTCTACCCCCCCCCCCTCCCTCACGGAAAATTTCAAGTGCCTCCCCGGAGAAAAAAGTCTGGAAGAAACACTGATTGTTTATTTTGTTCTAATGAGACACATTGTCGTACATAAAAGAAGTTACACTCATAGGGTGGAGTGTGGGTTCGGAATTTTGTGACGATGTGAGGCGGGGAGAGAGGGGTGGTGGTCAGAAACTGCGACGTCACTCTGTTGCATTTTTAAAAAAAAGGAAAGTTAGAATTCTAGCTGTTAGTTAGCCGTTAGGGGTGACGTCATTTTAGGGGGGTTTGTCTGGCGTGTGTGCTGGCGAGGAACTGTGGGAGGAGGGGGTGTAAAAAGTCAAGAAACGTGACGTCATTTACGGATACATTAGTTTGGAGAAGTCAGCCTCAGAAGTGTTTCCGGCCATACACCAGAGTTTCTTTCAGGCATTTTTTAGGTCGTCTACCCCCCCCCCCCAAAGCAAATGGAATTTATATAGAAAATATATACTTTTAACAGTGTCCTCCCCGTGGAGATTTTAGTCTGCCCACCCCCCCCCCCCCCCAAAATTTTAAGTGAAGCCCTCACCCCCCCCCCCCCCCCCGAAGAAAAACGTCTGAAAGAAACACTGCCATCCACACACGAAGCGAACACTCACATACATATATTAAAAGGATGTAGGCTTATCTATATGTATGTTAAGTATATCTATACAAACATATAGGCCTGTATATATACATATAGGCCTATATATATATATATATATATATATATATATATATATATATATATATATATATATATATATATATATATATATATATATATATATATATATATTGCATATATATAATGCATTTGTATGTCGTTGGAATTGTACGAATTTAAGTGTTAGAAAATTATCGTGCGCATTTGTCTAAATTTATGAGCTAAAAAATTACCATTGAAAGTGTTGGGAAATCATTTTCATTTTTCAAATTATAGTAATAATTGTCGGCATGTTCATTAAACACAAGTTTAAAAAAAATATCATCTTTTACAAAAATTCTAATTATGTCTTTATTTAGTCCTATAGCACTTACTTCCCTTTGATAAATTAGGAAAACAAAATTACTTCCCTTTATAAAACCATTGCATTAGTCGAAAATAATTTACTTTTTAATTACTTTGTTTTGGTGTTGGGAAAAAAAAATAATTACATAATTAGCGGGGATTGATCAAGTGCAAATGTTGTAGGTATTTTACGGATAAGCTTGGAGTATTAAAATTGTTCATCAAATTGAAACAGGCGCGTTCGTTTAAGTGAGTGCAAAAGACTATGAATAAGTTGGGGTACTATAGTCGTTCATTAAGCTAAAACAGGTGATTCCGCCCCGGGCGTTTATGTTCGCGTTAGTGTTTTCTTTGTGTTTAGGTGGGTTTGCGTTAGTGGTTGCGTTTTGATTTGGTTCGTTTTTGTTCTTTCTTTTTTCGTTTTTGTTTGTGTTTCTTTGTTTGGGTTTGTATTTGTGTTTTTGGTTGGTTTTGCGTTTGGATTTGGTTTGTTTTCGTTTGCTTTTTCGTTGTTTTTTTTTTTTTGTTGGTATTGGTGTTTGTGGTTGGGTTTGTTGTTAGGTTTTTGTTTTCGTTTGCTTTTTTGTTTGTTTTTTCTTTGTGTTTGTATTGGTGTTTGTGGTTGTGGTTGGGTTTGTTGTTAGGTTTTTGTTTTCGTTTGTATTTGTAATTGTGTTAGCGTTATGTTTGCGTTTTGCTGTTTTGGTTGGTTGTGGTTTGGGTGGGCAATGCCGGGTTTATGATGATTACTAAACACACAGGTAATGGTCTTTAACAGAAAGGTTTTTCACAGAAGCCAGAGCAGGGCCTGGCCGGGACGGCTAGTATATATATATATATATATATATATATATATATATATATATATATATATGTATATATATATATATATAATATATATATATATATAGGCCTATATGTATATATACAGGCAAATATGTGTGTATGCATATATATATATATATATATATATATATATATATATATATATATATATATATATATATATATTCTAAACTTACAAGGAACATGAATGTATTAACACTACCTGTTGTAACTGCAAGATAAGCTGTAAGTACCACAGTCACTGACATCCATGTATACATCATTTTATATTGTCATTGCTTTCTTTATGAAATACAAAAAGTACGTGTTTCAAAAACTGTATGTAAATATCTCGTGCTTCTATTTTTAAATGAAGTGGTCCTATATTCTTTTCTTAGATCTTCATCCTATAAATTGAGTATGATTGTCTTTAGAAGTTTGCGGGTTATCGTGAAACTGATTTTGATCTGTTTAAAGTGTAGCGATTTATTTCAATCTTCGCGTAAAATTTTATCTTCGACCGCTGTCTGAGAATAGCTAACTTTCAATCAAATTAGCTAGTTAATTAACCACTTGATGTTATTTAAAGATTACTAAATGAATTAACAATAGGGGAGATAACCAAGTGTTTGTGATAGCCAAGTAATATGTTTGCCTCCAGTAAAGAATCTGTGGCATTCTTGAAAAAGGGGCGATAATAGAACAGTCTACTATCAAACAGCCAGTTATAACAGTAATAAGTAATTACAACTAAGTTAGTGATTGGGCTTAAAGGAAATATTTCAGTAAAATATCAGCTTGAAAATAATAACCATGTTACTTATCAGGAACATATGCAAACGCTGATAAAAAAAAACGTACATATCGATTTACTTTTGTATTTTTATAATCCCTCATAACTTAAACAGAAAACAAAATGTAAAATTTAATGTTGTATGAATGATATCTGTAGAGAACAAAACTTTAAGTTTTATAACTCCATAAAATTCCTGTTTATTTTCTTTTTAAGAGTATTGCTATTACAAAGGATTTTATGTGTGTTTTATTTTCTTAAATAATTTTGAACATGTAATATCTGTGGACTACTAGTATACTTTGAAAAAAAAATTATTTTAATCAACTTCATATACATGCATGCTTTTTCCCACTTAATCACCTACCTAAAAAAAAAGACTAAAGCCTCCTATGAATGTAAGAAAATTTTTTTTTCAAAATATTCAATGCAAATAAGAACTATAAAGAAAACAGAACTTACTTTCTAGCATGCTGATTGACATTTAAGATTAGAAAGTTTGACAACACCTTAACACAAGGAAGTGGTGTGTCACTTCGTCCACACTAGGCCTAGTTCTTGTTTATATTGCAGCAATAAACTTGATTTACAACTGGCAATGGTCCTTATTCCGGAGGTTCATTTAAAAAATATAAATGATTAGGGTGTCCTAACAGCTGTATTGAAATATGGCTTAAGCACTAGCATAAACAGCAGGATTTTGTGAGGGTTTTTTTTTAAATTCACACACATATAAATATAGGCTGTATGTTTACACAAACACATTATATATGGTGTGTGTGAAATTTTCTATGTATGTATACTTAACATTTGAGAGCATTGAATACATGAGTGCAACAATTAAGATAGTCATTTTGGGGTTGGTGGTTCTGACCCCCCCCCCCCCACACACATTATATATGGTGTGTGTGAAATTTTCTATGTATGTATACTTAACATTTGAGAGCATTGAATACATGAGTGCAACAATTAAGATAGTCATTTTGGGGTTGGTGGTTCTGACCCCCCCCCCCCCCACACACACATTATATATGGTGTGTGTGAAATTTTCTATGTATGTATACTTAACATTTGAGAGCATTGAATACATGAGTGCAACAATTAAGATAGTCATTTTGGGGTTGGTGGTTCTGACACCCCCCCCCCCCCACACACATTATATATGGTGTGTGTGAAATTTTCTATGTATGTATACTTAACATTTGAGAGCATTGAATACATGAGTGCAACAATTAAGATAGTCATTTTGGGGTTGGTGGTTCTGACCCCCCACACACACACACACATTATATAGGGTGTGTGAAATTTTCTATGTATGTATACTTAACATTTGAGAGCATTGAATACATGAGTGCAACAATTAAGATAGTCATTTTGGGGTTGGTGGTTCTGACACACACCCCCCCCCCCCCATATGGACACCACAGATACATGCACAAAGATCTACATCAATTTTTTAAAAGAACTTATTTCATCTGCATCACAGCAGTTAGCACTGCTGCCTCAAGAGTCAATTGTAGCACACTATCCTTGCATATGCTGTGGTCACGTGAGCTCTTCTTCATCTACCATAGACAATTATACATCAGAATGTTTAACTGAGGTAAAAAAAAAAGCCAGTTAAATTACTCATCCTCTTCCCCCACCTTTACTTCTTTATTAACTCGCCAAGCTTACTGAAGTTATTAGTAACTATGTAAACACATATTGCAACAGCGACCTTTCAATCATGAAGTAACAATTATTAGATTTTTATTTCATTTATTCATCAAAAAAACACATCAGCACAGCACATTTTCAAAAAATTCATGAATATCCAGTGATATGTGCTAAAATTACATAATATTTGCATAAATTATGTACAGCATAAAGATGACAAAATATATAAAAAAAAAGAAACTTGTGTTAGTAGCCTATCTGGTTACATATTACAATGGTTACAGGATTAAGACTAGGTTGTAGGTAATTCCAAAAAGAAATTATAAACAAAAATAATTAAATGCAATATACAATGTCACTTCGTTAAAAAATAATTTTTAAAGCTGTGAAAACACAACATGAGAAATCTTAATGCCAGATGTGATTTCAGTGACCCTCTAAACAACTGATTCATGATAGAAAATAATTAGGGAACATGCACATCATTACATTAACACAGGACAATAGAGTAGTGGTTTATTATTGTGTTTGGTAAACTCTTTTTAAACATACAAGGGTTTGCATTTCTATTTTATATTAAATTACCCAATTGCTAAAATTTTATAACCATGTTTAAATCCCAAATTGTAGTAATTTATGAGTGAGTGTTTTGGGTATCCTTCACATGAGGGGTGGTGGTCTATAAAATGTGTACATGGGGTAGGGGTGGAGAGATCATTGTGCATGAACCCTTACAAAAAAAAACTTATACTGAGAAAAATTACATTTTCTACTTTAAGTACATGAGATAAACAATGAAAGTGTTAGTTGATAGAATAGTATGAGGAACCTGCTCACAAGATTGAGATTTATTCTTTGAACTCAATAGGAATATTAGTTTCTTTTGGAGCTTCGATAGCCTTCTTGGATACTTTGATGCTAAGTGTTCCTTGAGAATTCATTGACGATGTCACAGACTTTGGATCAACATCCTAAAAAAAAAATATACATATATATATATTAGTAATAAGTTCTATGTCAATATTTCATCACTTGTAAACAGAAATCTATACATATTTTATAAGACGTAAGAGAGTATGGTGGAGCGGTGGAAAATTAATTGCTAAGTCTTTTATTTGGAGTAAATCAGGGGTCTCCAAACTACGGCCCGCGATGTCCTCTCATCCGGCCCGCGGAGATCTTTTTGTCCATGGAATAACCGTTTGTTTGTGATGGCGGAGGAACTTTGCCCAGAAAAATCAAAGACATTACTGGAAGAAACTGGCCCCCGAACTGAAATTTGATAGTTAATACGGCCGACTGAAAAGTTTGGAGACCCCTGGAGTAAATAGTCATCAAATTTATTATTGCTTCATATAAAGGGCCACTCTGCCCAATTTTTAGTTACATATTCTTTTATGAATTACAGAGCTGTATTCATAACATCAAATGTGGATCCAGAGATAAAGTTGACCATAGCACAATTTTTAAGTTTGGTTGCTTAAAAAGAAAATATACAATATTAAAAAACAATAAACATTTAAAAAAACTTACATCTGGCAAAGAATATGTTCTAGTCATTTCACGCGACACAAAACCATGGTTGTCTTGTTTCTCCTCATGTTTTGCTCTGATTGTAATCTTTTGGTTGTCTGAACTGATCTTTACCTCTTCTGGGCTGTAATGGCGAAGATCCAATCGAATTCTGAACTCTTTGTCAGTGTTCTGAATCTGGAAAGATAACAAAAACAATTATTGCTCTTAAGTTGCAACAATTTAACATTTTTCAATAATTTGATATATTTTAAATACAATATGTATTGCAATAGATATAGTAATCTGAATCAAGGTTCCCTTACAGTTTAATTATATAATATAAAATATTTGTGTCGGCAACTGCATTGGTTAATATGGTAAAGTAGGGGACCTTCTCACTTAGCCATACTAATATAATTACATGATTTACCTGATTTAAAACAATTATTTATCACCAAGCCATACCAATATAATTACATGATAATAGCTGATTTTAAATGATTATTTTAAGATTACTGCATGTGTTAAATTTTGGATTAAAAATAAAAGGACGTTTGCAATACTTGCTAAACAAATGTAGTTTACAAGTGATTTGCCTGCATTTTTACATATACCCTGTCATTTTGACTAGCAGTCCTAGGCCTGGAGCCCACCTAACTAACCCACAATGACTTTAACAGGTATGCGTTATTCAAGTGTTCAATAATGCCACAATAATAGAATCTACTTGAAAAAGAGCTGTTGATTACTGGCAGTTAATAAAAAGCAAATATAATTATGGACGCTACAGCTACTAACAATCTAACACATTTTTTCAGTCTATTGTCAAATAGGCCTAATACCAATACTCCGATTTTAATTTTATAGACTATTCCCTATTAATAAGTAATAAGGACTATGACAGAAACAATACTTACCTCAGAATCACCAAGCCTGCCACTAAGATTAGCAAGGGAGCCATCTCTGTACATCATCGGGGTCCTTAGATCCCATGGATTTATCAATTCATCAACAAGACGAAGTAGGCCAAAATCATCTTGCAGTCGAGGAGTAACAGCAAACATTTTTGAAGAATTTCTTAATCTAGATCTACCTCTCTAAAAAACTTAGAAGTCTCACTCTGTTTTCTGTTCTGAAAAGCTTAAAGTTAGGTAGTACTGCAGTAACTACTGGAGTTGTACACTTCAAACTTGGATTCCCAGATGTAGGGTTATTGTAGAATGTAGAGCCAATGTAATGTAGTAGTACTAGTAGCACGAAGGTTGGATTGTTTTAATTTTGTTTACCAGTTACCGTACTCGTCAGAATTTAACGAAGTTATTTGGGACACTGTCATTTATATACCATGGCTCTGGGAGGCTTCGAGATTATCATTATGGGTGGCCTTGACCACAGCTGTGGTGAGTCGAATCGAAAAACATCGTGATTGATCGAGAAAATTCTATCAATTGTAAACAACTTGAACAAAAGTAGACTTTTTAAATTTGAGTTTTCATTTTGAAACAGCAATTTTCTCTCAACAATACTCCTTTTTAATTAATCTTAGTATGAAATCTCTTTTATTTAAGTATTTACTTGAAAACTTGACGGAAAAGTCCAAAGACGCCATTTTGTTGAGAGGGAAACAAACTAGATCTATTTTTAGTTAAGATTGTCGACCTTGGTATTTTGTAGAAAATTCGCGATTCTAGACATAGTAAATATATTATTATTACTATTGATGCAATAACATTGTCATGTTTTTGTTATGAAAAAAATATTTCAAGTCAAAATTCTTTTAAATTGTAGATCTAGTCTACAAGTCTTCGTATAAAATAAACTTTAAAATATCGAGTACAAAGGGAATTTTCCATGGTGTTTTATTCCACTAGGCCACTAGTTAGGGCGTTAGGCCCTATAAAAAATTATAGGCCCCTATTTTATTGTTTTTGTATGAAGACAAGATCTTTATACATCAGTTGTTGTTTTTCTTTATTGTGGTTGTTTAAAATACGATTTAATAAAAATTAATTAGCTGTTCTATGACACAATGTGGTTTTAATAAATCAGCAATGCACATCTTTCAACTACAATTTACTGTTTACAATGCTCAGCAGCCGCATGACATTAGACTATTTTTATCAGCCAATGGTTTCTCGTAATTTCTAGCAACATGACCTATAACCCCTAAGCAGTAATCAGAATGTTTCTTCTGCTATCTAGAATTCTCTACTAGGAGCGTGAATCTCAACTTTCATCCTATAAATACCGGTTAACAAACTAGTGGTCAGACAACCAGAAAGAGTTCTGCCTGTTAAAGAGTTAATACAGTTACAATCAAGATCTATCTACAGCTAGTGAGCTTTTACAAAATACTGAATTCAAGAGCTTATCTTCTAGAAAAAGCTGTGGTGTGTACTGCAATTTAAGCTGATAATCATAATTCAAAATGTTTGCCATCAGTCCACGATATACTGACGATAACAGTTTATTCCGCCTGGTTGATGACTTGGTACATCCCTGGGACGTTTACAGATCACCCCTGTTTAACAATCGAGAAGGAGCCCTGTCGCAGAACAGTGGACGTCTTGGCGATTCTGAGGTAGGTGGATCTGAACTGGATCAGATATGTTAACTTACTACTAACTAGATCTAGTCTAGATGTCTACAGTGTTTCTTCTTAGGTTGACTCTATAATTAATTTATTTAATATTTATTTTATGGTGTTTAATATAGAAATTATTCATAGTAAGATCTTTATCTGGGTCTATAGCCCAACCCAAATCAGTGTTCCTGAAATAAACTACTTTACTTGTATAATTGTTATAGTTTAATAGTTTAAAAAGACTACGTTACCTTTTCAGTTGTATCAGACAGTAATAATAAAAAATAATAATATTAGTAATAAAATAACTTGCAGGGTATCAGCAGAAGCTTAGATCAATAATATATTATTGCTCAGTGCTGATTTAAATCATTAAACATTTAACCACCATGACATAGTGATTATAATAATACAAGTCAGTTGTGAGCAGAGTTTCTTCCAGGCATCTCTTCGGGGGGGGGGGGGGGGCAAAGCCCCCCCGAAAAATTTTTACCGCCCCCCCCGAACGAAATTTATATAATTTATATAGAAAATATATGCTTTTAACAGTGTCCGCCCCCCCGAAGAAAGTCTACCGCCCCCCCCCCCCCCCCCCCCCGAAAATTTCAAGTGCCCCCCCCCCCCCCCCCCCGGAGAAAAAAAGTCTGGAAGAAACACTGGTTGTGAGTTAGCTCAATGTTATCTGCAGTCTATTTCAAAAGAATAGTTCTTAATTTTTTTTCAGTAAAAATTGAACACTTCGCAAAAGCATACTTAAAAATTATTTTTGAATTCAGTGGATTCATTCTACAAAGTAGCCGTTCTATTTACTAAATTATTTTTACAATTATATAATATATGCGCATTGACAAATTGTTACAGATTCAAAATACTGACAAAGAATTCAGGATTCGCTTAGATCTCCGCCATTACAGTCCTGAAGAAGTAAAGATTACCTCAGACAACAAAAAGATCACAATCAAAGCAAAGCATGAGGAGAAACAGGACAATCATGGTTTTGTGTCTCGGGAAATGATCAGGACATATGCACTACCAGATGTAAGTTGTTTATGCATACCATAGGAAAATAATTTAAAATAACTGTATCCCCCCCCCCCAACAAATTTTACTACTATCCTGTTAAATAATAAACAGATGGTCCATTAATGCTCCTTTAACCCACCCCTCTAACATACATTGTCAGACCACATCAACCAATATAAAATGTAATAACATAACTACTATAAACCATGGTGGTTAAATTATAATCATTTCTAAATAGATCTCGGTTAGCGGAAAAAGTGTTGAGGAGTTTGGGAGTTTCAAAATAAGTGCAAAAATTCAGTTTGAAGAAATTGCATTTAAAAAAATAATTGCCATTACCAATCAAGTTTTAAGTCTTTAATCGGAATGTATGTATCCAACCTTCTTTTCAATATTTCATTATCTCATGTGTTTATTCTTTGTTGAAATACTTTTATTTACAGGATGTTGATGCCAAGTCTGTAACATCAACAATGAATTCTCAAGGGACATTAAGTATTAGAGCAGCTAAGAAAGCTATTGAACCTCCAAAAGAAACAGCCATTCCAGTAGAGTTTAAAGGTTGAATTGACCATTCTTATGAATAGTTTAACATTTTACACATTTGATATTCAGCATTTCTAAATGTAGAAAGAATGCTGTAGTTTGTATTTTATAGTCATTGAAATTTCTATAGTTTAAAAATTTGTTCAACATTTTTTATTTGTATTTATCATTCTGTACAATAATGTAAATACGGTCTCAACATTTGTGCTCAGCATGTTGTAATAGCACTTCAATGTATTGCTTATTCCACTTACATTAATTTCACTTCATGTTGGATGTATGCCAGTAATTTTTTCTTAAATTTTTTTTTAACAAACTGTATTTCAAAATTAGTGTGACTAAAATGCTTTTCAGTATTCAACAGAATGCTTAAATATTGTAACAGTTGTATTTTTTTTTTTTTTGTGAAAATAAAAACAATACAATTTTAAAAATGTGTAATGTTTATTTTTTTATGAACAATGTTTAAAAGTCAAGAGCAAAACTTGGTATTGAGCAAAACTTGGTATTAAGTCTGTGCCATTAAAAAATTTCCAATTGTGACAACCTATGGGGCAAGTGAAGTAGTTCACCTGTTTCTGTGAAGAGATAGTGTTGTCAGGACTATGCCCAGCTGCCTTAACTTTCCCAAATGAGTTAGATACCCATTAGAGCTGGGTGGACTTTCATTTGAATTCTAAATTGACTGTCTAACCTCCATAATTTTAATCTCTATTAATATTTACACATGCTTGTTTATTAACTTTCAATTTTAGATAATTTAGATGGTTAGTACAATAAGTTGAGGTTATAGGCATAACAGAAGGATTTCAACAATTTTTGCTGGTAACTCGCCAGGTAACTGAAAGTGCCACATTGACACCAGAGGATCAATAAAAGATACTTTCAATACTGATTGAAAGACAAGAGCACCATTTACAACCCAACTGTAGCATGTGTAGACCATTGTGCTCTTTACAAGGTAATAAAAGATAACGCTTAAGCTTTTACTCATTTAGAAGATGCATCACATTATGATGACTTTGGAGCCCCTGCCGAACTCTCCCAGCAGCCATTGCTTCTCATTCCACTTTCCAACAGGATTGCTTAGGCTGGCCTAATATTTCCCCATCTTCAGACAGATTGGTTGAGGCATGTTGTTTGTGCGATAGTAGGCAAATGCCATAGCAAATTGAGATCCTCCAACCTTTTAGTGAAGTTCCTGTGATGTTAGTAATCTGCATGATCTAGTCAACTACCATCAATATCATTGGCAAAAGCATACATCCAGGTCTCATCACTGTCTTCACTGTGAAGGGGTCTGTTAGCTTTCCCATGTGGATTGCCTGACACGAAGAGTCTTTATATAATCTCTGCGTGATACAAATTGATGGAAATTAAATAGCCAAAAAAAAAAAAAAATTTCAAAGAAAGATAAAAGAAAAATTTAGAATCACAAATTGGAAAAAGTAAAAACAAAATGTTAGAAATCCATGACAAACTAAAATGAAGCGGAACTTCTTTAGGTAATGTATATTTCATTAGACCACAAAATACTTAAATTCAGGAACAATAATAAAGTCAGCAATAATGTATGGTAGTAAAACCTGGATGTTAAAAAAAAAAACCCACAGAAAACCTATTGAATATATCTGAAAGAGAAAAAAATCCTCAGTAAAGTATATGGATCAACACAGGAAAAAAATCCGTGGAGAATATGAATACACAGACCCTACAATAGTGACAGAAATTTTAAAAAGGAAGACGAGATGTTGGGTTGTAGAAAAGAATGTCGAATTACAGAGGGGTGAAGGTGGTTAAGATCGAAGGAAAATGACCAAAAAGACTAGGATAAACAATGTGGAGACTGGTCTACGATGGCTCTGATTCTAAATGGACAAAGCTGTGAAATTAAACCAAACCAACCCTGTCATGTTCATGTCATGTTTGCCTGTCGTCCCTACTGGGACATAGGTCGCTGACAAGAGCTTTCCAGACGTCTCTGTCCAGGGCTAGTCTCTCCAACTGTTCCCAGGTGTATCCAATCTTCTTGGTGTCTTCTTCCAGGTCACGTCTCCATGTCTTTCTTGGTCTGCCTCTCTTCCTCCTGCCTTGTGGATTCCAGGTGAGGGCCTGTCTTCAACCCTGTACATGACTTAATGTAACTAAGTTGCTGAATATTCGAGAATGAATCATGACAAAAGCTTGTCTAATGATGTTAAGCATAATTTAAGTCATTTTAAAATTTAAAAGAAACAATTTTTGTTATTGGCTGAATCTGAATTGTTGCTGTGGGTTTGCCTACTTATATAATTATTCCATTTAGTAAGCATTACTGTTCTGACATTTAGAAAAAACAAATCTTTCTTTTTGCTTTGGAATTGATAAAGTGCGGTGAGGGTGAGTGAGGACATAGTGCTAAGAAACTAATAATTTAACACTTCTATCTTTGACACAGGTAAATTTTGATTATGTTATGGTCATTAGTGTTCTATTGAGTTCATTAATAAGTAAAAGACAAACAGTAAAACAATATATCACATTTATTTAATATATAAAATGTTCAAATTTAACAAAAAATAAATTCTATGTGCAAACAACATTATTTTTCTAGCTAAACAAATGTTTGATCAATGCATACAAATGTTATAAATGAGGTTCATTTTAGTTTATTTTGATTAGTAGGAGCCTGTCATACAAAAATGACTGAAACCAAACCTCATATTTATTGCTGAACAGGTCTATTTTCAACATAAACATACAACACAAATTGAAAACTTAATGAACATCATCCAGTCTTCTTTTTTTAATGACTGCAGCCAATTTATTTTTTATGTCTTTTGAATTTTTTTGAGCAGTAGATGCTATTCTACTTGTAGATACAGTGAAATTGGCAAATGTAGTTGACACATCACTTTCTTCTATTTTTACTATGCTGACATTAGGTACAGTAACAACTTTATTTACATTTTGTTGAGTAACATTATTTACATTTTGCTGAGTAACATTATTTACATTTTGCTGAGTAACATTATTTACATTTTGTTGAGTAACATTATTTACATTTTGCTGAGTAACATTATTTACATTTTGTTGAGTAACATTATTTACAGTTTGTTCAGTAACATTACCTGCATCAAAATCATGCACAGCTACATCAGTCTCAATGGCAGGGAGAGAACTAGCATTTTCAATGTTTTCCACAAACTTCTTTCCTGAGTCATCTTGTACTTCAATAGAAATTACCTCCTTGCCTGCCCGCCAAACTTTTTCAAGAGTCTTTAAAACTGTCATCTTAGAAGCATAACTTTTTTCTCCTCCGGCTGTGACAACATCTGATAGATGTAATTTCCAGTAATTGTGTGCTAATGAACGATTCTGTTTGTGGACAATATTGTTAATATCATGGCGAGTGAAATGCTTTGCATTTCTCTCTATAAAATATTGGGCAATTTTTCCAGCTGATAACCCCATTTCACGCATGGATTTTATTTGCTCTGCTTCTTCCTCTGTTGGTCTACGGTCTTCAGAAAAATGCCCAACTGTGAAAATAAAAAATATGTTGAATATGTCAAGAAATTAATAATCTATTATCACCATTTCACAAACCACTTCTTGAGCAATGAAAGATGCACTGAAATATTCAACAAGAAGAATTTAAGTTAAAGATTTATAAAAGGAAAATTCTCAGGTTATAATGATATATATAAAACATATATTATGATGAATGGCTAAATATTTATATATTAAATATATATGAGTGCATTTTTCGTAGCTAGAAAGGTACTAAGATAAAACCCAAACCCGTACCAGATTTGTCAACAGCATCATGATTGTGCTCCAAACAAGACCGGGTTACAACTAATTTGTTTTCAACTCGATCTGCAACTAGCTTGACTTTAACTGGGCATCCAGTTTTGTGAGACCTAAGAAGATTAAGAAGATATTCTAATTTTAATATCAATTAGCAGTGGCTGTTGACAGTTTAGTACTCCTGCAACTGCAGTGACAAAGTCATACCTTCTAAACTAAAAACATGTTTAATCAAGCTGGTAGGTATAACCTTCCCCTACAGAAATTACTGCTAATTCAGGTAACTGATTTATTCATTAATGTTTGCAATGTGTTTAAAAATAAAACGTTTTAATATTTTTATTTTATAATGTAGCCAATAATGAAGTTATGTGCTAAAAAATGTAAAATTGAAATTTTAAATTAAATAATATTTGGCCTAAATAGTAGAAAAAATGGCCTTGTTAGTTACTTATGTAGTTTATTTCAGTTGAACATAGAAAAACATTTGGATCTAGACCTAATTTAAATATTTGAAAAATATTTCTAATAATAAAATTAGTGCTTTAAAATAGCACTAGATTAATATTATCTATCTACTAGTTAATACTATGTATTATGTAGTACTCCCTGAGATGGCCTGGGTAAGAAGGGGGGGGGGACCAGGAATGGCGTGGGGAGGTGTATTAGGTTTGAGGAGGAAAAAAGGGGTGCTGTAGATCTATTTAATAAATGGCACTTACATCAGTATTTTAACTGATAGTCTTTCAAAATAGATCTAGATCTAGTTTAATTTACTTTTTTTTACGAATATTTTTTCCACGAGTTTTGTATCCACCTTCATTAATGCATCTCAGGAAGACAAAAGCGTATTTGAATTCGTCCTTATAATGTCTTTTAACATCCTTTATGCCAGAGTTAGCCTGCTTAACAGTCTTACTGCCTGAGGCTATCTTCCATCGTTCATTCAGTACTTGAGTTCTGGCCTCTAAAACATCCTTAACACATTTAAAGTTCGGGAAACTTGTACCCACATCAAGGCTGATATTAATAGACGCCATGTTGCTTATTTCCTCAACCACTGGGGGAAGGCGGAGAAAGTAGCGCAGGTTTGAGTTGCCCGGTAGGCTATTTGAAGGTAGATTTGATTTTTGTCAATCATGGCGGGACTGAAGACTCAGTGAAGACCTACTTGGTCTTGGGTATTATTAGAATGCTTGTGTAATTTTAATCAAAAAACCGTTTTTCAAACAGTAGTTTGAAACAGTGTTGAGCATTGATTTGTCTGAAGTTAAATTTAAAAGGAAACCCAGGCTTTTGAGCGCCATCAAATAACTAAAGTCAAAACATTTTTTGTTAATTTTTTTTCAACTTAGGCCTAAGTCACATCTAATTGAGGCAAATGTTGATTAGACACATTTCCACAAAACTATCTGGCAAACATTAGGCCATGCTTGGATTAGGCTAGGCCTAGCGCTAGATTTGTATCTAGATTAGATCTAGACCTGGAGTCTAGATCTAAATCTAATCTAGATTTTCTATATCTAGATCTAGATTCTATATCTAGATTTCTAGACATCACGACGTGCTGTCGTTTCTGTAAGTGCAAAAATGCCGCTATGCCAATGCTAGTCTAGAGTCTAGATAGATTTCTAGATCCTCTAGATCTAGATTCTAGATCGGAGTCTGTGAGGATGGTTCATTGGTTGTCTTTTATTTTTATTTATATTTTATTATTTAGTATTAAGGCCTACAATTTATCTAGATCTAGATTCTAAATCTAATAATCAGTGCGAATATTCTTGAAAAAAAATCTTAAAATCATGCACACAAAATTTGCTTACAGTTGCATTTAAATTGTTAATGAGTTAATGTTTGAATTGATTGGCATGTTCATGATGTTGTAATTGTAACCACCCATTGTTTAGGCATTCCATTAAAAAAATTAAAATTGGCTAGCCTAATTAAATGTATGAGCATTGCAAAAATATTGTGCTTGATATTCTGATGTAGGCCTAACTAGAATAACACTGAAAAAAATTTCTTTCTATTTCTAGCTTCAGTAGTTTTTTTTTAATGAATTGTTTACTTAATGGCAATGGGCAATAATGGGTGAATTAAGTGAATGTCCACTAGATCTAGATCTAGTAGACTAGAATCTATATTTCTTTGTAAGTCATGAAAATCACTGTCTCCTAACTTTGAATATTTATTTTTAAAGATACAATGTTAAAACTTTGCTGGATCTTACTTCACTAACTTCAGCATGTTTGAATTATTAGGGCCTACAAATATTAATTGAAATCATTAGGCCTAATTCATTCACTGGGAGCAAAATAATTAGCACTTCACAAAGGGATGTATTACGACACTTTTGGGCCCTAATTTCTAAGTAGTCAGTTGTTTTGAAAGGTACAATGATAATACTTTGCAGGATCTTACTTCAGCAAGTTTGAATTACATATAGGCCCTAGATCTATATATTAATTGAAATAATTAATTCATTCACTGGGAGCAGAATAATTAGCACTCCTCAAAGGGATGTATTACGACACTTTTGGGCCCTAATTTCTAAGTAGCACTGCTCAGTTGTTTTTAAAGGTACAATGTTAAAAATCTGCATGATCTTACTTCAGCATGTTTGAATTACATTTATTAATTATTAATAGACTTGCCAGTAGTAGTAGGCACTAATTTTTTTTTAATAAATTAAACCAAACAATTTATCTTAGGATGCGTCTATTCGGACCCGGGTCCCAATAGTGTCGGCCGCTATTGGGACCCGGGTCCGTATAGCCTCGGACGCTATTGGGACCCGGTATAATTATAGTCATTCATAACACCTAAATACATGATTCTTTTTTTAATTCAGACATACTATTTTTTATAAATAACCAGGCATCCTTGGTAAAAGCAGACTCTGCAATAGATATATATATACTGTCACAAAAAACAGTGTCTGTGAATTGCCCCACGGGTTTCAAGTCATTGATACCAATGGGCATTTTAATATTCTGGCTTACTACTACTGATGACAATTTCAGAAACTTTCTTATTTCTAGGGTAAAGTGAGAATACGGCTGTGGCAGCAGCCTCTTTCGTTTCTGCATTGTAAACAGCTGCTTTGCTCTGGGCCTACCCTTTGGTCGCACTTTGTCTAAAACAATGTTCTCAAACCCACAGCTTGCAGTATCAGAAGTGCACTATGCAATATCAACAAGCTGTGGGGTTGATACCTCCACCCCAATAGATTTATAAGCATGACCAAAATCAGACATTGCTTTTTCCTCAGCTGGATCCTCATCCATGCTGGTAGGACACTTCCAAAGTCTGAGGGTGGTTTCTAAAAATTTTATCTTTTCCTGAAAATCTGTCTGGCCTTGCACTGCCAAAAAATTGGCAATATCCATACACAATTTCTTTGCTTCCACTCCACATAGCGTCCTTCCTGCGTATTTATTTTTGCCATCGAAGGTAGGCATTTGCGGTCAAGAAAAGAATTAGCACTAGGTGTAGCCATGGGTGGGCCGTTCTTCGAAAAACGAGGTGGCAGCAGCTCTGGGCTAAATTCTGGCAGACATAAAGATCTGCGCACAACAAATAAATGCCTACAAGGCAATGTCATTTTTAACTGGTTGCAAAATGCGTTCTTTATAAATAACCTTGAACTTGTTTATGTCCTCTTGATCCAGGGTGTACTTTACACTTCTGGATGCTCTCAGTTGACTTATTATCAGCGAGGCAGCAAAAGCGGTAGCCCCACTCTCGATGGCATTTACACACTCATCGTTTTCTGTAGATGAGTAATGAACCGTATTTGCCGCTATCATACGCAGATGCTCTGCTAGCAGCATTTTTGAGTTGTCGAATGTTAAAAGCTTCTGCGACGCAGATGTAAAAGCCAACTGATGAGATAAACTTTTTTTTTATCTTTGCGTGGTAAGACTCCCGATGGTTTGTCGTTGTTGCATGCACCTTTAAAACATTGGCATTTGCAGAAGCAGACCACAGATGTGCCTTGCTCTACCAATTGGTCGAAAAATACTCCACCACACTTTCAGGGAGTGAGGCCTTCATGTCTTGCGTGATTGCATCAAAATCACTGACACATTCGGTGTGGACCTGGGCCATAAAGGTATCGAAAAATTGGCTGGACTTGGTCAGAAGGTACATTTTTTTTTAAATGCCTGCTCACAGCCTGTGTTATGTGAAAATGACATAGATTAACAGGTATTCCAGGAAATTGATCACTTAATGCTGATATTTCTGACAGATCTTTGTCTATAATAAAAATTTGATGTTGATGTCACAATTTTTACTCAACAGTGATAGGCAATCGGCAATGGAGCCCTGGTCCTCATTCTGGACGAAACCATGTAGAATCGGTATACCTCTACCGTCGCCATCTATGGCCATCACAGTCAGTAAAGGGTATAAGTACATATTTGTCTTATATGTAAAGTCCATCAATAAAACTTCTGGAAATTTTGCAAAAGCTGCCAACATATGACATGTACTTAAAGTTGCCATCTTCGGAAAATCCATACACCACACCACACAACCACCATTTGCTGAGATTTCGTCTAAAATTTTCCCAGTCTGAGCTGCATCGGTACTGGATTTCTTTTGAATTTTAGCCTTAAGATTGTAAATATCTCTATGTAACAAGTCTACTTCATGGTGTTCCTCAAGTACCTGTCGAACCTCAAATGTCTGAATTGTATTCAGAGAGACCAACATGCGTGTTGCGTCATCAAGAGACACCTTTCTGTTCTCATGGTACAGGCGGCACATCTGGAAAAAATATTAAAAACATTGTAAAGGCATAATGCAACTTGAGTATTGCTTCTGTTCACCTTAAATGATATGTGCAAAGGAGAATCAAATTTAATAGCACTCAGTAAAAAAATGTTCCTGTAGTTGAAGACAACAGTAAAGCAATGATGAACAATGAACAGTAAGCAAAACTGACCTCTTTGGATTCTTGATGTCCAGTATGTTCATGCATAGCAGTTGTGATTTCAAGCCGTGATGGTCCTCTTTTCGCAACCACCTTTATTTTAGCAGGGCATCCCACTTTGAAAGAACTGAAAAGAAGAAGTAAAATACAGCCTTTGCTTTGAGTGTAAATTGACATACAAGCACAAGTATAATGTACTTTAAAAAAATGAGATAAGTGGTAATTATAGGCTATTAAAAAGCTAGCTAAACAAATTTCAAGACAATTTGACCTACGGTCAACAACTTTACAATGTTTTTTGGCATTATATTTAAATATTTTTGCAAAGAACCAATTGTTTGTCTCTTTACAAATATTTTGATCACACACTGGGTCTAGACCTAGATTTCTAGATCTATAACAAATTTTTAAAAAAGTTTAGTTAAGACTCTAAGAGTAGGGCCTAAAGAGTTTGGTCTACCTAGATTCTAGATCTAGATTAATAGTATTTAAATTAAATAGATCTAGATCTAGTACTTGACTTAGACTAAACATGATTTCTAAATACAATAACATCTAGATCTAACATTACACTGTTGGATTTTTGTCAAATTATATTTGAGTTAGAATGTAAATCTAATGTAAATTTAGAATTGAGTACTTACCACTGTGATTTTCGTTGTCCAGCCGAGGTCTTTCTGTTGGTACCTTGTTTACAGCATAATACAAGATATTCATATTTCAAATGATCCAGATTCGGATCCTTGATTTTTTCTGAAGACCTTTTTCTGAAGCAAACGTTTTGTTCTTTTGAAAAAATGGCAAGCTTTTCTTCAAAGGATGCAAAAGTTTCGAATACAGCGCCTAAATCCATTTTGGAAATGCGAATGCCAATGAACTGCGATAGAACGCAGACCACAATTTATAGTCGGTAATTGGCCATGTGATTTCATAAGCCATTTGAGCCACTGTAGATTTGCGAGGCACGCAGTCAAGTTTCATTCCAGCTTCCTGCTCCAGGAAAAAACTGTAATAGCTGTCCAGCAGTTGACACAGAAACATTTTTCAACAAAGATTGGTACATACAAATTCTCATAGAAGTACCATAATGCTTTCCTTCTTTGGTTACAATAGTTTGTCCCTCTTCTTGGGGTTCTTGCATGTTGATGGCATTATCATACATTAATTCTAAATCATTGACCATTGATTTTAAATTTTTGATGGTTTTGTTTTTGAACTTGACTACATTTTCTAGTGCTTCAATTTTTCTTTCTCTTCTTGATAATTTTTTCTTTCAACTGGCAACTTGATTCAGTTTCATTTTGTATTGGATGGAATCTGCAAACGGATTGCAGTTAAGTTTTTTTTTATCTCTACTTTCTCTGCTTCCAACTGCCTATTCTTTTTCTCTTGTTTGAGGAGTCTGTCAGTGAGTCATTTAATTTTTTTATTTAGATCTTTAATTTGAAAAACTTTATTTGATTGAAGTTCATTTTGGTAGAATTTTAAACTAGTTTTCAATTTTTTATTTGATTTCAATAACTGTTCTGTAGACTTTCTTTTGTATGCACAACTAACACAGTCTTGTTAAAGTTTTAAAGGTGAGGCTTGTTTTGGGGGGATTAGTGTTATTAATTCAGGTGCTAACTTAACGACAATCCCCTTTTCTTTAGGTACAGGCTCTTTAAATGGCATTTCCATTAAATTTATAATTTTATCCCATTGTGCTTGTGGCTTAAGAGATCTAAATTTAACACATAATCTGTTGATTTTATTATAAAGTTGATGACTGTTACTACTTGACGCTGGTATTATTTCTTCCAAAACTTGCACTGCCTTTTTAATTTGTTTTTTATTTTCATACCATAAATGAATTATATGGCCTTGCTTTATGGCAGCTGCTGTCCGAAAGTCAGAATACTGATTAATCAGAATTGGTAAATCTTTGGCAGGATGCTTACCAGGGCTCCCAGAGCCTTCAGAAATACCACCTGCTGAAGTATTCATTTCCTCATCCATACTCCTGATCATATATCTAGAGGAAAAGAAATCAGCATTAATACTACTGTAAAAATAGAATTTATTGTTTTAATAGAGACAAGTGTGTAACATAATAAAGTAAGGGATAAGGAAATATATGCTTAAAATAATTTCTATTCTTGAGTGGTAATTTATTATTGTTATTAGCTTGATGTGCAAAAAAAACCCACTGGCTTTCTTCAACAGCCTTTAACATATTTATACACCAGTTGCAGCCTAAACTTTTTCTGTTGGATCTTCTACTTGGTCCTGGGCATCATCACTCAGATATTGTTCTCCTGTGGGACTTTTACAAATCTACAGGGTTGCGAGAGTGCATCTGCATTGGCGTTCAGCTTGCCTGATTGGCGCTGTATATCAAAGTTGAAAACATCTAGGTCGACCACCCAGCGTTGTTCGGTTGTGCTGATTTTTGCAGTTTTAATGTAGCTTAAAGGATTATTGTCCGTATACACAATAAACTTTGTCCCTAATAAGTAATAAGTAGGCCTAACCCTTAAACTTATCAGTAACAGCCCACTTACAGTCATCTCTTTTTCCATTATTATTAGATTTCTAATCTTATGGAATGATCTTCAGGGGGATTTGCACCTCTCACTTAATTCTTAACAGTTGGTCTTTTTTTCTTTCTCTCTTTTACTTTAAGCATCATAAGGTATTCTTCTATTTGCTCTCCTCTTAGGTACTCCAAACGGATTTTTCAAATCAGTCACACAATAATGGCTTTGGTTTTTCTGCATAGTACTAATAATTCTAAGAACATGGATACCAACTTTATGTCTGTAGGACAATTAGAAAAAAAGTTATGCGCTTAAGAAACACGCGTTTTTTTTTACCTTTTACGGCCTCATGAGGACCCGACTTTAGCACCGATTATCTCAAAAACTATAGCAGCTATATCCATTATCTAACTTAATTCCAATAAAAGAGTAGATAGATTGTAGTCTCAATTTTTTTCAAACTAGTATAACAAGTTAAAGATAAACGTTTTTTGTCTTAAAAATCGTACTACACCATATTTACCAAAAATTTGACAGGGCGAAAAAAAACTAAAAAATCACCAACTTTCACAAAACCACTAAAATTCTTCTATTGCATGCACAATAATCACCTTTATATCGATTTAAAGGGGAAAATGTTACCTAATTATGTAAATTAAATTGAGTGCTATAAATCATGCAGTTAAATGTCCAGATTTGAGAAAATAAGGTGGGGGTGAACATTTTATACCTCAACACGGCTTTAAGTCCGTTTTTTTTAATTGACAAAGAATTACTAAAACTTAACAGATATATAGAAAAAGTTATTTATTTGTAACTACAGTTAATCTACATTTAAAAAGAAACATTCTCAGTGAAATAATTTAGTGTTAGATCGCTGAAAAACGTTAATAAAAATGCACGATTTCAGAATTAAAATCGGGCCGAGATTAAAAATAGACAACCTATTTTAGACTTATTTTTAGCAAATTACAACCCGTAAATGAAGAAAAAAGAAACACAGTGTGATAAAGTATACCCATAACTGTAAAGACTAATTGAATTATATATTTAGCAGATAGTTTGGACATTTTAAATCGGATAATCAGTTCTTATTAGCGTTTTTATCACAATTTTCTGTAGTTTTCTCTCGAAACGTTGCTGGTCGAAAAACTAGGTCAGCGTGACCTTTTACTAAATATATTCAAATTTTACAGATAAAGTTTAGTTTTAAATTATAAATACTTGAATATTTTCATATTTTATTGTATTCTTTTTAATATTGAACTGTTTTTATTGTGATATAATGCGTAAGAAAAAATAGATTTCTATTCAAACACGTCAGGGGTCTGATCCGGGGCGGGCTTTTATTTTCTTTGTAAAAAATTTCGTGATCGCGTCGGCGAACGGGAGTTACACATGGTTTCGTTATCGCGCTTTGCCATTCGCGCCATCTTTGATATTGTAAAGATAGTTTCGCATTTAAATAGAAAAATGGACGATCTTTCTAACCATGCTAGTAGAAAATTTGTATTCTTAGTGGATTTTGGTGAAAATTCAATTTTTCGAAGAAAATTTGAGAATTAAACCGTTTTTACTAAAATAATTTGTTAACATTTTATACGAGACTAAAGGTCATTCAATCCTGCGTACGATAAGCTATGTTTAGAATTCATACGTCACGTGGCGCCGAAGCGCAAAGCGTCAGAATGCGATAGGGGTAAAAACGGGTCTGTCATTTTGCCGATAAAAATCGTTGCGGTGATGTTTTTCAAGCTACAAAAACATGTATTCTTCCTTTACCAATATAAAAACAAACAACATATCATTGTAGAGCTTAAGTTAAGCTTTCTAACCATACCATTTTTATTAGTATACGCTTAATTTTTATGGGAGAACTTTGTGATGGAAAGTAGGGAAAAAGTAAAGAAAATGAGCAGAAACCTCGATTTTCGGCAGTTTGGAGTACCTACTCCTCTCTCTGAAGTTTGTTGCTACCTTTTTTTTCTTCCTCTTTAATTTAATTTTAAATGTCTTGCTCATTATGATCATCAGCTGGATCTACGACAGGGGGGCGTGGACGTTTACGCCCTGAAGTCTTATCCGGACGCTTCCTTGCAGTCCTTCTTAGTTGGGTCAGATTTAGTGACTTTTGTTGCCAACTGTCAATAATCCTACTGCCTGTCTGGCCGCCACGATGTGGTAACAGTTACTGACTGCCGGACATGAGCATGTTTACCTTGGGAAAAGTGTGACCCTTTAATGGTGAACACACCAAGTTTAGTATCTAAAGTTATTAGTTCATTGTCAAGCACGAATTGTGGTTCCACTTGGGGGTCTATGTCATACCAAAAATTCAACAGGTAATGAGTTAAATAAAATAACTCCTTCATTTTTCTGAGGTAAAAGATTAACTAAGTTACCGATTTTAATTTATATCTGTGCTAACACAGAACACGAATATGAAAAGAATGAAAATAAAATGTGCTTCTCTAGATAATCTGAATAAAGTCAGCTATCGACAAAATGACCATTTAATAGCTAAAATAGTGTAAAATGCTCACTTATTACAGTTTTTCTTTTGTCCACCCAGTCATCACTTAGGTCTAGATCACTTTCATCACCACTTGATGAACCAGTACTTGAATCATCTATTTCAGCTATCGGCACATCGTCACTTTCATTGTCAGGTAAATCTAAATTATAAGTATGCCTGTTATAACTGGCCTGTTGCATCCCTAAACAAATGTAGAATTTCATACATCTTACTCAAGATCAGCCAAAAAATTTTTTTATCCAAATGGAAAAATTTCTAGAAAATGACCCACATACATGATTGTATCTAAATTGCAAAACTAAATCAATTCTTTTATTATTTTTTCAGCTTCAATTGTCTGGATCCTATGACGTGTGCTGAAAGCCAATATTATTGAGACTGTACCTTTGATAAATGCAGTTGTGCACTATACCTGATTTGTTTGACAAGTTGGCCCCTGCCACCCCCCAAAAATTGTATCAGATACTTTCTCAGGAGCTGCTTTACAGAGGTACATGTAAATAACATATCAAAGTATCTGGAAGAAAGGGTAAGTGATATAATTAAGTTATATCCATTCCACAGACACTTCTACCTTAAAATTGACAGATTGGAGAAAAGGCAAAATTAAAGTTTAATGACAAAATATTCTATTATATTCATATATCTATAGCCAAATCAATGCAACAAATTGATAAAAAATCCAATTTAAAAAAAAAAAAATTAAATTAAAAAACAAAGCAGCCTAGAAAATAAATGTAAAAAAAAAGTTTTAGCAATAACACTCCACACACCAAAAAAAAAATTTCTAAAAATTTCCTGCATTGTAGCTTTTACCCCCCTCAGAATTAAAAAAACTGCTGCTCTACAATCTGCCTTGCATTTACTATCTGTTTTCTTCTTCTCTTTGCCTCTAATCCCTTCCTCATTTCAGCTTTGTTAATCCGAAGAATGTCTCGGTTTTTTTTCTTCTTTTTTTTAAAGTTACACTGCTAACTTTGCAGCCAATGTTCTCTAGAAATTGGTGGAGACCGACACTCCCTGGATTGAATTCAGCAATTGACAATGCAGCGCTCACTTCCACTCTTTTTTTTATACAAAGATGTGTTTTGGGATCTGTGTCCAAATCTTTGCATGGATTCTTTCATTAGCATTATGTGTCATGCCAGATAAGCAGCGTTCAAGCAAACTGTCAGAGGTGAGCCTTTCATATAAGGGCTTTACCTTCTTAGCCACAACCTCTGACAGAAAGAAGCTGCTTTTACCTGTGTGTGAAGGTGGTGTTTGCTCGAGAGCCATGTCTCTCTACCCAAAAGCACCAAGATCAACTCCTGTGGGACAGTCATGGTGGTTGGGCACTTCGTCAGAGGAGGCTGCATGGTTGAAGCTCATAAAAATTTTTTTCCTCAGTTCTTCTACATCGGCACATTTACTGGCTACTGCCTCCTTATAATACCTCTGAAGAAGGTTCATCTTTGCCTGTAAATTGAGGAATATTTTAAAAAATTTAAAATAAAAAAACAACCTTACAAATAAATAGTCACTGTAGCAAGGAAAATAAAATTGAAAATCCTGACAATATTCGTTCAAGCAAACTGTCAGAGGTGAGCCTTTCATATATGGGCTTTACCTTCTCAGCCACAACCTCTGACAGAAAGCAGCTGCTTTTACCTGTGTGTGAGCCATGGCTCAAAAGCACAAAGACTCAACTCCTGTGGAACAGTCATGGTGGTTGGGCACTTCGTTGAAGGAAGCTTCATGGTTGAAGCTCATAAAGATTTTTTTCCTCAGTTCTTCTACATCGGCACATTTACTGGCTACTGCCTCCTTATAATACCTCTGAAGAAGGTTCATCTTTGCCTGTAAATTGAGGAATATTTTAAAAAATTTAAAATAAAAAACATGCTTACAAATAAATTGTTACTGTAGCAAGGAAAATAAAATTGAAAATCCTGACAATATTTGAAAAGGGTACTAACTTGAGTTAGGCTTCCAGTTTTTCGTCCACCTAGTGTCCTGCCATTCTTCGCATCTGTAGCCACTAGGTTTCTTAGTGCCTCTCCTAACCTCTTGGACACATGATCGGTGCACCCCTCTTTCTTTATAGGTACATCATAGGGTGACAGAGACAAGCTCGTTGTATGTCTTGCAGTCTTCGTCACTTACAAATTTTGTGTATCATAGGCCATTGTCCTGGGAGTGTTTCCACATAGTCTTGGCCACTTCAGCTTCCATCAGACCTGAGGATACTGTGAGGTTGATGCTGCAGTCTGCCTTATGATCTTCATACCACTCTTAGTAGGCAGCAAGGCTTTCACTTTTCTTGATGTGGCCTGTTGTAGAACACAGCTGAAAAAAAAAAGAAAGAATTTGGTCTAGTAAAAAAAAAAGCATAATGTCTGTCTTACTAATCAAGTCTAATAAAAAAAATATAGGTTCTAAAGATTAGATCTAGATCTAGTTATCACAATGCTACATTGAGACAGCTAATGTAGATCTAGACATCTAGAAGTAGATCTAGAACTAAATCTAATCTAGATCTAATAATACTGCCTGTACTGTGTACCACAGCTAAGCTTAGCCCTAAATCTAGTTTCCAAAACATGATATATTCTAGATTATCTAATATCAAGATTTATCTCTTAGATTGTAAATTTAAAAAATGATTTGTTTCTACTCTAGACCTAACTACTAAAGTAGAATCTAGACTACTAGACATCTAAAAAAATCTAGATCCAATATTCTACTATTCTGGACTAAAAGATCTAAATAAAAAATTTTAAAAATTCAAAAAATTTACCTTGCAAATGTTTGAAACTGACCAATGATAATACAGATTTGATAAAGTTCTACAACCTAGGGGCCTACTGACCAGTCCTTGGGGTCGATACCTTGTCTCTTGGCTTGACTTTCAAAGTGTCTCACGTAAGCACCCAAGTCCTCGTCTACCGTCATTGCCGCCACGTCCCTCAAGCGGGTACAGGGTTACTTACCTTTACCACGACATCGCCCTTCACATTTTCTACCCTCCTCAACTCTTCCTTCACCCACTCCGCCAAACTGTCATCACTCAGCCCGATTAGTTTCCCCTCCTCCTTCAAGTCGCTGATCAACTGTATTCTGGAACTCCTGGTGGTCGCCATGTTAACCGGACGAGCCCCCAAATGTTGGGTTCTTCTGTCTAGGGGTGTATATATACAACAGACAAATCTAACGTATACAATAGTAGATTACACTAACACTCTATAATGAGAATAATATTAAGATATTTAATATATATATATATACAGTAATAAAATAAAAGATCAAAGAGGTCTACAACATAAATAACAATACTCAACACCACGTTCCACGTCCATAGCCACACTACAACTAACTGCTTCACACACTGGCACACACTCTGACACCTGACACACCTCACGTGAACACCTCTCGCTCCATGTAAACACACTCAACCAAGGGATACAACTATACACCAAAGGGAGGGTACCTGTCGTTCCAGCACACAACACACACACACAAGCAGGGGACATGTAAGGGACGTAACAGGGTGCGCTGTAGGTTGCATCCCCTATACCTTGAAGCATGACAGATTCTCCGGTGTACAATGATGTCGACTTGTGTAAACAGTCACTCACCATCACTGACACGGTGGCTCTCGTTTCCTGTAGAATGTTCACTAGCCTGAGGTCATGTTGTTGTGGTCCAGAGACTGTACCTACCACAACATATGGTTGAAAACACCACTCTGACTCAGATCACTGTCACTCTGCTTCGCCTGAGGGCTGTCTTTGACAGGCTAACTCTTGCAGATGCAGTTTACCGCCTTGTGTCGCTGCAGCTGCTTACAATCTGCAAAGACATGACCAGGTTGTTTGCAATGGAACCATACCTGGTCAGATTTGACTTGGCATCTTGGGAAACTTGGTGTCTTGGCCTTGGACATGGGTGAGGCTTCAGTGGTCGTTAATTTGTGGACTATGGAGTAGTTATCTGCGTGTTCTGAAGCCTTGAAGACTGTGCCGACCTCTCTGTCTTCGAGGTGCAGTTTGATGGCCAGAGGGACTTTATTTTTGAACTCCTCAAATTATCATCTGTTCCCTGGGATCTTGGAACGTTATCTTCAGCGCTGACAGCCATTTATTGAACAGGGATTCTTTCTCAGCCATAAACTCCCTGTATGTAGACTCTGGCTTCTTGCGTAAGCCTCTGAAGGCTTCGCAATACCTCTCTGGTACCTGTTCATCAGCTGTTAACATACTATCTTTCACTCTGTTGTAGTCTTGTTGTACGTCAGTGGGTAGGGACACGAAGACCTTTGCCGCCATCCCAACAAACGTGGACTGGACCAAGGATGTCCATATTGACTTGGGCCACTAAAAAGCTTTGGCATCGAGTTCAAATCTTTTGAAGAACAGGTCAGGGTTCTCTTCAGAAAAGGTTGGCCACTGCGTCGAAGGTTGGAGGGGGCTTCATATCTTTTTGTAGCTTTAACATAACTCCGACTTCTTGACTGCTTCATCTTTCTCTCTAAGGGCCATGGCGTTCATCTGCATAGCCAATTCTTTCTCTTTAAGTGTGAAGGAGTACTGCCATTCCCTCTCCCTCTCCTCTAACTCGAGCTTATGAGCTTCACGAGATAGGTATCTTTCCCCTCTCTCCATTTTTTCCTCAGTGTCCTTAATGACCTTAGCCTAAAGATACTACTACAACTGAGCCTCTGTACACACCAGCGAGAATAAACCTAACTTGATGTGTAGACAGTGAGACACATAAAGTCTAGTTCAGATCACGGATGAGCCCCCAATTATTTGTTGTGAACACACAGACACACCTTTCGGGTTATCCGATAAGTAGCGCAACATATAAGACAAACAACCACAAACAGGTTACAAAACAAGACTGAATGAAACAAAGGCTTGTTGAAACTAAATGAATTTAATGATATCTACACTATCTACACCTAACACAGTCTATTCTTAACACAAAATACACAAGCTAGTAAAACTATAATACAGTGGCGAAAAAACTAGTATAGACCTAACCTATACTAACCTTGGAGATCTGGACGAAACTGAGGCAATCACACACGTTTTCACACCTTATATACCCTTTCATAAACTGGCACAAACCGGACTATCTTCCAAACATGTCTACCATGTTGTTGAGCTTTATTTTCCACTAAACCTTGAATTGTGTAGTGAAAACTTGCATAAACAATTCCGGTGCAACTTTAAATGTCCCATCTACAAACCAATGTGTATGGACGTTCAGGGTGTCAAGAAGGTCATTTGTACTGATTTCACTGTGGGTTTTAAAAAGCTCTAGAATATTTTTTAAAAGTGGGTTGAACTTTACCAGCTGCTGAGCTAGGGAATTTACATTGTAATGTAATGTGAATGGTTTTTGATTAAGTTTCCTTTTACACTCTGTGGGTCATTGAATGCATATTAGGTGGATAGCAAAGCTACTACTTCCATTGATATGCCTTCTGTTTTTATCCGTCTGGTTTTTACCTACACCTCAGGAATTGAGTCTGAAATTGACATGAAAGGCTTTTCACCAGCAGTAATGATCTATTCTGAACCACACTGATAAATTTTTTCAAGGCTCATTTTGTGTTTCTAATACATGTTATGTGCATTGGTCAATAGCCAAGAGGTGACATGTTTACCTCTCTGCTTCCATGCTGCTAATCTTGCCTACTTTGTATAATCTTTTGCCTGCATTTCAATGTCACTCAAATATTTAGTGCACCAATTCTCACTCTAAAGCTGTGTGTTACATAGCATGTCAGAGATAAGTTGTATAGACTATTTGCTCATTCATTTAGCATTTAAACAGAGTTTGCCACACATTATATTATTCTGACTTGATATATAACATTATGCAGCATATATTATCCTGACACTGTCAGAGAGAAGTTGCAATAAATCATTGATACACAGTGATTAATTTCTGATTGTAGTCAGAGAAACATCTGTTAAGCCATGTTGCAACATGGTATGTACATTTTAATATATCATTTAAAGAAAAAAACTGCACTGATACTGATATACAATATATGATATCCTGACAGAAGAGTGGGCACTAAATATTGTGAAAACATCAGAAATGCATCTCCCTTGTTTGATAAAATCAATTTTACTATCCCATTAGGGATTTTTGCTTTATCGTCAATAGACACTAGAATGCTGCCTTGAGTCTAAACATAGATGCAAAAGTTTGCATTCTCATGTGATTTACTCTCTCTGTAATCTGCTGAGCATAGTTTTGAATGTACCTATCGCAAAAAAAAAAAAAATTTGTAAAGGAATATTTTCGTTTTCTGCTTAGTTCTTGTAAACTACCTTTTTGGATGGAAAACACATTTTATTTTTAACAAGTTAAGTTTATATTAAATTAGCTGTACTTTTGCTGTATTTCAATTTATTTATTCCTCCTGCCTGTCCTTAAACAGTTGTCCCGAAATTTTCATTGAAAGACATTCCTTTCAGTGTGCTCACCCAACAC